CGACTAACATAGGCTTGTATTAACCGCTCGGTTGCTTTATCGATAGTTATCTCTTCTTCTTCTTCTTCTTCCTCTTCGGTAAGGGTAGAAGCAGAGGCAGAGGCAGATCGACGGGCGCCTAATAGCTAAGCACTACGGCGTTAGCGCTTCCTAGCTAGTAGTATATCGGTAGAAGGCCTAGCAGGATTAGTACTATTAGAAGGAGGGTTAGAAGGTACCGCCGCCGTAGTAGGTATCTACTAAGCCTATTAAGCCTGTTAAGCCTACTAAGTCTATTAAGCCTACTAAGCTAGGCTGCCCTATATACCGGACTAGCGCACAGTATTCGCAAAGGCAGATCGCCTTAATAACTAGTTTAGGTTGCGCTACTCTGCCTCTATCTGCTATAGAGTCCTATAGGTTACTAGACGTAGATCGGCTAAACTACCTTTAGGACCCTATTCTTCTCCTGCCTATTTAGTAGTATCTGCGATAGCCTTCGCTATAGCATCCTGCTTTGCCTTCTGTTCTACCTTATAGGCATCCTAGTTAGCGTATACAGCTTTAGCAATGCTAATAATAACAGCAAGCAGCTCGTCGAGATCCGTATCCTTATACTACTATCTATTTAATTCTAGTGCGACCTATAGCAACCGATCTTTGCTAAGATTTACATCCTCCTATATATCTATTAACCGAGCGAGAAGGAAGACCTCCGATATAGACTATATTAGTCTATCCTTTATATATATACTAGCTAGTATGCGAAATAGGCGGTTCTTACGCAGGTATAGGGTATTAATCTTCTTTAAGCACTAGTCCTTAATATACTTAAGCCTAAAGCTCGGTCTTGTGCCTTTACCTAGTAGGTTAACTAGCTTAACGCGCTTAGCTAGTAGTTTAGGTAGATTAGCTATTAGATCGGTGTTATAGAAGTTGTAGCAATCTCTTCTATCTGCTTAGCCTAGTAGGTACGGAAACTGGGTTAAGTGTTCGCTATAGTGCTTATTTATTACTACTCGAAAGTAGCGGCCTAGTATCTTTAGGTAATCGTTTAGCGCACCTAAGAAGACCTTTAGAATGTTCTTCCGGCTCTCTAGCTTAGATTTATTCTATATATTACTCTCCTTAGATTTGCCCTTACGGCCTCTAGAAGCACTATCTCTAGTATCGGTATTAGCGTTACTATATATATCGTCTTAGTCGCTCGTACTACTAATATCCTTACTAGGAAGCTCTTGTCGCAACCTGCTAGGTCCGGTAGTATATATACCTCTACCTCTACTACGAGTACCTCTACCGCGACTACCTCTACTACGGCTACGACTACGACTACGACTACGCGACTACGACTGCGACTACGATAGTAGAAGGATAGAAAGCATGCTAGCACCTTCCGGTATACGCTTGATATAGTCCCCGGTATAGTATAGTACGAAGAAGAATACACGAGGTCGATAGAAGTGCGGCTTATCGAAGAATCCCTCTATATTTAATAGAGCTAGTCGCCGAGCAATACGACTAAGTCGTTACTAAAGGTCTCTAGGATTACGAGTAATATTAAACTTCTATTAGTATATATTAGCGATATTAGGCACGTCTAACCTAATACTTACTATAGTAGTCGCTGCTATATAACGAATAGCGGAGTCTAATTTGTAATACTCGTCGTATCGGTCGTCCTAGTCTAGCTTTAGCACCCTCGTAGTATAGAAGGAGATAGTACGGGTAGTATTAACGCCTAGACCTACTAGGCTATATTAGTACCTCTTAGTTAGATCCGGATTATTCTTAGTTAGATATAGCAACTAGCTACGGGCGATATCGACAAAGTTAGCGATATACTTATAGCTATCGATAAACACTAAGGACTTACGCATATTCTATAGTGTTGCTAATCCCTTCGTAATCTCCTTCTCTTCTCTATTAGGAATTAGTAGATAGGATACGGCATTGTCGATTACTATATACAACATATCGTAGTCGGTTAGATACTCCCTTAGGATAAACTTAATAATATATATAATTTCTAGGCGATCGATGCTGCTACGGATAATCTTAGTCTTATACGGGTTAGGGCCTTCCTTACGTATACCGGCATACTTTATCGCATACTTAGTATACTCTTTATCTATAGTAGCCGAGGTTAATAGAGTGCTAGTATCGATACGTAAGCGATCGCGCAATTGACCGACCTACGAGTATTTATCGCAGAAGCTAGAAGGCTTACCCTAGTTATAGATTAGATATACCTTATCGATAACAACTAGGCCGACCTTCTCTCGTATACGCCCGTCGTTTAGTAGCGAGAGAAATTGCGGTAATGCTACCTGTTCTAGGCTAAGCAGAATATACTAGAGCTTGCTATTAAGGATGTTCTTAAATATACCTAGGTCGATCTTCTTAGTTTTAGTAGAGATATATACTAAGTAGACTAGACTACTAGTATTACTAGCTATACGCTCGATTGCTGCTACTTGTTCGGCGCCTAAGCGGTTTAATAGCACTACTTAGATAGTAATTATACTAGTTAGCATTATAAAGCCCTAGAATAGTAGACTCTTTCCCTCGCCTATACGAGCAATAAACAGGACATTATTCTAGCTATAGATAAGTGCGTATATTACTATCTTCTACGCTAGTATAGGAACGAATACTAAACTAGGGTGCTTGAAGTCGAGGAGTTTCGTTAAGCCCTTCTCGATAATTTCCGCCTAGTACTAAACAGTCTCTTTAAATTAGCCTACTTGCTATACTAACTCTTAAATACGCGCGAGGGATGTCTCTAGATCTGTAATCTTCTCGATACGCCGCTTAAAGTGCCGCGCCTATTCCGACTTCAGTTAAGGCAGCTTTATCGGAGGGATACCGAAGTCTAGATATACGCGTATAATAGCGGAGCGACCTAGTAGTAGTACTTAATATAGTTCTTAACGCTCGAGTTACTGCTTCTTCTAGCGCGCGGCCTTCTCGGCTAGGCGCTGCTTACGGCGGGCTTTATCGCTAGCTATACTAGATACTAGATGCTAGATGCTAGATACTAGATACTAGATACTAGATACTAGATGCTAGATACTAGATGCTAGATACTAGATGCTAGATGCTAGATGCTAGATACTAGATAGACCTCGAGTCGAACTTGTTAATTAGCGGCCTCGAATAGTTTAGATAGCTTTCTCCGGCGGCGGTAAGGTCTAAATTAGACTATCGATTTAGCGCACTTTAATAGGCGGCGGAGCTTATAGAATACTTAAAGTTTGTAACTACGTATTAGGTTTGTCGAGATTAGGATATAGGTTAAAGATGTTAGAGGCTAAAGGGTTAGTTTGCCCTACTAAGTCGAGGCGAGTATGCGACTAAATTACATAGTAAATAGATACGCGGAGGTTGTAGAGGGTACTAGAAAGGTAGACCCTCTATACTTTATTAACGTAGAAGGGCGTCGTTTATTTGCTCGTAAAGCATATAGGGGTAGGTAAACGAGTTAGTCGAGAGTAGCAATTCACGTTTATCGATAATAACTTTAGCATTTCTAAAGCGACTAGCTTATTAAAATAGCGGATATTCTTAATCGCTAAATTATCTAGGTCCCGTCTCTATAAAGTGCTATACTGCGACTAATAGTTATTAAGCTATATAGCCTATTCGATATAAAATATAGTAGTAGTAACGCAACCTGTATCCGCTAGCAACGGTTTAGCTTTAGGCGCTTCGCTAGAATGAGATCTCGAATAGCGCTAAACCTAATATAGTATAGTATAGAAATGGAAGTTACGAGTAGCACATATACGAATTTAACTACGAAGCGCCTAAATAGAGGTAGTTAGATCGTAGCGGTTAGCGGAAGATTAGTAGGACTTATAGCTAATCGCGCCGATTCTTATTATAATTATAACGACTAGGGTCGATTTAAGTAGAGGTTAGGTAGTTAGTATAGAAGCTAACTAACTATTAAGCGAAGCTACTAAGTTACTAGGACCTAGGTATATGGTTACGATATAAAAGTATTATAACGATTATACTATATAGAGTTAATATATTATCTATCGAGCCGCGAGGCGGGCTATTTATATAATATATTTATAATTTACCCTTAGGGGCAATAGCGACCGTAGCGGTCTATAGCAACTACTACCTACTATCGTATATATAATCTTACTATATTATAATAAGTAGGTACTATTTAGTTAAAAGTTAGATTATAGAAGGTATATATTATATCTACCTCTACTTACGTTAAACTAGAAAGGGGCTAAAACGGAGATAGATATAAACTATAACCCCCTAATTGCTAGTAAATACGCGAATATACGCCTTTAGTAGCCTCGCTCCTATATAGTTCTTTTAGACTAAAGTACCTATCTTATAACCTCTATTCCTAAACCTTTAATATAACCCTTTCTACTATCTTTTTAAGCCTCTTAGTCTCGGTTAACCGCTTAGTACGTACGCGTTTCTTTCTTCTTTCCTTCTAAGCTACTATATTAATACTAATAGTATATAGTAGCGAATACTATATTATAAAAAGATAGAATACGCGCTAGAATATAGATAGACGCGCCTACCTACTAAGGGATTATATAACAAACGGTAGCAATAAGGTCTATAGCTACTATATACTCGGATAACCTCGCTAGTATAGTATTTAAACTCGCGGCCTAATACTATATATAGCTAGATATCTATATAGGACTAGAACCTACTACTATATCGAGATTTACGTATAGCCTACTAAGAGAAGCCGATTTTACGTCTAGACTAAATCTCCGCAATTAGCGGGATAAAGTAACTAGAGAAACCCCAGATAGTGCAGCGTGTCTAGCCTAGCCTAGCGTGCAGCCACAGCCGCAGCCCACTCGGCAAATCCGTTAACAAAATTCAGGGTAGCCACACTTAGTTAGACGCTTTGCTAGGTGGCCGCCAAAGCGCAGAGCCAGGCTCGGCCAGCCTCTGCTCCTTTCCTGGCCTGGGAAACATCCACCTGAGACCCCGCCTCTTTCGCTCTGCATCCGCATCCATCACGAAAGTGCTCGCATCAGCGTCGCGTCTGCTCGTCGTCCACACAGACGCGCAACACACGCCCAGAGTCATCGACGCCGAGTCCAGAACCAGAATCAGCGCACGCGGTTGGCTCCAGTCCGAGGGTCGTCGCTGCCTCCAGATCGCCCCAAATGATCGAGTCGACATTTGCATCCCTTCAACAACAAACCCCCATCGAGCATTAACGCATTCGGATCGCTGCCTGCGACGGCGCTTTCAACACCACCGCCACCACGCCCAACGCAGACAGCGACATGTCGACTGTAGCCGGCGCCGCGCCGACCACTGCCGTCTCGCCCACTCGCAAGGCAAGCGACACGCAGGAAAAGGCTGCGAAAGAGAAGAGATACAAGTGCCAGTTCTGCAATCGCGCCTTCTCGCGCTCCGAGCATCGGTCGCGACACGAGAGGTCACGTAAGTCCACAACTTTCTGATGGAGATGATGCGCGGGGCACGACAGAGCTCAAAGCACACGCGCGATGTTCGCAAAGTGGGCTGGCGGGGTCAACAGCACGAACTTAGCTGACCGGCACTGAATATAGATACCAAGGAGCGTCCGTTTAAATGTCAGAAGTGCCGAAGTACCTTCGTACGGCGCGACCTACTCCTCCGCCACGACCGTACCGTCCATGCAAAAGACGGCGGCGTGCCACTCCAGAGTGAGACCAAGCGTCGTAGCAATGGCGGCAACAAATCGGCCGCGCAGCAGAACAGCAATGCTAATGCGAACGATACCAAACTGCCCGTACTTGATGATGCTGCCTTCGACCAGTTCACCGACGCTGACAACCCGCTGGGTATCCAGCAGGCTGCCATGCTGATGCACAATTTTCAGCAAAAAGCCGCCATGTCCGGCCAAGATATCGCTACCATCCAGACCGAGCCACTGATCACGCCTCACGGCCCTTCTCTCATGGACACGAGTGTCTCTACATATCCTGGCTCTATCACTCTTCCTCAGATGCATGGTTGGGACCAAATATTGTCGGCATCAGCACTCTCGCAGCCTCCCAAAGCGCCATCTGTCTCTTCTGGCGGCGCCGACCAACACGATTTGCTGTCGTATCCGAATAGTGCGCTTACTGCCTCCGGCACCACTCTTCCTCCCTTGATGGAACGCGGTCAGAGTCAGCAAGATGGTCTGCCTTCCTTCGGCGCGTCATCGCTCATGGAAGGCATTCACACACCCGGCGCCTTGTCACCCTTCCCTGGCTTGATAGGTCCAATCTCACCCGTCGACTACAAGCGATCTCCCGGTCCAGCGCAGCAATGCACCATGGCTAAGGCGCCGCAGGTCACCACTGATGACCAGGTCACCCGCATCATGGAGAACATCCGCAGATGCGATACCGAGGGTGCGCTGGTTGAGACTTTCCGTCTCCCTCAAACAAACGTGGTCAATCGCTACTTGTCAACATACTTCAACTTCTTCCATCACCATCTACCTTTCATCCACCCGGCCTCCTTTGATCCTGCTTTGGTCTCTGCGCCACTCCTCCTGGCAGTGCTTTCGATCGGCGCTTTGTACACCTTTGAGCAAGACCAGGCCTACATGCTCCACATAGGGTCAAAGGTACTCGTCACTCAATTCCTGCAGAAGAAAGACAACTTCAGCTCTCGCAAATGCCCGCTCTGGATGATGCAAGCATCTCTACTGAATATGAGCTTCGCAAGCTGGAGTGGCGACCCGAAAGGTCTCGAGTGGGCATGTTCGATCAAATCTCTCCTTGCGAACATGGTCGCCGGCAACAGGTATGAGCTTAAGTTGCGCACCGATGCCCGCGAAGGTCGACAGCCCACTCACGGGGAATGGATCGAGGATGAAGGCTGCAGGCGCACCTACTTCGCTGTCTACATCTTCTTCGGTCTGCTCACGTTGACGTACAACCATACTCCTGCCATCAACTTCAACGAGTTTGACACTTTGGAACTGCCGTCTTCCGAAACGCTTTGGAATCTGGACCCGACCGACAATGAGAGCTGGACAGAAAGCCTTACAGCGTCGACCATCATCACATTCCGAGAAGCACACGATGCACTGTTCCAAGGTGAAAGCGCTCGCTATAGCGCTTTCGCCACTCGTGTGATGATCAATGCGCTCTTCCTAGAAGTATGGTACCACAAGCGTAGTCCAGAAGCCCTTCAAGACGTGGTCACCGAGTACAAGCTCCGTTTGGCCCTGGACACATGGGAGAAATCACTGGAGCTGTGCGAGCCAGAGACGGTTGTTGTTCAGCTCAGCGCACCACACAAGGGTCACCCTCTCATCTTCAACGCAAATGCCATGTACAGGAACACTCGTGCTCGCTTGCTTGTTGACCTGAAATCGGTTCAAGAAGCATTGAGATACCACGACTCTTACGAAGTCGCCGCAGCAATGACACATGCCCGCGACAACATCAAGAGAAGCCAGGAAATGCTCAACGTCATTCAAAGCTGTTTTGACTGCATTGAGGTTGCCGCGCGTCAAGGAATAAGATGGGTTGCACGCACCTCGGCCACCAACTGGAGCATTGAGCATCCTCTCTGCGGTCTTGACCTCATCGTCATCCTGAGCTTGTGGCTTTGGCGCGTGGAACATGAAGACGAACCTGCCTCGGAAGAAGAGAAAGAAATGTACCAAAAATTGCGGGGATTGTTCGATGATGATACCATCGATGGTTTCGGACAGAAGCTGAGTTCCACTGTCGCGAGACTTTGGGGCAGCATGATTGACGAGGTAGTCGTCTGGGGGTAAGTTGCAGCACACTTTCGAGAACGCCTCATATCTGACGGAACATTAGCATCACGAAACTCATGGGCGAGTCCTTCAAACTCCACAGCCAGGCTCTCATCGGATATGAGGATGCCATCATGACGGCTGAACAGAACAATGGCAGCACCAGCCCACCGGCTGTCATTGCACCACACCAGACCGAAGTCACGGCCTACTAATACCCCACGATAACGACGAATTCCATTGGGCTGCGATACTAGATTGATACCATACACGCACACGCGCGAGCTGCTGGCTTCGTCTGTACTACTATCTCTTTGAGGTCAGAAGGAGCTTTCCTGTAACAGATACAGCAACAGTGCGTTTTCTTTACAGCTTTTATCTTTTCGGCGGCGGAACACTCTGGACCGTACTCCCAAATACTATTTAATGACTTGAGCCTGGCACGTCCCTCGGAAGAGGGCTTGCGAGCAGGCATCGAAAAACGGCTGGTCCGCGAGAAACCGGACTCTCCGTTCACGGGCGAACGACGTTCGCTCCCGACACAACTGGAATTGCTACAACTGCTTGATTTTGTTCTATACCATGTGCGTGTATCAGCATTGTTTCTTTACATGTCTTTTTCTGAATGGGCCTGCGCCAAGCATGGGCGTGGCAGGATGGGGAGCATAGCGTGGACTCTTCTGCTCATTATTGTTTGAGAGGGAGTAATATCGGTTGTATCATATGTATTGGTATCCATGAAAACAGAGGCGTTCATCACTATTGCTTTCCGATGTCCTTCCCTAATGCATGCCAAGGATTATTCTAGGAGATGCCAAGCGCTTTACCTCCTGCCTCCCTCCCTACCCTTCTCCTTCGCCATCTGCACTCGAATACTCCACCTCGCCGGCCTCTTTAAAAATGCCCACCGAGTGACCTTCAGCTGATGCGCGTCATGCAGCAATACTATCACACACCTGCGAAAGAGATGAGATCAGCTTTGCAGATATTCATGATCTGAAGGCGGCGCAGTAAAAGCATGGCTTTCGCAAAGTGCAATTTGCGTGTCAGCAGGCGCTCGATAACGGATACCAATACGTCGGGAGCAATCCACTCGATGTATCGTTGGTACTACAATGCCAAGATCTGTTATGCCTACCCGGAAATGGGTCTTGGACAATTGCCGATGGCTCACGAGAGGCTGGGCACGACGTTTCGTTGAAGATCAAGCTTACTGTCTCTTGGGTTATTTCGGCATCCATATGCCACTACTGTAGGAAGAAAGTCAGAAGGCCTTCCATCGCCTCGAACAAGAAGTGCTTGATTCCCCAGTCTCCGCTTTTGCACTATACGTTCTCAACGATGGAAGGGGAAAATTCGACTCGGGCTCATGCGAGTTGGAATCGTCAGCTGTGCCGGAACGTGATCGGGTTGTACAGACCGGTGTAGCTGAGGCGTCCATACTCGTCATCATGCGTTGGACTGCAACCTGTATATTGCTGGACTTGCAAGTCGAAAAGGTGGACAGCGCTCACATCCTTTCAATCAAGAGCAGAGGAAAGAATACCCAGTGACACTGCTTCCACTCAACTTGGCGGCTCCACGACTTGATCATTTGCCATGTCAACCAAGTGGAACAACGAAGCCGTGGAAGCACATGAGCCACAAGCAAGTCGAGAGCTGGCACTTCTTGAAGCAGCAGAATACGGCCAGTCTCGGAGAGTCAAGCGTCTGCTTGATGCTGGCGATGTGGACGTCGACTTTGTGGATAGCAAAGGACGTGCTGCGCTACACTTCGCAGCTCAGGGAGGCCATCTAGACATCGTCAACGCACTGATCGCAGCCAAATGCGATGTCGATCACTCAAGTAAGATCCATGGAACCGCACTCTGCGTAGCTGCCAGAAAGTCCCATAGAGACATTGTAAATGCTCTGCTAGAGGCAGGTGCTACTTGACCGAGGCGCCAACATCGAAGCGAAAGCAATTTGTTTCTTCACTCCCATATTCTATGTCAAGAGCTCGACCATGGTGGAAATTCTTATGAAACGCGGTGCTGTCGTGAATTACAAGCCGCCAGAGAAATTTTTAACCCCATTGATCTTCGTTGCATGCGGCTGCCAGGAAAACAGTTCAGCAATCATTGAAAAGATGATTCAACTCGGCGCTTGCGTCGATTTTGGCTATCGAACAGGGAACAGCGCAGCCTTGTTCTCGGCCGTTCTGGAGGAGAGGCGAGAAAATGCTTTGGCGCTTTTACGCTGTGGTGCAAATCCCGAGAAACTTTCGCTGGAATATCAGACGAAATTGAAGGCGCTCGTGGGCGATGTCACGGCTTTATGAACGACTATCAAGAAGCCTGCTGATCCTGGGAAGAATGTGGAGTGGAAGGGACTTTCTCGAAGACTTGTCCAGAGATAAAAGCCTGGGCCTTCTGAAGGAGCAGGGAGTCAGGATGAGACGGTGGGGATTAAAGATGATGATCATCATGGTGATGACGAGATTACGTTGTGCGGCGAATCGGCTTCTGTGATTTCCAAGGTGTGATCTCATGCACGGTTTTCGAAAATTCTTCACTCGATGATGGACGCCTTGGGACGATTATGGCGTTTTCTCTCTCAGCTGTGGTGACTTTGACTCTTCGCGGCCCAGATTAGACGACCACTCTACTGGGACCGAGTCGGGTCCTTCAGGTCTTCGATTCGTCGTTCGTTGATTACGGAGGCTGCTCAATCATGCAGGAGGCCGTGAGATTTTGATTCGAGTGATGAATGAGGAACATTGCCTGCGTCAGTCATCTGGGCAGTCGCTATATCGAAAGCTCTCGAAAGTACAGGTCTAAGTCGACATGCATATGAAGATAGCAGGCGAGTCAACTCACGCATACCATCAAACAAAGGAGCTGCCCTAGCACTACTGAGACTGAGTTCATGTGGAAAGGAAATGACAGGATGAATTTGATAGTGACGGTCTTGATCTAGACATCCGCTTCGATCATGCAACATTCGCACCTGGCGTTCTCATCTCCTATCGTTCTTCAAAATGATGAGCTTTCATGAGGTTCCGCTCAGTCGTCTTGGGTAAGTCTTGGCGGACGGTGAGGTTACCGATTTGCTTCAATCAAGTCGAGACTTCGTAGTCTGGTACAGACTGATTTATACTTCGTGGACGGCCATCATATGGATGCTCGGATAGATATTTACAATTGCGTGTTGTTCTTCGCGTAGATCTGTCAGTCGCCATGTGCAGGAAACTCAGGGTATGAGTAGCTCGTGGTTGTGATCAGGATGTGTGTTGTATTTTGGACGTTACATTTGCCCTAGTTGGGTGGCGAACGGCAGATCGGTCTCTCACTTGTTCGCTCGGCGACTGTGGTAGCTCGTTCGTGCCAGCCACAAGACTCTCGTACATGATGTCTCATTTTCCCCTGGTCCAGATCCGTGGCCACGCTTCGAAGAGAACGCGATTCTGCTGCATCTAGAATCTCCTGCTTATTGCAGAATCCAGCTTGTGTTCTCATTCTCTAGAATCGTGATGCTCCTTGCGAGAATCAATCGCAAATAAGCGTAGTCATCGACAACCAACGATCTTCCCTCAATCCGGCCCATCATCCTTCTGCTTCTCCACACTGTCTTCCTTAGCAACAACCGGCCGTCCCTGAAAACTCATCGCCCCAAATCCCCCTAACTTCCCCGAGAACTCCTTGGTTACCTTAACCCCCTCAACCCCCTCCGCAGCCTGCTTTATCTTGCCCAGCACACCCTCACACTCCTCCTTCGTAGCCTTCCTCCCGCCCTTTTTGGACGCAAGCACAATCTCCACCCTCCGTCCCTCAGCCAAAAAACCCTTCATCTTCTCAATCCGATGTAACAAATCATGATTCTGATCAATAGCCCAATTCAATTCCAAAGTCTTAGCTCCAACCTCACTCACGATTTTGTTTGCACGTTTTTGGTCTTTGGCTTGTTTCTTGCGACGGAGCTCGGCTTCGTAGCTTTCTTTCTTTGAGACGATTTTGCAGACGGGGATGAAGTTACGGTTTCCGGGTTCGTCGGGGGAGAGTTGGACGAGACGGTGGGTTTTGAGGTCGATAGTTTGGAGAATGTCCCATTTTGTTCGGGGCTGGCCATCGTCGAGAAGTTTATTGGTTTCGCTGTCGACGAGCTGGATCATTCGGGCTGTGATCTCTTCGTTCCATCTCTGGGTGCGTTCTTCTGGTGCCCGTGTTTTGGCGTTGTGAATGGAGCTCTGGTGGAAGGAGCGGAGGAGAGGTCGGGTATGCTGTCTGGAGATGACATGCTGGGCACTTCTTCGTTGAGGCAATGGTTTTGAGAGTGTCGGTAGGACGAACACATTATATAGAGCTTGCGAAGCTGAGGGACCGTGTTTGGCATACATGATGTTGATGTGAAGTAGTCCATCGTTTTCACAGCTTTGAGAAGTTGAGCCTGGGTATATGTCACGTGAGCATTGATCGACCAGATGTCGATTCCTGACAATCTCGTGAGAAAAAGTATTGAAGTGATGGAGGAAATTGGGTACTTGTACATGATATAAGGTGTTGATCAACCAGCTCTGCTCTCACTATCTGAACCTCTCCTCCTTCAGTCTCTTATATGGCAGCGGCTCAACACGTTTCCTCTTAAATTCTACATCCCATCCGACAATACCAGCTCGTTGCATCACACCTGCTGTGCCGTCGTCCCATACTGTTCTGAAAAGATCCACCCCGACCGGCTTCAGGTCGAAGGTGTCCCTCAAGTCTCTCAAGATGAAGTCCTTTCGCATTGAGAATGCTCTGTGATTTGTGCTCTTGACGTCAGCTACGTCAAGAGCCTTTGATGGTGGCACTTCCTCAGATCCTGGCGACACCGCTGAAGCAGGTGGCTGTTCCAGCACGAAGATAGCCATCCTCTGGTATGGCAGTCCAGACTGCGAATATGCTGGGAGCCAGGGTATGACGATTTGACTCTCTTCGCTCAGCTTTCCAAGCTCGACATATGTTCGTGTCGCAGAAACAGGCACATTGCATGCCAGGAAATGACATCGATAATCGAATGCATCCTTCTCGACATTGGGAACGTCAGGGTTTACGACGGCGATGGTGACGAGCTTTTCGCCCTTCTCAAATGGCTGTATGTTGAGATTTGGCGGATGCTCACTGACGCGAGAATCGACCAGGTCTCCGTGGTGTACCTTGCGACTCTTGAGTGGATTTGCTGGGGATGAGAATGATAGTTCGACTGAGACGGTCGGATCAATCTCATCCAATACGTCGGGGATGACATTCATTTGAGTTATGCGCTGCATGAGGAGCTCTCGCTCGTAGCTTCGCCATTTCTTCTGAGCCAGATGTCGGTAAATTGGTTTGCTCATGTCGCCTAGAGAATGTGTCAGCGCATAGCAGTGTCGTTTCATATGTGCCATCTTACCAAAACCGTCCTCAAACTTCTTCTTCACCAGAGGGTCGTTGATGTCGGCGAGAATCTTTGTGTCCTCCAACCTCTTCCTCATGTCTCGAAGTCTGGCTTCCTTTCGTTCAATATCAGCCTGGGTGACTGGCACAGTGTCCATGAGATTCTCTATTCTGGCTCTAAACTTCTTGATCATCTCCAGCTTTTCCGCACGATCTTCTTGCAAGAAAGCGCGGGCTTCTTGGAAGCATTGATATGGCAGTTGCTCGAATGGAATGTTGGAGCTGCTTGCGATGGCTCTCCTCCGTCTCCTTGATGCAATAGGCATCTGCTTTTGTTCTCGTATCATCTTACGTTCCAGACGAGGTGTTGAGACGGTCAACGGATCTAGCACCCGCGCGGGTTTCTCGACCTGAGCTGTTTCAGCATCTTGCAAGTTCGTCGATGTGCTGAAGCTTCGTATCAGTATTGCTATTCTCTCGTGTCGTGTACATCTCAGACATTGCGCCAATGGCCTGGCACTTCGGTCCAGTGCCATTGTCGAGGTGTATTGTAGATGGAGATGTGGTCGAGCATGGGCGAGATGTATGAACAGGAGCACCGAGACGCGCCAAAAGTTTCGCCGCGGGAGAGACGATAGGTCGACCTCATAGCAACAACTCACTTTCTCACTCTACCAACACAGCACACGACATGGCATCAAGACGGGCAGCAGTGCCCGCAAAGCACCTTTTCAATGGTTTCAAGGCCTATGAACAGCCATCGCGATGTTTCACACGCTCAATGGCAACAACAACACCCGAAACACCATCAAATATTACACCTATTCCCGAGGCCTCACTTTCGCAGACACATACCGATGCCACACTGGACTCAGCACCGGTGAAACCAATACTAGAAGACAAAGTCAACATCCCGCCGCCAATACTATCAGCCGCCAAACCCTTCCAACCACAACCGAACCCCTTCGCCCAAAAAGCCCAATGCACGCTCTACGACTTCCCGTCCTTCGAACCCACCTCCTTCGCCTCCTACCCAGCAACTCACCTCCTACTCCCCCTACGAAAAGACATACTCCACCGCGCCGTAATCTTCGAAGGCGATGCAACCCGGCAAGGCAGCGCAAACACAAAATGGCGCTCCGAAGTCCACGGCTCGGGTCGAAAAATCAGACCCCAAAAAGGCACAGGTTCCGCTCGTTTGGGAGATAAGAAATCTCCCATGTTGAGAGGAGGAGGTGTAGCCTTCGGACCCAAACCACGAGATTTCTCTACAGATTTGCCGAAGAAAGTTTATGATCGTGCTTGGAGGACGGCGTTGAGTTATCGCTATCGAAGAGCGGAGTTGATAGTTGTGGAAGATGACATTGAACTCTCCGGCGTCCATGAAAGTTCCCTGGAGAGATACTTGATGGATATCCTACACTGGAACAAGTTATCAAGGGATAAATCGAACGATAAGGGGGGGAATTTATTTTTGACCATGGAGAGACGGGAGGGGCTTTATAAGGCGCTGAGAGGTGATGGAATGTACAGAGAAGCGAGAGCGATTGAGGCTGCGTGGGTTGATGTTAAGGATTTGTTGGAAGGGGCAAGGGTCATTGTGGAGAGGTCGGCGTTGGAGACGTTGCTTGAGGAGCATGAGAGTGATTTACCCGTGAGGAATCAGCTGAGGAATGCTATGCCGGAGTTGTATTTGCAGGAGGGGGAGAAGTTGGAGAAAAGCGAGGCATGATGGAAGCTCTGTGTATTGTGTGTTGGGATATTCAGAGCGAGAGAGTTAAGCAAAAATGGCTTCGCCTCGAAGTGTTCAGAAGCAATCTCAAAACATCATACCAAGTATTCTTCTGCCATTCATACCTGTCGAAAGTGATCACTAAAGTCATCAATAAGCATGGTTTTCTTTCTGTATCACAAAATCAAGGATGCTGATAGAGTCTGTAATTTACAGGATCATTGATGAAGAGAAAAGCGAGGTCTTTAGACACAGCTTTTGTACAGCACACTACATCTGAATTTCTGAACAGTCACAATTGTCAAGACCACGGGTTGCTTGATCGTTGATTGTGATCGTACCTCTTTCTCACACATGACTCTCTTGATGCAAGGGTCATTATGTCTTCAGCCAAGACATCCTCACAGGTGCAGTCCTGATATCACCTTCATCTAATTTCCTTGGTACCCATTTCTCAGGATTATGTTCTGTAAGTCCAAGTCTTCGAAGACATTCGCTCCAGCCTAGTAGAGCCATGATATGAGCTACACTTGGTCCAGGGAGTCCGTATGCCAGCTTGTCTCGCAAGAATCGGTTCATGGCTCCATTGAGGGCTTTGAATTTCTGCCGCTCAAGCTCTTGCAGTTCTGGCGATTGTGTCATGTCGCTTCGTCGGTTGGGGCTCCATTCGTCCCAACCTGGATATACTTCCCGCCACAAGGCATTCTCGATGTGATCGTGAAGACATGAGGCGCGGTCGTCGAGAGTGGCTATGTGCTCACTGTAAGGCTGATTATCACTGTCATGGTTTGAGGCTTCGGAGAAAGGCCATATGTGGTCTGGCAGGCCTTCCCAGCACTTGAGGATATCGTTGCGACAAATATCCAGCAAGTATTGAGCTGTAACACTGCCTTGCTTGTCATAGTATTCTCGATCAGCTGGAACTTGCGACTCGTCGAACTTGAAGAAGTAGCGATTGCGTTCCGCGTATTGTTTTGGTGTCGAATAGGATTTCGAATCTGCCAGTAGGACATCACGGAGATAAACCGCTATGCTAGCGCCCTGGACTTCTGACGTGCTCGTAATGTGGAGTTCTTCACGAATCCTGGACGTAATATCCTGAATCGTCCTGGTATCTTTACTGTCATGTGGGCGTAGTTTCTCCACTTCTCGAGCCACGTGTTGCTTCTGCAGATACCAGAGCTTTTCTGTGCGCACGATGGTGTTGCCCTTCGTGAACTTTAAATCGAAAGTTTTGATCAGATCTTGCATCTCTAGCACATCATTGCGACCAGGGTTGCTCCAACCGAGCAAAGCAAGAAAGTTACATAGAACTGCGGGAAGGATCCCATTCTGCTCTCGCATGCCCTTTACATCCAAAACCAAACCAGTATTGCTCCGCTTCGAAAGTTTGGCCTTATTCTCGTCCACAAGTAGACCGACATGGGCGAAAGCGGGAGGATCCCATCCAAATGCTGAGTACAGGTCGTAATGCAGAGGCGTGCTGGCCATCCATTCCGTCCCGCGAATAACATGGGTTATTTTCATCAAATGATCGTCGACGACGTTGGCGAAGTGATATGTTGGTGTTCCGTCGGACTTGATCAGAACAGTATCAGCAGCATCGATACCAGAATCATCCTCGCCTCCAGGGCTAGCACTTGGCGACCGTTTGAGTCGTTGGATCTTGCCATAAATCAGATCTTTGTATACACGCTTATGTGCGTCTGACGGCTGATTCAATCGAACAGTAAAAGCTTCATGTTTTGACTCAGCTTTTTCTTGTGCTTCTCCTGCAGCCAGCGAAGAGCAGTCCTGGTAGCAAGCACTTGTCACATATGCAGCAGTCGCGCCAGTCGAACCTGTACTTTTTGGCGTGCAAAAGCATCGATAAGCTGATCCCGAATTAAGAAGTTCCTTTGCATGTTTCTGGTAGATGTCGTTGCGCTCGGACTGCTTGTAAGGGCCATACTGGCCGCCAACTTGTGGTCCCTCGTCCCAATTTAGACCAGCCCACTGAAGCTCCTGGCATAGTCGTTCCTCAGCATCGCGTACAAGCCGCTTTTGATCTGTGTCTTCTATCCGGAGCAAAAATTGGCCATTGGTACGCTGTGCTAGAAGATAGCTGAATAGTGCTGTTCGCAGGCCACCGATGTGCAGATAGCCAGTTGGAGAAGGGGCGAAGCGAGTTCTAGCTGGGCACTGTGGCAGATTTCCTTTCGCGCGTGTTTCAAGACTACCAGATTCGGTTGCATGTTTTCTTGATGCGCTGGGTCCAGGTAATTTAGGAGTCAGCACAACTTCACTTCTTTTGCTCCTGCTTGCAAATCCAGAGAAGGAGCGTTTCCAAGTTTTGCTTTGACGATGGCGACATGATGAGCAAATCCAGCGCTCGGTAGATGTCGCCAATGAAGAGGAAGATCGAACAGGATTCATCGGCTTGGAGTGTACTTCGATGAGTGAAGCAGACGCGCAGAAGCTTGGTTGCACATGAAAGAAGTCAGGTTCAGGGTCTCGGAACGGCAGCCGAATCTCGGCATCTTTCACTCTTGCCTCTGTTTTGATCATACATCATTCGCTCTCGCCCTTTGTACATATAGATCGCCATCGCATCCCGACTCCGATCTCCTAAGCAACCGGAGCGGACTCACGACCCTACTACAAGATTTTTCCAGGAAGGGACCGAGCAAAGATGGAGGAAATCGACCTATATGGTAGATCGAAGATCGCAAATCCGTGAGAAAGCAGGACTGACTGACACGTGTAGAGGTTCTCAGTGTGTCGAAGGGAGCGAGCAAGGCGGAGATCAAGAAGGCGTACCACAAAGTACGTTGCGACATCATGGGTGCACCTCAGGCCGAAGCTGACTTTTCGCAGGCGGCGCTTTCGTCACATCCAGACAAAGTCCCCGAAGACCAACGAGAAGAAGCAGATATCAAGTTCAAAGCCGTATCACAAGCCTATGAGATCCTCAGCGATGACGACACTCGAGCGATGTACGACCAGCATGGCATGGCCGCCTTCGACAAGAGTAGTGGTATGGGCGGCGGCGCAGGGCCAGACCTCGACGACATACTAGCGCAAATGTTCGGCGGAATGGGAGGCATGGGTGGTATGCCTGGCATGGGCGGAGATCCATTCGGTGGTGCAGCTCCCAGGCGGAGAAGACCGAAGGGCAGGGACGAGCTGCAGCAGTATGAGGTGACGCTGGAGGAGCTGTACAAGGGCAAGACGACGAAGTTCGCAAGCACCAAGAAGGTCATCTGCACAAACTGCAACGGTTCAGGAGGAAAAAACGAAAAGGTGAAGGCCAAGACTTGCGATACGTGCAAAGGTAGAGGAGTACAGACCAAGCTACAACCCGTGGGCCCGGGCATGGTTACGCAAGCGACAGTGCCTTGCTCGACGTGCGATGGCCGAGGGCAGTTCTACGCGGATAAGGACAAGTGCAAGAAATGCAAGGGCGTGCGGACGACGAGCCAAAAAAAGATTCTGGAGCTGTATATTCCACGAGGCAGCAGGGAAGGCGAGCAAATTGTTCTCGCGCGCGAGGCCGATCAAGATCCTGATGACTTAGAGCCGGGAGATATCATTTTCGAGCTTGTGGAAGAGCAGCACGATGTCTTCAACCGAGCTGGCGCAGATCTGCACGCTGAACTGGAAATCAGCTTATCAGAAGCGCTGACCGGCTTCAATCGTGTCGTGCTTAAGCACCTCGACGGCCGCGGCATTTCATTAAACGTCCAGCAGCCAAACGGTAAAGTCCTCAGACCGGACGAAGTACTCAAGGTTCCAGGCGAGGGCATGCCAATGAAACGCTCCGACGCAAAAGGCGACCTCTATCTCTCCGTCAAGATCAAATTCCCGGAAGACGGCTGGCTTCACGACCAAGCTGCTGTCGATCGAGTCAGAGCAGTTCTACCTAAGCCAGAAGGCTACAACCCCGACGGCAAAGCCGGCGTGACACCAGAAGATGTGGAAGAGGTCGAATTCGAAGTCGTGCCCGATCTCGAAGGTTTCGGTGCGGGCTCAGATGACCCGCGAGCAGCAGGCGCGGAGTGGGAAGATGAGGAAGACGGACCTCATGGCGCGCAGTGTGCGCAGCAGTAAGTCAGCAGCATGTAGATGACAGTAGAGAGGTGGTTGGGGATTTTCCGAGAAAAAGCGATGGCGTTATACCACCTTCCAGAGAGGCAGTTTGCTGCAGCAGATGCTTTACATATCAGCGGCATTGGCTATGAGGAGAGAGGTGACTGGCTGAACAGGGCTACTCTCAGCAAGCGATGTACAGATTTCATGTCCTAAGCTTCCCACTCAAAAGATCGGATTTGAACGAGCACTCTTACAACCTCATGCGACAACCTTACAGCCCAATACTCTCAAAGATCTTGAATACGCCAGACAGCAAACCAAGGGACAGGAGAAAGTTGAACTTCAAAATTTGGGGTTCAAGGTACTATCGAAAAGTCTCTCATGGTATGGTAACGCTTAGCTAGCGTGCACTATGCTGTACCGCTCCAGCTCTCAATCGCGTGAATCACGCCTTTCAAACCTCCTGCTTAGCAACAGCAACACTCTCATGACGTTCAGGAGACGTCTCATCGTCAACCTTCTTCGCCTCCAAACCCTCACCATGCTCCAACCTCTCCGTCTGTCGAGTCTGACTCCTAGTCTTCCAAGCCGGTGTACCAATATATGGAATACCATTCGGATCCTCAAACATCTCCGTAACCTCCTCAAGCGGCTTGCCCGCAGTTTCCGGGAAAAGGAAGAAAACATGAATGGTCATGGCAACGCAGAAGATGGCGAAGATTAGGTATGTCTTCCATCGGATTGAGATGAAAGCTGGCGGGACGAAGTATCCGAGAGCGAAGTTGAAGGCCCAGTTTCCGGATGTAGAGAGCGCGACTGCCTTTCCTCGCAAGTGGTTTGGGTATAGTTCTGGTGGGTAGATCCAGGAGACTGGACCCCAGGTAGGCGCGTAGGAGGCTACGAAGAGGTAGGAGCAGGCGATTACGGCTTTTGAGGCAGCGCCGGTGACTTCAGTGGAGGCTTCTTTGATTCCGCCGACGCCGTTGGGGCCTGGGTAGGTGCCGTAGGTTGCAAGAATCCCGGCATTGGCGAAGAGCCAGGTTGCCATCAGCGTGCTGCCGATGAGGAGGGTTGGGCGACGGCCGACGCGGTCGATCCAGATGAGTGCTGGTACGGTCATGCCGACGTTGATCACGTATTGAATTGAGGATGAGACAAGAAGTGTGTTTCCAGTGAGACCGGCCATCGCGAAGACATACGTAATGTAGTACATCATCACGTTCATTCCAGTAAGCTGAGACCAGATTTGAGTAAAAAGACCGATGTGAGTGCGGTTGATGTAGCGAGGGGAGAAGAGCTCGAGATAGCTGACTTGCTTGCTTTGACGTTCAATCTCAAGCCACTCTTTAATCTCGGCGAACTCGCGAGCGACCCAAGGTGAGTTCGGGTCACCCTTGCCGTGTGTGAGGATCAGAACTTGTTCGCATTGCTCCCACTTGTCCTTTGAGGCGAGCCAACGTGGTGATTCAGGCAAGAACATCATGCCGAAGAACAACATGATGGCTGGAATCATCTGAAGGGCCCATGGAATTCGGAAGGCCGATGGTCCATCGAGGAACGAGCAGCCGTACGAGATGTAGAACATGATCAGAATGCCCCAGGTGATTGCCCACTGTTGTGCGCCAACGAGTCGGCCACGCTTGGTTGGCGGTGCTATCTCACTGATATAGACGGGAACCTGAGCGGAGCAGATACCCACGCAGAAACCGTTGATGATGCGACCGACGATAAGCATTGGGATGTTTTGAGCAGCGGCGACAATAATGCAACCGATGACCCAGATGACTGCGCCGATCATGATGGCAGTCTTACGACCGTAGGCGTCCGAGATGAATCCAGAGACGAGAGAAGCGAGCCAGGAACCACCAGCCATCGAGGCCGTGATACCGCCTTGCACTGAGGAGTCGGGACCGAGACATTCTCCTGGTCCGCCTTGGTTGAAGTAGCAGAGGTAGCCTTTACCGGCGATGATGGCGCTCATGGAAGAAATGTCGAAACCTAGGCGAAGATCAGCTCTGCCGATGCAGCGAGTGGCATTGCAGCGCCTTACCAAACAGACCGCCTCCGATAATGGAGACGGCTGCGATAGCGTAAACATTGCCGACCTGCTTCATGTTGGGCGACGATGTAGTCAGTCACAGTCGATGCTGTCCGACTTCACCACACAAGTGAAGTGCAACAGAAGCGAAAATAGCAAGCCAAGCAAGGGGTGGACAAGTCGCATTTAAGGGAAAGGCAAGCAGCCCGCGCATCTTGGCATGCATGTGGAGGAAAGTTGATAGAGGCCGTGCACCGATCACGTTGCAATGCCCGAGCGTTTCGTGTTGGCCATGTACATCGTAGCGCTGCAGGTGAAGGCACGGCGGAGCCAATAGCACAGAAAACGCACGTTATTGTGCCGCAGCGGCAGCGCAGCCGTCGTTGGCCGTGACTGAAAAGACATCTCCACTGCTCGTCTCCAGTGGAGCCTCCATCAGAGTTTCAGTTCTGCCCACGGCACACACTGGTGAACACTTTGGGACTCCACAAGATGCCTGATCCTGACTCCAGCAATCCTGATTCCTGACTTCAGTCGCTGGAACAGCTGAAATTCCTTCCAATATCGGCAGCCCCGCGTGTCTTTCAAGATGACATGCGAAGAACTCCCATGACCGGCGTTCGAAGGTAGCGGCAGGGAAAAGGCGGCAAAGGCTTGCACCATGGTTGGGCACGGCTGATCATCCGAACACGTCTGGCAACGTCACAGGCGAAGGAATACATGTATTCACGGAGAAGCGAAGGAATACAGCTTGCAGGGCGCAAGACCCCAGCGATGCTACAGTATTGGCGATCGTCTGGCATAGAAGGAAGTGGCAAGTTTCGCCTCCCATTTTCATAGCGAGCCTTGCCATACCTTTTCACTATGCCGCCCACTGTGTGCCTCGTGCATTCCCCGTGCTGCCCTGATACAAGGATATCGGCGCATCTTTGCCTGACTACTGTGCGAGCCGAAATGCAGGGAGAAATTATTGTGCCAAGTCTCTGAGTATACCTGAGATCGTCATCTTAAGCTTCCCGCCTGCGGCTTGGCAATGTGCAGGGCATGCTATTGGTTAGAGTTTCTGCCATAAAGCTTGAGTCTACTGCGAAATCTTGGACGGGACATGAACAGCAATACCATGGCTACATATAACAGAGTACGAACGCTCCTGTCTCCAGGAGAATAGATCGCTGTTGGGTGTTACAGAAGCGCAGATCTTCAGACCCCTTTTCGGGCTTTGAAGGCACCCTTGGCTCGGCCCTGTCGCTGCCCATGAAGAACGCATCGGGTGTCCACCTCCACATGCATCCCGATGTTTAGATCAGACCTCTCCAGAATGCACTCCAGAGAGTCGAGTCGTCCTTGTCCCTCCACACTCGGACATCGAAGGTACGTCGACCACGCTGCATACACGTGGTTGTGCCGAAGTGACATGAATCAGGCTTCCAGAGGATTGCAGAGGTCGAAGTCTGATTGCCGGATAACCTGAATGCTCTGGAACCGACGGCTCTTGTACGTGGTGTAGGATTGTCTACAGACACCAACTGTCTAGCGCTCAAGTAGCAGGTCACCGAATGGTCACTCCAAACAGCGAATGCATCCTCTTCCAATCCTTAGATGCAACGTATGTCTTATCGCAGTCGTCTAGCTCGACGCCGTATTCCTGTATGCAACACTCGAAAGGAGTGTTGCTCGCCGGACCCGTTCCATCTATCTCCTCCAGATTTCCCCAAAGAATGAACATCTTCTCGCGAACCTTTGCAAGTAGCTTTGGGTTATGTCTGAGGTCATCAGGGTCGTCGAAAGTGCTGCCAAACAGCCACTGCGCGCTGTCATGGTGCACTTGCACCCAGATCCGATGGACTTCAGGCTCATCAGAGACACCACTGGGAAGTATGGCGTCCTCGAGCAATAAGGAGAAGAGCCACTCATATGTGGGTGATTGGATCGCCCAGTCAGCTTTGTGCGGACTACTCTCGTCGATAGGCTCGGACGAGACAGCAAAATCTTCCAAGATTTTGGGTTCATAGTCGACCACGCGAACGCGCGCTCGGTATCTTGCATTGATGAATGGAAGCGTGTATGTGCTTCCATCTGGTGCTTCGTTGGTATGCCTTGCATTGGTAGCGTCCAGGATGTCTTTCACCCTTGTCAGATTGACTTCTTCGTGAGCACATTGCACAGATGGATTGGTCCTGGCAGGATTGACTCGCGGTCTGGTCGCAAGGCTTGCATGCTCAGCATCAAATGCTGTCGACCCATTCGCCGCCATCTTCGCTGCTCGCTTTTCCTGTTTCTTCTGCCGTTTCTTCTCTTTCTTCGACAGATTCACCTTGCTGGCTTCCTGCTGAGCTATTCTGGCGTTTCGTTTGTTCCAGTACTTGTCCTTTCGGGCCATCATTTCTTGCACTTCCTGTATGGCCAAGTTCTTGACCTTCTGGATCTGTATTTTCTCGGGATGTTTATCATCTGGCCACATGTCGCCTTCCAAGAACGCGTTTTCCGGCGTGATCCTCATCTTGACATTTTTCAACAGCACGACATCGCCCTCGTTGAGATTTGCGTCGGCGAATCGTGCGTGTGGTGCCTTCAAGTTGACCTTGTACACGAAATGGCCCCAAGGCCCTCTCCACGCTTTCTTCTTTGGTCCATTATATCCGTAGACATCTCCGTCTCTGATCGAATCAACTTCCTCCTCTGGGTATGTGTAGCGGCGGACTGCTTGATTTTCGGTGTAGTCCGTAACGTACAAGTCGCAGCCATTTGCGGTCCCGAATGTCTTGATAACGATCGCATAGATATCCGCCCAGGCCTTTTCGTGGCCTCTGAGATCTTTGATTGCTTTGAGCTTTGGATTTCTCGGAACAGTGTCAATCTTCTGTCGCTTTGCAGCTGGCCCATCCTCACGCTCTTCAAGCGGGCGACTGTCGTTGGCGCTTCTTGCGGAAGCCAACTCCACGAAGCTTCTCATGGCCTCGTTGACATGGATGACATATTCCTGCTCAGCAAGATTGAATTTTTCAACATGCTTCGGTATCCCAAGTCGTGGTATAAGACCTTTGTCAGTCTTGTATGTGATACTGAAGACTTTGCTTGGAATGCTCTCGGCGGGGAACACCGTAGCCTCTGTCTGGTGGTTCGAAATCACCATCTTCATATCGCGCGTGATCACTTTGACGTTTCGAAGAAGGACCATATCGCCCACTCTTCGGACCTTGGGCATACCCTCCAAATCGTTAATGAAGAAACGACAAGTCAATCCATGCGAGCCCTCGATAGCCCTAGAAAGCCTTTCGTCCAAGAGCTTGAAGCTGAACATGTAGCTCGAGCCTCTCGTCTTCGTAGGCTCCATCAAGTCGACGACGGTGCCGATGATGCTCACGAAGGTCTCATCAGCAGACCGATACGCGGTCGCGAGATCCACGAAACCTCCAGGTAAGTCCATTTTGAGGGTCGTGGAGAGATCCCGAGTTCGTTGGGAGAAAGTGGCACCAAATGCGGCCAAATTATGTGATGCTCGCACCCTGCCTGTGTTCTAGCCAAGGTCTGGGATGACGCCTAAGCAGCATTGTCAAGTCTGCGCTGTGCCGACTTGATGTCTCTGGAGGATTGCAAATGGTGGAGTAGGGTCTGGGTGAAGTTTAGGGCCAGCAGGTGGAAGGCGCGACAACACGCATTGAGACGGGGAATTCGAGAGCTGTCGCGTGAGGATTTCGCGCAAGGATGGTCTGTGCACCTGTGCCACAACTTGAAGCGACGTTGAGATCCGGGGTTGAAGTGAGCTTCAGTGGTTGCAAGCGAAAGTGATGTTATCAGTCATTGAAAGGCTCCTCCCCGCCCCGCGTTGAGGTCGCGGAGGATTGCGAGAGACCCCCTATTCTAGGACCTAGGTGGTGTCGCGGGGTGAATACAGGGTTGTCTTATGCATTCGCGAAGCAGACCAGAGTATAAGGATCGTGCTATTCTAATGCCTCCTCATCATTTCATATTGATTGTGTTGTGGACGAATTTCTGCGAAGATCACACTTACATCTGCCTTCAACGAGTAGGCGGAAGGAAGGACTACTCAGCGGCTTCTCGAATGCATGATAATGTAAATAAGACACCCTGCAGACCAAACTTCGTTCGAGCATGTGAAAGTGTGTCACCACTTTTGCAGGCAGTCATTTCTTTGTTGTTCTTGCCACTGTAAGACACTGCTCGCGACCTCGGCCACGACTTCTGACCAGCCGAAGATCTAGTTACTTTCTGTTTTCAACACACCCACTCCACTCACCTTGACCCTGACTCCAAGGCCTGCCGAAAAGAGCTCGCATACGACTCTCGCACCTGCACCTGGCCAAGTCGAGTCGGCATACAACACATTTCCAGCAGACATCTCCTTCAGCATCCGCAAAGCCACCACGCACAGCCGTAACCATGGCGGAACGCTACATCCCCGAACATCGCCGTAACAACTTCAAGGCCAAGAGCACATTCAAGCCTGATGAGCTTCGGCGTCGACGCGAAGAGCAGCAGGTTGAGATTCGAAAGCAGAAGCGCGAGGAGAATCTCGCAAAGCGTCGAGGCATCGGCGCTCGTGGTGATGGAGCACCTGGAGCTTCCCTGGGCGCAGCGCCAGATAGCGACGACGAGGGGGCGAATACTGAGAGCCAGGTAAGCACATGCCGCGAACCAAATCCGATGTATAAAATTACTGACTTGTTTCAGCTCAACGAGGAGCTGCCAGCAATGGTTCAGGGCGTCTTCTCAGACAAGATCGAAGACCAAATCGCAGCCACGACCAAGTCCGAAAACTCCTGTCAAAAGAGCGAAACCCACCTATCGAGCGCGTCATCGAGACTGGCGTTGTCGGACGCTTCGTCGAATTCCTCCGCTCACCGCACACCCTGGTGCAATTCGAGGCCGCTTGGGCCCTGACCAACATCGCCTCGGGCTCAGCTCAGCAAACACAGGTGGTCATTGAGGCGGGAGCAGTACCAATATTTGTGGAACTCCTCAGCAGCCCTGAACCTGATGTCCGTGAACAGGCTGTTTGGGCACTCGGAAACATTGCTGGAGACAGCCCAGCATGCAGAGACTTTGTCCTCGCACAAGGCGCTTTGCAACCGCTTGTCCGCTTGTTAGGCGACAGCCGCAAGCTCAGCATGCTTAGGAATGCGACTTGGACACTCAGCAACTTCTGTCGTGGCAAGACACCGCAGCCAGACTGGAACACAATCGCACCCGCCTTGCCGGTCCTTGCGAAGCTGGTCTACTCCCTCGACGACGAGGTCTTGATTGATGCCTGCTGGGCTATTTCATACCTCTCCGATGGCTCCAACGACAAGATTCAGGCGGTGATCGAGGCTAATATTCCACGCCGCTTGGTGGAGCTCCTCATGCATGCCTCTACGTCTGTCCAGACTCCCGCTCTTCGCTCAGTTGGCAATATTGTCACTGGCGATGACGTCCAGACTCAACTCATCATCAACTGCGGCGCTCTTCCTGCTCTCCTGTCCTTGCTCAGCTCAACCAAGGACGGCATTCGAAAGGAGGCCTGTTGGACGATTTCCAACATCACGGCTGGTAACAGCACCCAGATTCAGGCAGTCATCGACGCGAACATCATCCCACCACTCATTCACCTCCTAAGCCACGGCGACTTCAAGACCCGAAAGGAGGCATGCTGGGCGATTAGCAATGCCACGAGCGGTGGACTTCAGAAGCCAGACCAGATTCGCCTGCTTGTGCAGCACGGAGCCATCCGCCCTCTCTGCGATCTCCTTGCCTGCCCAGACAATAAGATCATTCAAGTTGCACTCGATGGTCTCGAGAACATTCTCAAGGTTGGCGATATGGACAAGGAGGCACAAGATGGCAGCTCTGAGCCACCAGTCAACAGATTCGCCCTCTTCATCGAAGACTGCGGTGGTATGGAGAAGATCCACGATTGCCAGAACAACAGCAACGAAGAGATCTACATGAAGGCATACAACATCATCGAGAAGTACTTCTCTGACGAGGATGGTGATGCTGATGTCAACGACTTGGCACCCCCTCAAGGTCAAGATGGCCAGTTCGGCTTTGGTGCTCAGCAGCAACAGCAGAACTTCAACTTCGCCAACGGCGGAGACAGCATGGATATGTAAGGAGTTCCACGATGTCAGGCTAAGGCCAGCTCCACTTCACGACACGCGTGCGATATGCAGAAGAGTAGGACGGTCCCGTTGCCATGAGCTCGCTTCGAGGACCAGGTAAGTAAGCATCACATCATCATCATCATGAGGAGTTGGACATGCAGACGCCGGAGACGACGCCATGAACACTCATGTATGCGGCATCCCCATACGAGCACGAGCTCAGCATCGATCCAAAGCACATCAGCAGCTTTCAAGCGATCCATTGCACCACTCGTCCCGTTCTCACCAGTTTCGACCGACCCCACCACCCTCCATCTTTCCCGCAATCAATAACATGGCGATACCCCCTTTGGACCCCTTCGGCAACCACGACGCATGGACTTCAACAACAACAACAACAACAACATTCTCATCGATTGGCACGTTGCTTGCCACGCACATCCGCTTGGACTGGCGTTACTGGTACTCTTTGAAGTTCGGTGATGATGAGTCTGGGAGATTGACAGATGGTACAGTATGAGGCAGCGCAGCGTTGGGCCTACAACCGGCTGTTTAAACGCGAGTTGCGCAGCGTGTTGATAGATTCAAAAAGATCAATGTACTTTGGCAACGCCGTCTCTTCTCTCTTCATTATCAACTAGTGTTTATGTGGCTCGAAGAGCCACAAGTAAAGGCCGAAGAGCTATAAGTAAAGGCTAAGGCGACGAGCGGGGTAGGGTGAGCTAGATTACTATAGTAACTACTTCCGGAATATGCCTATAGTAATTACTATCCGGAATACCTATAGCGAGTACTATTCGAAATATCTATAGTAAGTAGTTCTTTCCGAGTTAGAACGCTTATAGTAAGTACTACCTATAAGGCGTATAGTAAGTACTACCTATAAGGCGGATACTAAGTCTAATCTAAAACGCCTATAGTAATTTTAATCTAAAACACTTATAGGGATTCTTATTTAGAACGCTTATAATACTAAGTACTATTCGGAACGCGTATAGTAAGTCTAATCCGGAGCGCTAATAGTTAGTACTACTATCTATAACGCCTATACTAAGTTTTATTTAGAAGGCGCTATATAGTAATTCTAATCCGAAACGCTTATACTAAGTCTTATCCGGAACGCGTATAGTAAGTACTATCCGGAACGCGTATAGTAAGTACTATCCGGAACGCGTATAGTAGGTCTAATTCGGAACGGTAATAGTAAGTACTATTACGAACGCTTATAGTAAGTAGTACTTTCTAAAATACCTATAGTAAGTACTATTTAGAATACTTATAGCAAGTTATATCCGAAACGCTTATAGTAAATACTACTAAAAACGCCTATAGCGAGTAGTAATATTCGAAACGCCTATAGCGGTAACTATCTAAGATATCTATAGCGAGTAGTACTATCCGGAACGCGTAGAACAAGCCTTATTTTAAACGCTTAGTATAGTTAGTTCTATATAAACCGGAACGCGTATAGCAAGTCTAATCCGAAACGCTTATCGGTATTCGAACTGCTTATAGCGAGCGCTAAGTACCCTATATAACGCCTACTACGAGTACCTTATAAAACGCCTATAGCGAGTACTCTATAGAATACCTATAGCGAGTAGTACTATCCGGAACGCGTAGGATAAGCCTTATTTTAAACGCTTAGTATAGTTAGTCCTATATAGGCCGGAACGCGTATAGCAAGTCTAATTTAAAACGCTTATAGAAAGTCTTATCCGGAATATATATAGTAAGTCTAAGTGTAATCCGAAACTAAATACTTATATTAGGTACTACCCGGAAGGCCTAAAGCGAGTAGTACTATCCGGAACGCTTATAGCAAATACTATCTAAAACGCCTATAGCTAAATAGTATTCGAACTATTTATAGCAAGTACCCTATATAACGCCTACTACGAGTGCCCTAAAAAACGCCTATAGCGAGCCGGAATGCGCCAATAGTAATTGCTATCCGGAATACCTATAGCGAGTACTATTCGAAATATCTATAGTAAGTAGTTCTTTCCGAGTCGGAACACTTATAGCAAGTACTGCCTACAAGGCGTATAGTAAGTCTAATTCAAAACGCTTATAGCAACTTTAATCGAAAACAACTATAGGAATTCTAATTTGGAACGCTTATAATACTAAGTACTATTCGGAACGCGTATAGTAAGTCTAATCCGGAGCGCTAACAGTTAGTACTACTATCTATAACGCCTATACTAAGTTTTATTTAGAACGCGCTATATAGTAACTCTAATACGGATCGCCTATACTAAGTCTTATCCGAAACGCGTATAGTAAGTACTATCCGAAACGCGTATAGTAAGTCTAATATAGAACGCTAATAGTAAGTACTACTAAGAACGCCTATAGCAAGTAGTACTTTCTAAAATACCTATAGTAAGTACTATTTAGAATACTTATAGCAAGTTATATCTGAAACGCCTATAGTAAATGCTACTAAAAACGCTTATAGCGAGTAGTATTATTCGAAACGCTTATAGCGGTAACTATCCGAGATATCTATAGCGAGTAGCACTATCCGGAACGCCTATAGCAAATACTATCTAAAACGCCTATAGGCTATAGTAAATAGCATTAGAACTACTTTTAGCGGACACCCTATATAACGCCTACTACGAGTACCTTATAAAACGCCTATAGCGAGCACTCTATAGAACACCTATAGCGAGTAGTACTATACGGAACGCGTAGGAGTCGGTAGGACAAGCCTTATTTTAAACGCTTAGTATAGTTAGTCCTATATAAACCGGAACGCGTATACTAAGTCTAATCTAAAACGCTTATAGAAAGTCTTATCCGGAATGTATAAATTAAGTCTAAGTCTAATCCGAAACTAAATACTTATATTAAGCACTATCCGGAAGGCCTATAGGCTAAGACTATAGCGAGCAGCACTATCCGGAACGCTTATAGTAAGTACTATCTAAAACGCCTATAGTTAAACAGCATTCGAACTATCTATAGCGAGTACCCTATATAACGCCTACTCTAAGTACCCTATAGAACGCCTATAGCGAGTACTCTATAGAACATCTATAGCGAGCAGTACTATCCGGAACGCGTAGAATAAGCTAACTGTTACTAACAACGCCTATAGTAAGGCTAACTTAGAGCACTTATAATAGTAAGTACTATTCGGAACGCGTATAGTAAGTCTAATCCAGAGCGCTAACAGTTAGCACTACTATCTAAAACGCCTATACTAAGTTCTTCTTAGAACGCGCTATATAGCAATTCTAATCCGAAACGCTTATACTAAGTCTTATCCGGAACGCGTAGAGTAAGTACTATCCGGAACGTATATAGCAAGTCTAATTCGGAACGCTAATAGTAAGTACTACTAAGAACGCTTAAAGCAAGTAGTACTATCTAAAATACCTATAGCAAGTGCTATTTAGAATACCTATAGTAAGTCTAATCCAAAACGCCCGAAACGCCTATAGCAAATACTGCTAAAAACGCTTATAGCGAGTAGTAATATTCGAAACGCTTATAGCGATAATTATCCGAGATATCTTTAGCGAGTAGTACTTTCCGGAACGCTTATAGTAGATACTATCTAAAACGCCTATAGTTACTAAATAGTATTCGAACTACTTATAGCGAGTACCTTATATAACGCCTACTGCGAGTACCTTATAAAACGCCTATAGCGAGTACTCTATAGAATATCTATAGCGAGTAGTACTATCCGAAACGCGTAGGCTAAGCCTTTCGAGCATACCGCCTCGAGCAAATACCGCCGGATTAGGTATAAACGACCGATATAGCATCGGAAATAATACTATCGTAGCCTTACGATATATACTACGACTCCTACAATCTCCGAACCGCTTACGAACTATATACTACGACTCCTATAATCTCCGAACCGCTCGTAAACTAAGAAATTTTAAAGTTCCTCGGCTATAGCTAAGTAGAGTCGGCTTTTAGCTTATTTTAAGCCGTAGTAAGCCTAAAGGGGCCGTAAGTACCCTATAAAACGCCTATAGCGAGTACTCTATAGAATACCTATAGCGAGTAGTGCTGTCCGGAACGCGTAGGACAAGCTAACTACTATCTATAACGCCTATAGAAAGTCTAATTTAGAACGTTTATAATAGTAACTTAGTAAGTACTATTCGGAACGCGTATAGCAAGTCTAATCCGGAGCGCTAATAGTTAGTACTACTATCTGTAACGCTTATGCCAAGTTCTATTTAGAACGCGCTATATAGCAATTCTAATCCGAAACGCCTATACTAAGTCTTATCCGAAACGCGTAGAGTAAGTACTATCCGGAACGCGTATAGTAGGTCTAATTTAGAACGGTAATAGTAAGTACTATTACGAACGCTTATAGTAAGTAGTACTTTCTAAAATACCTATAGTAAGTACTATTTAGAATACTTATAGCAAGTTATATCCAAAACGCTTATAGTGAATACTACTAAAAACGCCTATAGCGAGTAGTAATATTCGAAACGCCTATAGCGGTAACTATCTAAGATATCTATAGCGAGTAGTACTATCCGGAACGCGTAGGACAAGCCTTATTTTAAACGCTTAGTATAGTTCGTCCTATATAAACCGGAACGCGTATAGCAAGTCTAATAATCTAATCCGAAACGCCTATAGAAAGTCTTATCCGGAATGCATAAAGTAAGTCTAAGTCTAATCCGAAACTAAATACTTATACGAAGCACTATCCGGAAGGCCTATAGCGAGTAGTACTATCCGGAACGTTTACAGCAAATACTATCTAAAACGCCTATAGTTAAATAGCATTCGAACTATCTATAGCGAGTACCCTATATAACGCCTATAGCGAGTACTCTACAGAATATCTATAGCGAGTAGTACTATCCGGAACGCGTAGGATAAGCTAACTATTATCTATAACGCCTATAATAGGTCTAATTCAGAACGCTTATAATACTAAGTACTATTTAGAACGCGTATAGTAAGTCTAATAACTCTAATCCGGAGCGCTAACAGTTAGTACTACTGTCTATAACGCCTATACTAAGTTTCATTTAGAACGCACTATATAGCAATTCTAATCCGAAACGCTTATACTAAGTCTTATCCGGAACGCGTATAGTAAGTCTAATTCAGAACGCAAATAGCAAGTACTATTAAGAACGCTTATAGCAAGTAGTACTGTCTAAAATACCTATAGTAAGTGCTATTTAGAATACTTATAGCAAGTCTAATCCGAAACGCTTATAGTAAATACTACTAAAAACGCTTATAGCGAGTAGTAATATTCGAAACGCTTATAGCGGTAACTGTCCGAGATAGCTATAGCGAGTAGTCCTATCCGAAACGCTTATAGTAAATACTATCTAAAACGCCTATAGTTAAATAGGATTCGAACTATTTATAGCGAGTACCTTATCTAACGCCTACTATAAGTACCCTATAAAACGCCTATAGCGAGTAGTACTATCCGGAACGCGTAGGATAAGCCTTTCGAGCCTACCGCTCCGAGCAAATACCGCCGGATTAGGCGCGAACGATACCGCCTCGAGCAAAAAACGCCGCCGGATTAGGCGTAAACGACGGAGACGGCCTCGGAAACACTACTATCGCGGCGCCGGAGCGTTATAGTCGATCCTGCGACTCCTACGCCTTCCGGACCGCGCGAGAATCGAGAAATTTTGAAGTTCCTCGCCGCCGACCAATTAGAGTCGGCTTTTCGGTCGTTTTGAGCCGCACTAAGCCTAAAGGGGCCCCAACTTTTGTTGAGTTGTCATATTATTGATGAGGAGAACATGGTTAAATGACACGGCTCCGTGGAAATAGGAGATGTGGTTGACCCTGATTCGATCTTTAATGTCACGGCATTAAGGTTGGCCAGGGTTATGATGAGCACGAAAGTAGATTTCAGATTCCCGAAGAAGTAACGCACACATCGTGACACATGACAGCAGTGATGGATGCACATGAATGGCGTGCAGCGGAGAAGGGCAGCAAGAAGGCTGGTTCTTGTTGGGAAGTCGTTATGTCTCGGTACTTGCACGGGGACAGAGCAGTGTTTCCGAAGTCTCCTTCTCATGTAGCATGCAGATGAGTGGATGGGCAAAGGCGTGCAGGAAAGATGAGCACGCGACAATCCATGTCTGCGCACAGAGCCGTGGTACAGGAGCGGCACTGCGGCAGAAACGAGGGTTGTGTTTCGAAAGGCATGGAAGGGCGCCAAAAGAAGATTGCATTTCGGAAGAGGTGGACGGACGCAGACCTGTGCGGAGGGTGGTAAGCAGGCCCACGCTGTTCGGAGCGAGAGAGCGGTTGGCGTGGCGTGGCCATACGATATCGTACCACAAGCTTTATTTTTCGACAGAACTCAAGTCGGTCGCGTCGTGTGGAAGTTGGACGGAACGCGAGGGCGAAGGCGAAGGCGTGACGGTGGCTAGTGTACGTGTACGGAGGAGGAGCGGTAATTTCATGGAGGTGCAGGTCGTTTGTGTAAATTGTGTTTGAAGAGATGAGCCAATCTACGACGGGAGGGGCTTGGCATTGCTGCTCTCCTCTTGAGTCTTCACCTGCTGATCAGATGCACGTTTGTAATCACCTCCAAGTCCACCCTGCTCGGCCGGCAGCAGCAGCCCTTCCCGCACCAAGACCAGAATCGTCTCCTGTGCATGGCATGGCTCTGGTGGCATAGCTTAGCATAGCATCGCACCGTCATCTAGTGGCATCGGCTTCGACACGTCTGGCTTTTTCGGACGATACATAGTTCTACGCCACGCGCCAAGGGCGGCTGGCGGCTCGCGGCTGGCGTTGCTGCGCACTCCTCTCTCGAGTCCCGAACAGCAGCAAACTTGAGCAGCACCCGCCGGACACACTACCACCGCCGAGCACCACACCACACGAACCACACGCGTGCACGACGACGAGACTGCGCGCTCACTGGTCTAGGAAGGAGCGGAGCGGAGCGGCGGTCGCTCGGTGTCTGGTCTGGCGCAGCAACAAAGCCAGCGCCTCCCCGCCCGACACCGACACCGACACCGACACACCCTCACGGCCCAGCAGCGTGAGAGAGACCAAGTGCACGAGTGAGCACAACAATACCATTCCCATCTCGTCTCTTGGAATTGGCGCACCTTTGGGAGTGAGCTGTCTTGTCTTGCATTTGCGGCGTTCTGTCCTCAAAAGATCCGTCATACGCTCCTGCCACCGTCCGCGACTTACCAGTCCACATCGAGTCCATCGACTTTGCCTCGACTCTGCATCCGACACGAAGCCTTCGCCTTGATTGCCGCTCTGCGCGGCCTCCTGCTGACACGCAAACATGCGCGAGGTCAACTTCAGCATCCCCAACGCAAACAAAGCCTCCGTGGGCATCACAACCGCCCTCTATGACCGACGAGCGCTGGATTGCACGTCTACCCTCCCTCTCATCAACTCTCTAAACAACCTTGCATATCTAACTACATCCTCCGGTCGCATTCGAGATATACTCACCGTCGATGGCGGTATTGAGCGTCTGGTCTGCATTCTCAAGGAGGGTCGGAGCAAGGACATGATGGAGATGTGGAAATGGAACCTGGCCTTCCAATGTATTGTAAACATCGGCGTGAGAGGCTCGGAGGCGGTGCGAACTCGCGTGGTAGAGGCTGATATGGTCCCCGTCATCGCCACCATCCTGGACAACTACTTCCAGGTGGTAGAGAAGAGCCGAGAAAGACTGGAGCTGGAAAACAGACGAAAGTGCCCCTTCAGCAGGGCCTTTTCGCGCTCTTCAAACAGGAGCGAGACCAGTGAGCGAAGAAGCAGACGACATGCTCCACCTCCAATCTCCATCCCAGAACCCAGCAATCCTCCTGAGGACGAGCCTGCGAGTGAAACGACGCCAACAGTCCACACGGCAAACCTGTCACTCAGCTCGCCTCCAGAGCGGACAATCTTCCCTCATCACCAGAGGTCGAACGATAGTCGGGGCCAGCTTCCCTCGCCCACAGGAGGTAATAGCCGACGAGAAGCCCCCATATCTTCCTTGACGTTGCAGAGCAATGTTGGACACGGATTTGTGCGACCCGTCCGTGACATTGATCGACTTCCCTCAATGCTACCGACCCTGCACCCAGGCCCAAGCTCCCAACCACAATCACCTACTACCCCTGGCGCTCCCATGCAGCAACCTGGGACTCCACGAGCCTCAGCAAGCGGGATGCGACCACGAAGAAGACCGTCTATTAGACATCAATTGTCTATCTCGGGCTCGGACGATGACGGACAGCTTGAAGAGAGCGTCTCTGAAGAGTCAACCGGCGTGGATGGCGAGCCAATGGTCGGCATCCAGTCAGACATCCCCATGGAAGACATTGGAGATGATATGGATCAGCAGAACAATGGCGTCCCTCTTGCTGTGCCTGATGTGTCAAGCGCAGATGATGAGACATTCAGCATCACCCACAGGGCAAATGGAGATGGTAGCATGGCTGCAACGCCCACTCAGGGACAGGTTAATCTGCCACAAACACAACTGCCACCACCAGTGAGCGCTATCAACGCAACACCTCCGAACCTCAATGCTCCTGCGTGGTACCCGGGAAGAGCACTGCCCCTTGATAGACCAGCACCTGCAAGCATCCTAGCTGCGATGCCACGAGATGAAGACGTTCTCATGTCCTTGCAGCTCTTGGCATACGTGTCAAAATACTGCAATCTGCGATCGTACTTTCAGCAGTCGCATCTCGTGCCGAGACTTAAGATCGACCGCGAGCTTCGGATGCTGGATGCGGACTACAATCCTGCCACTCAACCAACGCCTACGCAGGAAGAGCTCGACGAGGAGTGGGATAATGAGTTCGTGAAGAAGGCCGACGAGAAACCATACAATATCTTCCCTCTCATTGAGAAGTTCACCGCAAAACCGTCATCGTCCAACCGGCACTCCAACCCCGCCTCTCCACAACAAAGTGACATGCAATACTGGGCTGGGGTTGTTATGCGAAACCTTTGCCGGAAGGATGACAGCAGAGGCGGTATCAGGCAGTGTGCATACTGGCAGTGCGGCAAATGGGAAGAATACACCAGGCAATTCGCCAAGTGCCGACGATGCAGGAGGACCAAGTACTGCAGTAAAGAGTGCCAAAAAGGTGCATGGGGCAGCCACCGATTCTGGTGCGTTCCAGCTGAAGACAGCAGAGAGGGTGAAGCTGGATCAAGCGAGCACCGACACCGACACCACACATCCCGCCACCATCACCATCACCACTGAGTCTTCAGCGATACAGCTGACTGCATCTTTGATTCGGGAGGCCCCTCTATAATGTTTATACGACCCGAGCTCAAACAGACGACGCTCTGACTGTTTATCACTTGGAAGCACAGCATAGCAAGGAGTTCTCACAGTCTGCTTTTCTGGCGTCAACTCTTACGATCTAAGGACATGAAGATAGGCACTACCATACGTGGTGCGAACAGCAAAATGCTTCCCCGGATGGGGACGAGATCCATTGCTAAATTGGAGGTGATTGGGGTCACAACCTATTGGACACTCTTATTGGATCAACGATACCACAATGGAAGTACTTTTCTCTTGAGTTTTCGAATAAGGACGGCATAGGTACCGTCTCATGGCTTCTATATGATTGAAGCCTGCTGGACGAAGAGCTAATGCCATGGCAAATGGAAGAGGGAGTTTTGCTGTTCTTTCACGGCTGAGTTGTGGATTGAAACGAGTCGTCGTGAAATGGATTTGTGGAATAGCATTGAGGAAGGCATTACTACGTCTCATGAAATGATATCATTCATTCATACTTTGTTCCTTGTCATTGTGTGTGTCCTATCCAGGGGTGGGTGAGTTAAAATAATGTTCCACGTGCAAGCGCGACCCAAGTAGAGAACGGAGGTGGGGCATCATGAATGTTTCCTCGACATGACAACCAAACATCTCCTGTACGCTCGCAAGTCTATATGAGGGCTTCTGACAGCTAGCCCATCGCGTCAACATGATCGACGGTGATCAGACTATCTTCAGTAACATCCGCGAGCCTGCAATAGCATGACCGACTGGATCGAGCAGTACTCCGCTGCTCTAGACGCCAGAGATGCCCGCGAACAGCTTCACAAGCCGTACATAGATGCTTGTGCGTACAATCATTTGATACCCTGATCCTCATCTCCTGACCTCTCCAGACACCCGAGTCGCAGACCGCGCCGCCGCAGCTCGACGAGAATACGAATCCGCATCCAAAAAGCCGGCCTCACCTCTCCCTCTCGATCACACCGCAACCCCCTCAAAACGCGGCTTCACCACTACCAAATCTCCTCCGCTCCCATCTCAAGACCCTTCCGACCTCCTCACCGCTCTACGAACAGACCTCTCCAACACCCAACGCGCTCGCTCCGTCCTCCAATCCCAAGTCACAGACCTCACGTCCCAACTGTCTGTCGTGCAAGCTTCCGAAAAGCGATCCTCTGCACAGATGGCATGGCTGCAAAAGCAGAAATTGGAGATTGAGAGGAAATTGAGGGATCGGGAAGAAGAGATTCGTGGGAAGGCGAAGTTGGTTGAGGAGGCGCAGGATGAAATGGTTAGTTTGCAGTTGCAGTTGAATTTGGCGGAGCGCAGGAGGGAGGAGGTTGAGGTTGAGAATCGGGAGTTGGTGGAGAGGTGGATGAAGAGGATGGGGGAGGAGGTTGAGAGAGTTAACCGGGGGAGTGGATGGGAGTAGGGAATGATGATGAGAGACGAGATGAGGATATGATATCGCGAGGACTTGATATAGATTTTGCCGTTATGGAGGAACTACATACACCCCCATCGATCTCCTCTTTCATACCATTCGCTTTTACGTGTGAAGTGGCAGGTCGACAATCCTCGAGTAGATCCTCATTCCCATCAACACTTCCCAGATTCGCATTTGAGCTCACAAGAGGCAAGCCCCCAACGCTCGTGCGCACTTCTCCAGAAGTTCCTGTGATGTGTATGGCAATGGGACCAGCATCAAGACAATTGTTTAGGTCAGGAAGGATCACTGCCCTTGCATATCTGTGTTCAGCCGGCATTCCTTGTTATATAGCGGTGTTTATCGGAGACTCGGTGTGAGCTGTACAACAGCTGTGTGCTAACGTTACAGTAAGTGGTACAGATGTGAGCTGCAGGTTGCCGAGGAATTGCAGGCATTCTGACACGGTGTTAGTAGTTAGCTCATATAAGGCAGATCACAAGCTGGTTTGAAGGTCGAGCATGGATTGTGTTTCGAATACTATATAGCTTTGAACCTTGAGATGGCGTGGTTTCTCCTGATGAAGCATTCTGTGATGAAAATGTCGGCATCGGCATTATTATTCCGCACGCTCACGGCAAGGAGAAGCACTGTGAGCAGATACAAACCTTCTTCAACTGAACATTTGTCAACGCCACGAATCGAGCAGTAACGTTAAATGTACATGGAAGCCACCGTCGTGATTGCGTTCGAGTTCGACAGTGAGGCGATCTTGGTGGCTGACCAGATCTTGTTTCGCCAAATTCGTTTTTCCCCAGGCGCTCGGACACGAAGCTTCGGGGTCTCTGTTTCCGCGACAACCAGGCCATGATGATGGCAATGCATGCCAGACAATCGGCAAATGGTGGGACACGGACTGACATTTCTTTGTCGGCTTTCGTTTGCAGACGACGCGGCGAGCGTGTGCCATGTGGACAAAGATGCAATATTGAGATCAGCCAACGCCCCTTCACCAATTGGGACGGCATGACGTAGGCCGCCTTGCATCGCGTGCAGCGTCTGTGGGCAGCACACGCGCCTGGCGTGAAGCAGCAGCCTGGAAAACCTGGCACGGGCTGGTTGAGAGGCCCAGCGGCGACTAGCCGGCGGGAACAATGGAGCTGCTTTGAGCGACGCGCACTTGCATGCGTGGGCCAAGTCGAGAGTGATGATGCATTGGAGACGCGGTGCAGTTCGAATACCTGGACCTGATCCCCAATTGATGACGTTCTGCTGCGCGCACATGGAGTGCACAGACGATTGGTTGTAGCGCGCGCTTGCCCTTCAAGGTTCCGTGCCTGCCTTCCACCACGCTCCTCTGCCTCTGCCTCTGCCTCTTTCTTTCTCTCTCTCCCTCCCCCAACACCACCGCCCTCGACCAATCCACTTGACCGCGCGCGCGCATCACCAGCGTTGCATAATTCTTGAGATACCCCATCCGCGAGCATTGTCACTTGACGACTGTCACCATCCCTTGCCCTGCTGCTGCTGCTGCTGCTGTCGCAAACCACGGGCTCACAGCACATCAGGACCTTCGGCGAAGGGCACTCCAGCTTAACATCAGCATTTGATTCCACGTCATTTGCCTTCACCCCTGAGGACTCGCCGCGAGCTTCACATCTGATCAGCCAATCCACAACAACTTCTTTCCATTGCAAGCAGCTCGAAGCTCCCCAGCAAACATTCGCACAACCCGCCCATTGAATCAACGCCCAACATGTCTTCGGGCAAGAGCGTCAACGTTCCTACGAACACCAAGATCAAGGAGCAAGATGTTAATGCCAAGCTCCAGCTCTACGGCATCTACTCAGGTACGCGTCGGACAGGGCTAGGGCTCAATGGCAACATCGCGCCACCAATCATTTTACTAACGACATATCACAGCATTTGCGCAAGGCAAAGTTCCTACCAACAAGCAGATCGACGTTGCTTTGAACACGGCCATCAACTGGAAGGGCCTCTCGCAGCCCAACGGCAAGCTGTCCGCCGATGGACAGAAGCTGGTCAAGGACCTCCGCGATGTCATCGAGAAGGCGAAAGTACTCCTTCTCACCAAGAACGATGGGTAAGACTTTGCTCATCAATTCTTGTGCTACCTCGCATGCTAATTGTAGCCTAGCAACGTCCTTCAGGACTTCATCTGGCAGACACAAGCTATTGGTGCAGGAGACGCCACTACTCCTAATGCACCAGTAGACAAGGATACCGCTAAGCAGCACGGCAACCAGGCTGTTGAGGGTCTCCGCACCCTCGGCACGCTCATCATCACCAACGGCCAATTCCGCAAGCTTCTCAACGATGCTGTTATCCTCTTCCGTGACATCGCCGGTGATGCTGCGCAAAATGCTGCTTCGGCTATCAACCCGGACGAGCAGAAGCTTGCGCAAATCGATGCTCCAGCCGAGGACAACACCTGGCATGACGCTCCTAATCTCTCCAAGGAGAACATCAAGAAGCAAATCAACGCCAACGCCCCTTTCTCCAAGAAAGATGCCAAGGATGCTGCCAGCCAGGTCGCTGGTGATGCCACTCAAGCTGCCCACCCATCAGGGTCGCGCGATCCAGCTGACGCTGCAGCACTCGCTCAGAAGGAGCAGCAGGAAGGCGTGTCCACTGGTCTCGATGCCCAAGCGGGTGCCAAGGCTGGTAAGGATACCGTTAAGAACAAGACATGGAATCAGATGAACGAGGAAGACAAGCAGCGCTTACGCGAGTACCGCCAAAAGACTAAGGAGTACTTCCAGAAGAAGGTTCCAAAGGAGCGCCGCGAGCAGATCATCTACCGCTTGAAGAAGATGGTAGTTGAGATCCAAGGCCACCAGGACTGTAAGTATTCCCTTGCCGCGGACTGGATATATCGGACAGACGTCTTTGCTGTGGGGCCTTCGCAAGGTCCACTGCTATCCGAGACGCTACATTATCCAGGTCGTGGTGAAGTATGTTGAAAGTGCAAGTGCTAACTCATGCTACAGACCAACAGGCCATTGAAACTTTGCTCCGCCTGGCCGAGGAATACACTGGCCATACCAAGAACCTCGCGGCTCAGTCCCAAGGAGCCGTCAAAGGTGCCCATTCCCAGGATTCTCTGACTATCGCGGAAGCTGACTTGAGGGTGCGTTGTGATTTAGAACTCTCCGAGAAGGGTCATATCAGTCGAATGCTGACTGATCTAAAGACACTTCTCGAACGCTTTGCCAACAGCACGTCATTCGACGACCTTTTCGAATCTATTAACCAGATTTACACCGATGCAGACCGTGACCCGGAGCTGAAGAACTTCTTCAAGAATGCCAATAGCTTTATTCGCCGCTGCCTCCAAGAGCAGGGCTACATCCTCCAGGACGAATCCAACGAGGTACGATTGCACAAGACTTCGTAACATCTCAACGTGAGACTGACTACAGTAGGAATGGAACCGCCTCTACGACCACGGTAACTTCCTCCTCCGCGACCGCTACCGCAACCACACCGACCGTATTGTCGACGAGGTCAAGTTCTTGGCCGGCCAATTCGAGGAGGACCCACAGAACAAGGCCTTTGGCGAGGCTATGGACAAACTGTTCAAGGACCTTGGCAACGACTCCGATGGCAAGCCAGAGTTCAAGCCACATCTTGTCAAGGATCTCACCGAGGTTCTCATCCCAGCGTTCTTCGAGAATGTGCGCTACATTCCAATTCCACGAATTGAAGTTTCCGACCCACAGATCGATGCCATCGTTGAGAACCTCGTCATCGAGGGCGACAACCTGGCACCAAATATGTTCGAGTTCGGCTCGGACAACTACTGGCGATGGGGCCGCAAGGGCATTCAAAACCGCAACAAGAACAAGGTCATGCTATCTGCTAGCGGCATCCAGATGGATCTGCGTGACGTTGCTTACTACGTCAAGAAGAAGCAAGGCTTCCCAGGTGTTACCGACAAGGGTGTCATGGACATCTTCCTCGGCGGCACCGGCTTGAGTTTCAAGGTGGCGATGGAGACTGCCGACAAGAACGACCGTCAGCACTTCTTCAAGATCAACACCGTCAGTGTTGACATCAAGAACATGGACATCAAGGTCAAGCAGTCCAACCACAAGTTGCTCTTCAAGCTCTTCAAGCCAGTTCTATTCAAGGTGCTCAGACCAGTCATCCAGAAGACTGTTGAGAAGCAGGTTCGTGATGCCGTCACGAAGGCTGACGCATTCCTCTACCAAGTCAAGCAAGAGGTCGATCGCGTCACCGAGGAGGCGAAGAACAACCCAGATCCAGAGAATTTGGAGAACATCTACCAGCGCTATTTCAACGCTTTCCAGAAGCAGCTGCAGAAGGGAGAGCAGAAGAAGGAGGAGGTCAAGGAGAAGGCCGCTCAGACCAACGTCAACGTTGCCGTCACCAAGAACGACTCCATTTTCAAGAACATCTCGCTGCCAGGCGGCATCTCCACCAAGGCTACCGAGTACCAGGAGCTTGCCAAGAAGGGTGACAAGTGGGAGTCGCCAGTCTTCAGCATTGGCAGCGCAAAGGAGTCATCTGGCCTCCCAAGCGTCTCTCGCCCAACGCGAAAGCCACACGCCGTCACTCAGGGCGGCGTGCGTGGTCAATCATCAAGCACCTCCGGAGCTGGTGTTGGTGGTTTTGGCGGCACCCCGATCGTCAATCAGCCAGTTGGCCTCTCTGACAACCCAGTCGGCGCATCACAGACTAACGGTAACTTCGCCAACCAGGTCAACGATGCCTTCAAGCCAAATGCCAACATCTAGAAGGCTGCCAGAAGTAGCAATTCCTCAGGTCTTGTCGACAGTTTTCGACTTGGTGACGTAACCGCGATACAAAAGCTCGGATACCCTCATGTACGATCGCTGTTTCGGGCGTTGGTCATCAGATGGAGAGATACCCAAACTTGTTTGTTCTGGAGAAATGATACCACTGCTGCGTTAGAAAGAGGAGAAGAAAAGAGGACAGGAAATGGACACAGCCGATACTCTCAGTAATATGCACTCGGCGAGCTTACGACTCTCGCTTTCGAGTAACTTTTGTAGTCTTTTTGAAAATTGATGGGTTTCCCTTACTCAAGCTCGCGTTTTGTCGTGCACAACTGTCTACACTAGTTTCAACGGATCTATCTAATCTGGACGAGTAAGGTGATGCTGCAACTGCGATGAGCGCTGTCTTTACAGGAAGAAGATATGGGATGAGCCTAACGTGCCTAGCTAGGGTTGATGCTATACAGGTAAAACTCGAAGTCGAGAGCATAGCAGCGACAACGACGAACATTTGTGGTAAAGTCTATCGCTACATGAAAAATCTTTTGCAGCTCTAATATGCATTTTCTTTTTATTTCATTCTGTCTGGCATCATTCGAGGAGCACAACATTGGTTGGTTGCAACGTGGAATGCGACTGATGAATGTTCTCTCTGCTTCAACACTGCATGCATGCAGGCAGGGATGGATGGATGTCTATGTACCGACCGTCATGGAAGTCAAGCTCACGCTGGGTCTTTTCATTGACACTCTTCCCTGCTGAATTGTGATGCTGCTAATGCTCGGGTGCTCTTGATTGACGGAAGAAAAATTCCTCTACCAAAGGAGCTGGTTTTCTTGCTTTCTTGCTTGGATGGCTCACGGATTTCATCTCCGCTGCTCCAAGTTCTAGTCTGTCCCATATTTCCCACCTAGAGCTCATCGATGGGATCGCCGTTTCTCTTCTCCGTGTTAATTCTGTTCTTCAGCTTTCGAGGATCTATCCCTGCCACATGCTCAGATCAATCATTCGATGCCGCCGCACTCTCTGCAGTCACGTCGGGACTCCTAGTGGTGGCTTCGCCGATTTGAGGATCCCAGTCCAGAAACATGTCCTCAAGCAAAGCAGCTTTCTTCACGTGTCCACACGGCTCTCGACTCCCCAGCAGATTCTTCACTTCTTCCACGGCCCATTCGGAGGCCACGAATAAGCCTGCTGGGGTGCACCACGGGAGGAATGGGATGTCCAGCATTCTGTTGAGCCGACGGAGCACATGGGCTCTGGAAATCAACTTGTGGCCTGGGAGTGTGTACAGCAGGCAATGCTCAATCTGCTTGGGCGTATATTGCTCATGGAAGGTGACGCCTGAGAACACGCCTGAGGGAAGGAAGATCTCGCCCATCAAATCCCCGAACTGCTTCTCGGTGCGGATACCGATTGTTTCCATAGCTCCGTCCATGAATGATCCGGCCAAAATTGCTACCGCCTCCAGGATGTCTTCCTGAGATCGTGGTGTGCTTGAAGCGTGAACGCGGACGTGTTGCAGAACGATATTCCAGGCAAAGGCAATAAAATCGGCAGCCATGGAAGCCTGCTCCGGCGATGAGGTGCGCGGTTCCGGATCAGGGATCTTGTGCCATTGGTGATACCAGTGCAAGGCGAAGAAGGCTATGGTGTTGCCGTGAACTTCTTCGCCGGCTGCCAGGGGAATTCCATGAAAGTTGATGAAGCGGGCGAGAGCGGTCAAGAAGCCAGTGGGCAGACCATTTTCATTGATTGGGTCAAGAGGGAAGTCGCTGAATTCGACGACTTGCTCTCTGAGGCGCTTCAGAGAGCGGGAAACGCTCGGGCCGGTGCAGAGGCGGTGATTTGGCTTGTCATCAATCAGGCTTTGGAAGTATCGGTCGAGTCGACGACACTTCTGGACGTCGCGAGCGGGCACTTCAGCAAGGATGCGCAGATGAAGCTCTGGTGGCAGTTTCGCAATGTGCGAGGTGGGCGCGTCTTGGGTATGTGGAGCGCGGCTGTGATGAGTGCTGATGTCTGCATCGAGAGCGGATGATGGGTTGGGATTCGACATTGTGTCGCATTCAGCGGTTGGCGGTGCATCCAGCTCGTTCGTACCTGCCTTCATCGTCGCTGTGGTGGCGGTGGAACTTCCAAGAAATACATGTAGTTGCTTGGCTCAGGTCGAGGTGGATTCCGACGGTTTGTTTTGGAGTGAGGTTGAGGTGTCGAGGTCTGTGTGACTGAGATTCCGTCGGAGCCGCTCCGTCCTCACATCCGAGTGCATGTGAAGACGGCGTCCAAGAAGAATCTCACATGCGCAAGGATGTTATTGCTACGCCACTTTCTGCTTGCTCCAGACCTTGGGCTCCTGGATGTATTTCCTGCCCTCTGCTTCCTTGCTGTCGCCACGGTCGACCTGCCAGAGCTGGAAGACCTTGCCGTAGAGATGCACGACGTCTTCCATCTCCGCATTCTCGGCCTTCTCCCACACAGCATTTGGCACAGCAGCAGGCGCAGGCATGATGAGCATTCCAGACTTGACCTCAAACACGTGAGAGTGCCCAATCAAGCGAGCATTGGGCGCAGGTGAGTCGTTCAGAATGCATTGCCGCACATCCTCATTGACATGAGCGCAGTAGTGCTTGGCCTCGGAGGTGCGAGAAGGCTCGTTGGCGTAGACGTGGAAGGCGTTGCTGGGAAGGTCTGTGGGGATTCATGAAGTGGAAGGAGCGTTCGCAGGTACATACTTACTCCTGTCGGCAGCGCCTGCCGAAAGCCCTCCGCGTCTCGTGGTCTGGTGAGCGTTTCCGTTTCCGTTTCGCGACCGCGACCGCGACCGCAAGCCTTTTCATCTTGGAATGCACAGTCGTGCCCCATAAACAGACATTCACGAATGGATTCACAGCGACCACGACATCATTCTAATTAAATGCTGTACAAGACAGCCGGAGCATGAGCCACGTTCATTCATGCACAACGCCACGCCCAGTAGCCCTGCATCATGAACTTCGGAAGCAAACCAAACACGACAAACACCGGACCGGTTATTCGCAAGACAACTGTAAAGATCCCTATCCCTCAGGCAGTCAGGCCTGCGCAAACAAACAGCAGTGCAGCAGGGAGAGCGCCCGTCCGCCCGTAAGCCTCCACACCTTCGATCGACTCCGCTCCCCGATATGTACTGTGCACTGCACTGCACATCGCAGACAGCAGTCCTTTCTGGGCACCTGTTTTTGGAGTGACTCGCTGACACATGACTTAGATACAACCCCGATCGCTTTAAGCCCTCCAATACACCAATCTCGAAGAAAGCCCCGAATCCCGCCAAACGTGCTGTGTCCACAGCCAGAGGTGTGAAGCGCAAAAGCGTGACACCGCAACCAGCATGGAGTAGCGATGAAGACGACGACAGCAGCGATGTTGGGGCAAGTGACTCGGATGCCTCACGAAAGCGCATTAAGAGCAGTGTCAGCTCCATTGAAAGTCCCGGTCCAACGCGGCCACTTCTTTCCGAGACAGCTTTCGCTCAAGATACTGTTTTCAAGATCATACACGGCGCAGATGCCACGTCTGGAGAGTGAGTCTCATGCCATCTCTGCGCATCGATAAGAGCTATGCTCTCAGCTTGCAGATAGCAGTCTTGTCTGGCGCTTTGAACACGGGGCGTGCTGACAATATATCCTCACAGATTCACATCCAAGTTTAAGAATCCTTGGAACGATGATGAATTCAGCACCTGCGAGCTGCAATATCCAAGTCGAGGACAAAGGGAGAGATTCCAGCTGAAATGGCCAAAGAACGAGGCAGATGATTACAAGCCCATGGAGGATATAATTGAGACGATTCATACGATTTGCGACAGCTACCTGCCCGATGATCTGGCTACACAGTACACGAGTGAAGAGACTGGTTTCAGAAGGCGTTTCAACCTTGCATGGAAGCGACAGGACGTGGAAGAGTTTATTGAGGTGGTGCATGACTTTAACGCGATGCTGAAGAAACTGGTAAGTGCTTCTCAGCTTCGCGACTCGCCGCAAGCCACGGGCTCCATGTCGCAGACCGCAGCCTCGTCTGGAATTGCGTTGCTCGAGCGGCTCCAACATCCGCTAATCGAGTCTTCTGACTAGGTCAATGACGGTACAGTTCAAACAGTGCTCCGCGGTAAAAGCCATATGCCACTCGATTGGGCTCGGCGCGTTCTCGAACAAATCTACTCAAGGACGGTATCCCCGAAGGTCGAAACTTTGAGACGATACGAAAACGGCAGCGACGATGTGTATGGCGAGCTCCTTCCCCGGTTCGCGAGCGATATCTTCAAAAAGACGAAGCTCAACCACGACATGACCTTCCTTGACTTAGGCTCTGGCGTCGGCAACGTGGTCTTGCAGGCGGCACTCGAGATCGGATGCGACAGCTGGGGCATTGAAAAGATGCCCAACCCCTGCGATCTCGCAGAGCTGCAAGAGAAGGAGTTTCCCGAGCGCGCCAAGCTATGGGGTCTGGACGTCGGCAAAGCCAGGTGTATTCGAGGTGACTTTACGAACAACAAGGAAGTTGGCGAGGTCCTGAGGCGCGCCGACGTGGTTCTCGTTAACAACCAGGCGTTTACTCCGGCACTAAATGACGCTCTTTTACACATGTTCCTCGACTTGAAGGAAGGCTGTCAGGTCGTCAGTCTGAAGCCGTTTGTTCCGGAAGGCCATAAGATGTCCACCCGGAACTATTCCTCAATGGTCAATCACTTTGTACAGCAAAAATTTGAATACTTCTCCGACAGTGTCAGCTGGGGTGCAGATTGGGGCAATTGGTTTATTGCCAGGAAGGACCGGGAACCGTTGCGGCGCTTCATGAAATTGAATGGACTTCGCTAGGTGATGAAGGTCGCTGAGGTTTCGTTTCGCATCTTCATTTTAAACGGCAGTGGCGGAGTTTGCTGACCGTGACCGGCTTGGAGATGATACCCCAAAGAGCATTTGTAGCACTAAGCATTCTGAATTTAACGACCGGCTGTGACTCCACAAGTTCTTCTCGAACTCCGCTGCATTGCAAAAGAGTAGTGGTTCTCGCGTCGCAGATAGTACTCTCGCTCCGACCGGCATAATTGGAGTGCTGGAAGTCGCTCATAGGTGAGCGCGGGTGGGATGCACTGAGCCCAATGGTGTATATTTCGGGGAAAGGAACAGGAGCATTTGTGACCAATTTTACCATCAACTCCATTGCTTGAGGAAGGGCGAGCTCGTCAGGTAGTGAATAGCAGCGTCGTCAAGGTTGCGATCAACTGAGAGCGTTACGACTTGTGCAAAGTCGACGCTACCGCTGCATCGCAGGCTTTTTAGGAGCCTAAATACTGCGATAATGTGAAAGGAAATTGAGAGCATGTACACTCCACAGCATGTCACGTCTCAGCAGGTGATGCCGAAACAGACGTGTGCAGAGAAGGACCAGTCTTGAAGGAGACGAGGCCACACATTTCTTCTTGCGACTCTGTCCACACGAGCTTCGTCCTTGAAAGGTTGCCGACGGCTCGCTCTAGCTATCTCATCGCGTGGAACTACAATAAGCATCATGCCGTACCAAAGAAAAAATTGCTTGACATCGTTGGCCGTACATAGACCGTGCCAGGTGTGCCGTGTGCGGGCGCGTGCTTCGTTTCTTGGTGCAACGTGAGGACTGAGGTGAGGACAGACAACAAGAATTTCGTCGGGAAGTGGTGGTTCGGCGCTTTGACCCTGCTGACTCACTACCCGAACCCAAACCGGACTTCAGATCGCGTCCAATGGCAAGCTCCCCAATAGCTTGCAGCAGGTAATATCTCATTACCAGCTCCAAAACAATGGTATACATATTCTACTGACCAGGAACGATTTCACACTGACGTAGTATCCAGCCTCCAAAGCGAAAGCAGCCAGCGGCAGCAAAACAGCCAGCAAAGCGCCGCTCCAAGCTTGCCAAAGAGAACGATATATCTGCGGACGAAGAAGCCGAGATTCGGGAAGCTTTCGACTTATTCGCGTCGCAAGATGACGAGAAAGATGGGCGAATTTCCAGGAATGATGTCCGTCGGTGCCTCATCGCGTTGAATGCCCCACCTGCCAATAACGCCGATCTGCAAGAGCTCCTCGAAGTCGCGGATCCTGAAAATGCCGGCTGGGTACCTTTTGAGCATTTTCTGCCGGTCGCAGCGCTTCAGTTAAACCGTGCGAAAGGCGATGAAGATGAGGAGAGACAGCAAGAAGAAGTTGACAAGGCGTATAATCTTTTTGTCAAAGGGCAGGATCGTCCCATCACTATTGCGGACCTGAAGCGCATTTCGAAAGAGTTGAGAGAAGATGTCCCAGATAATGTGCTGAAGGACATGATTCGTGAGGCTACGGGCGGGTCACTGGGTGGTGTTGGTAAGGAGGATTTCGAGAGTGTTATGCGGAGGGCTGGTGTCTTTGGTTGATCCAGAAGGTCAAAACAGGAAAGGCCATTCAAGAACCAGGGGCTTGTCATTGTCAGGCGTAACGGAGTTGAGAATGGATATACCCGGTGCGTCACTGCTTCATTCTGTATTCGCGCTATCTACGGATTTCTAACTCGAACACCAGAGTCAATTCTTTCATATAAACGTGTTGTCCCATGCTCCTCGTATCGGGGCTACGAGACGTGCGCGAAGTCCTCATAACGAAGTCCTCATAACCTATGCCGAAGCCGTTTTCTCCGCAGCCTTGCTTATGTCGCTGTAAGCTGAGTGGAAGCTCTCGATTTTGACTTTCTGGAAATTCACCTCACAAACGCAGCTCGGACGGCCCTGATATATCGGCTCCACCAAACTTTTTTCCCGGAGACAGCCAACACGCTGGGCTGAAGATTGGTCCTGGGAGATGCCATGCTGTCGGAGTCCGTTGCACTTGCCCTTGGCATCGCGAAGGCTGTCCATTAGGGTCCTGAATGAGCTGGTGAGGGATCTGCGAATGAGTTGAAGCTGCCGAGGGCATACAGCATGTCATGCCTTCAGCACTCGTGTGGTTTAAAGTCCTGCCTTATGCTGTCAGACTGTCAGCATGACACATCTGTGGCAGACCTGCGCAATGTCAAATGTGGTCCCTCCCTCAAGCAACGGATCAAGCCTCCACGACCCGCAGCCTCGTTGTCCTCAAGCACCCCGATCTACCACTCAGCCTGTAGAGATGGAGCCATTACACTTGGCAATGTCACGACAATGCGCTCGCTCTTACTTGCTGCCATTCGAGCTCAAAAAAGCCAGATAGTCGTGAGTATAAAATCGACAAATCCTTCTTCTCTCTTTCCACTCTCTACACACGCAAGACTGAACGCATTCAAGGCATAGCTTTGAGAACGATCAGAAAATCCCACATCTTGCAGCGTCAAAACACTCTCTCGTACGCATAACATCAATCTCTGTGCGAGAAACCAGAACCTTCACAAATTCTCAAACTCCATCGCCGACAAGGCTCAGAGACAAAAACCAGATACTTCCCAGGAACAGAAAATCCAGCGGTGCTGTGCAGCTAGCTGAGATGGATCTATCCTACGAGTATTTGGAGTACTCTTACGAGACACGGCAGCACATGCTAGGTAACGTCCATGATTCTTTCGATAAATTTTCACCCGATTACTTCTCTAACGACTCACAAGGCTGTGGAATCACGACCTCAGACTCTGATCAGGCTGAGAATAACAGCCCGGAGAGTGCGGTACGCCCTCAGGACGATTTAGAAGGCCTCCTTATCCTTGATTCGGCGATGCCGACGCCGGTCTCTAATGAGGATAACTCAGCTAATCCCGAGACTGAAGAGAGCTTCAATCATCTCTTCGATGAAGGCGAAAATTCAAGCCTCTTTGGAGAAGGGGATGCCAAGGACGACTCCAGCCTTTTCGGTGAAGGTGACGCCGGTGATCAATCCAGCCTTTTTGGCGTGGGCGATGCCAGCAACGACTCCAACCTACTGGTAGAAGGCGACGCCGGCGAAGAAATAGGAGCATCTTCTCAAGACAAGTCAGAGGAGCCCGTTCGCCATGATGCGGCGAGGCCATCACCGGCTCCGATCGAGAGCGATTCGGACGATCAAGATGTGTGGGCACAGATGGATGAACTGCTCAAGATCGACGGCGACGACACAGAAGCATCTTCACCAAACAAGCCAGAAGATGTCATTCTCCATGATTCCGCAATGCCATCGCCGGATCAGCTCGAGATCGATTCGAGAGAGGATGACTGTGATAGCATGTTTGAAGAAAGCAGTGAAGACATCAGCACTCGCCCACCAGTCCTGCCAACAGTTGGCGATAATCGTCCCACCGCATTGGCTCTATCCTCAAGACAACCACCGAGCCCAGAACAGAGCCTGGCACCTTCACGCCGTCCCTTGGCGCTGCCTCCTCAGCGACCACAACCGGCAGTGGAGCTGCGAAATACAGAGGATCCTGCCCATCGTTTTCCACATTTGTCACTGCCTCGACAAAAGCCAGTGGTACCTGCTGTCGCTTCAAGCACTACGACGCCTTCCGCGCAGGCTGACCCACATCCAGTGGCGTCAGTAGATGTGCAGTCAAGGAAGCGTAGGCGAGATGATGATCCGATTGAGATTGAAGACTCATCACCTGTACCCGTGGCCAAAAAGAGCAGGAACAAAAAGACTGTTTCATCCAAGGATGGCAAGGCAGGCAAAAAGTCTACGCGCACTGGATCAAAGCGGTGGACAAATGGGGAAATTGACTCGACAAATGAAACTTTGCGGATCATGGGTGCAACTCGTACAAAGGAGTGGATGCAAGGCAAATCCACAGACTCACGCTATGCCAAGCGCCCTCCGATCGAGACGAAGCGAGCGAAAGAGCGAAGGGAGGCAGCCGAACAGTCTGCAGCTCCACCTGCCACCGCGGAAACGGAGCTTCCTGAACTCAACATGGCTCTGTTGGCCCATAATCTTGATAACGATGACCTATGGGCACCAGACGGAACCCTTTTGTCGCTTCCAACAGATGTAGCGGACACTGCCATCTCGGTGAGCTCCAACGGTACAACCGGCGGTCCACGAGGTGAGCCACCAATGTCAGCGTCTCAAGCCTCACCTCCTGCCTCGCTCTTCACGGGCAGGTCGAACAGTGGCGCCTCGTCGGATTTCAGCAGCACGATCATCGATCTGACTGACGATTCAAGCTCGGCTTGTGGAATCTCAAGCTCTACCTCGCTCTCCACGGGCAGGTCAGACAGTGGCATCTCTATGGCTTCCAGTCATACCACGATTGACTTGACTGGAGAGTCAGGCCCGGCTTGTGGAGCTACATCTTCTGCTTCGCTCGCCTCAGGAATGTCAAACAGTGGCACCTCGACCACTTCTAGCCGTATCACGATTGACTTGACTGCCCAGCCAGAAACAGCTTCTGCTATGCAGAGGAGCCGCGGCGCAGAATCGGCGCAGACAGCAGAAGCCCCATCAAGTCCAGGCCCCAATCTTCCGGCTCCAACATACGGCAAATCATCTTACCAGACATCCTTCCTTAGAGACCAAGAGGAAGCTCTCAACGGTCACAAAGCAGAATTGGAAGCAAGGCTTCGGGTCTATCGAGCCCAGGGACATATGACGGAGATTGAGGTAGATATGAGTGGTCCTGGGGGCATATGGAAAGCGAGAACCCAGCTGAAAAATAATATGACTATGGCGGAATGGAGGAGTCGGCAGAAGCAGTGAGGAGACAAGGAGGACAGTGGTGTGAAGGCAAGGAGCAAGGATGGAAAGAAATTTGGATATGGCGCAATGGAGGAGTCAGCAGAAGCAGTGAGGAGACAAGGAGGACAGTGGTGTGAAGGCAAGGGAGCAAGGATGGAAGGGAAAACATGTAGGTAGTAATGAAGTAGGAACGGACGACCACAATCTCCTTCGAGAAGAAGTTGAGTTGGGGAGGTCGACGGTACAGGGCGAAGGACGGGGCCCTGTGCACATAGCAAATACAAGCTATCATTAACTCGCTCTTCGTTTGATTCATGGCTGTGGAAATGAATGCGTTTCTCGCGTACTAATGTGCATGGCAGTCGCACAAGCTTGCGCGAAGGATAACAAGTGAACGAATATTGTTCGAGCACCTTCGTAGGACCAGGGCTGGCCATGCACCCCGTGTTGCTGTTCTGTACTTGCTGATTGGAGCTATGTCTGGAAATAAAAGCAAGTGAGAATCTGTAGTGGATCACAAGCTGATCCGATATCCCTCTTGAAATGTACACCAATGGTCTGCGGTTCGTAATCCTATATATCTCACATTGAAGGACGCAACGGTGGGAGGACTACATGAACATACAGACAGCACCACTTCTCCTCACCTCACCTCACCCCACCCCATTCCTCTTCCCACATCTAAAAATCTCCACGGCCCCCAGCTTTCACTCCACCCCCTTCCCACTAACCTTCACACCATCCCAGCATCCAACAACTCCCTCCTCAACCTCTGAAGTCTCAATGTCTCATTCCTCCTCAAAATCTGTATTTCCAATCTAATCTCCATACGTTCCTGCGCAGTATCCTTGAGCTGCTTCTCCAACGCCGCAATCTCTTCTTTGAGTGTCTCGATCGAGGCCTGAAGAGCTCGTCTTTGGAGTTCGTCTTCTGAGACTGGAGTTGAGTCTGAGATTGAGGATGTTGCAACTTCGCTGCTTGACATTGTGCTGATGATCGAGGCTTCTTCTTCGAGGGAGTCGAAGGAGGAGAAGCTTTTGGGCCAGGAGGATCGTTGTTGGTGGGCCATGGGTTGGGTTTGGGTAGTTTGGTTTGATTGTGGGATGTGGGTTTGAGGAGAGCGATTGGGCCATACATTTGCTTTGGGAAATCTAGATTCTGTTTGTGAAGAGTTTGTTCTCTTATGTGGGATTTTTTGAAGTGCAAGCATTATTCACAATGATGGTGAGCTGATTGCTTAACAGTCGTGACCTTTGACGAGATGCAGAAAACAAAGTTCACGACATCGTCAGCTAGATGGACATACCTCGAGCCAATCCCATTCTGTATACCATATACATGCTGACCTGTTCTACTACCTAGTAGCAGCTTTTCACCGCAGTGTTGAACGATCGGTATACTTCACCGGCTTCTACTCACCAATTGAATAAGGATCAAGTCCACTTCGGAACTCCACTTCGCAAATCGCCTGGCCTCATGATGCGCTCCTCCTTAGGCCTAGCCAAGTCTTTCACAATCTCCTTCTGGTGTGCCACACAACTTGGTCCCCTCTTCTCAAGCATATCATCACTTGCTGCACTCCTCGCCATACGCTCAAATAACTCCTGATCGATCTCAGTCTGGCAAAGCCCAACCTCTTCAGCCTGATCGACTTTCAAAAATAGCGCATTGACTGCCGTCTTGTAATTTGCGCTCGCGGTGTGCCACTGCTTGCCTCCAATAACTTCGCCCTCGCGCAAACGAGTCCAGTGGATGAGAGTTGTATTGACAACGGTCCGGGTGGCTTGGGCATAGACGAATGGGTTTTTCTCGGGACCAGGATGCCCTGCAGCGTGTTCTGGCGGCATGTTATCTTTGGTGAAGCCGAGAGTGTTGGCTTCAGCATTGAATGCCAAAACGAGGTCGAAGGATTTAGAAGTATATCTTGGGGTGTCTGAGTAGTTCCCCTCTCTGTATTCGTTGGCCACATTGGAGAACTCGCTGATCCATTTTTTGGCGAAAATGGCGGGGGTTGGATGCTTGAATGTCATCAGTATTGCTGCAAGTAGACATTATTGATGTTTTTCGCTTACAGGACCGAACATTGGACGCTCTGCGTTGTTTGATCCCGCCATGTTCATGCTTCGAAGGCTGTCTACTCTAGCAGATAGGGCGCTGGGTGTTGAATATCGAGAAGCAGGAGTGCGTGATTGAAGATTCGTTCTGCTGTCCGTGTGCATGAGCAAGGATCCATGGGCATAGATTCTCAAGATGCCTTCAGGCCAACCGAGTTTAGGTCTGACAGCTCGTATGTTACATCTATGTCCGCTTGTGCAATGTACCAGTCAAGGTGTGTCGTCTTGTCTGATATAAAAGCGCCTTGCTGAGTGAGCCTCGCAAACGCTGTTACCTGGCCTCAAGCATTTGACGGTGTAATCTTCTGCATTGTGGCTCGAAGGATGGGCTGCCCCGTCTCGTGTTTCCATGAAAGCCTGTTGCGCACGTGCACAGTCCTGTGAAGTCTGTTGCATGTGAAGAAGATGGGATTGTCGCGTGTGGGAGCGAGGGTCGCGGTCGCCAGGGGTGTGAAGCTAGTGCCTGATCCGTGCGCAACCACCGCCGCTTGCTAGTTCCCTACCCGTCGAATTTGACCTGAACCTCAACCAAACCACAAAACTCTTTTGAGCAACGAAACAGAAATCTGATCAAAGAAGACTCCACAACCAACCGCAAAGATGGCAGACGAGGACAAGAAGGTGGAGACCACGACCGAGGCCAAGCCCGAGGAGAAGACCACGACCGAGAAGGCCGCAGAGACCGTATCGGCAGTAACGGACAATGTTTTCAGCATGTTTGGCGGAGGCGCCAAGAAAGAGAAGAAGGAAGATGATGACGAGGAGAACGATCGGTCGGGCAGCTCCAAGGCGCAAAAGGAAAAAGAGGCTGCTGAGAAGGGCGATGACGACGAGAAGGCAGATGAGGAAGAGGCTGATGTTCACTTCGAGCCAGTCGTGCACCTTACACAGCAGGTTGAGACTAAGACGAACGAGGAAGCTGAGGAGCAGACTTTCAAGATGCGCGCGAAGCTCTTCAAGTTCGATCGCGACAGCAGAGAGTGGAAGGAGCGAGGTACTGGTGATGTGCGACTTCTTAAGCACAAGGAGAACGGAAAGACCAGATTGGTTATGCGACGAGACAAGACCCTCAAGGTCTGCGCCAACCACTACAGTATGTCACGAACAGCTCGAGGGTGGGGTATACGGAGATACTGACTTGATCACAGTTGTTCCGGACATGAAGCTCTCACCAAATGTTGGCAGCGACCGCAGTTGGGTATGGAATGCCGCTGCAGATGTTTCTGAGGGCGAGCCAGAGGCACAGACCCTTGCCATTCGTTTCGGCAACGCTGAAAGTAAGTAGCACTTTTCGAATATGGTCTAGAAAGCCGATGCTAACAAGCTCGTAGACGCCAATCTTTTCAAGGAGGCCTTCATCAAGGCCCAGCAAGAGAACGAGGCGCTGTTCAAGACCGAGTAGAAGTCGGAAGTCAAGGCGTGCCCTTCTTCTGCTGACATCGAATGGTCTGGCGGGAGTAATACAGCAGATTCGGCGGATTTCTGATAGTCTGCTGTAAGACAGCAACCAGACGAAATCAAGAATAGGATGCACCCGCACACACTCTGACATCGAGAGACCATCTCAGGTCGATCACGGCACTTCTCCTACGGCAGCTGTGACGTGACAAGCACATGCCAGTTGATGATCCAACACCACACAGCACTATCTGGGCGTTCCGTTCTGCACCTCCAACCACTACTGATCCCAATCATTGCACAATACCCTTCTGCATGGCATTGAATAAGCAGAACCTGCTGCTACGAGATGAACAGGCAAATTGTTGCCGGCACCGCTGTGAAAGACAGCGACCTAGTTAGATAGACCAAAAACAGTGCAAACACACCCTTATCCCTCACATACTGCAAAACTTCTTCATTTCCCGTCCTCACACGCAGCAGCACGAGCGTGCCCTGATCAAATAGTACCAGTGTACCACGGTTGAGCACGCGTACTGATAGCAGGGTTGACCCGGACCGGACCCGCAGGTCGGCTTGCCCTGCCCTGGCCGACATCCAGCGAGCATGCGCCCACACACATCAGAGCTCGACTTCAATATACATAACGCGCTTCACCTCACTGCCACCCTCGCCCGCCACCTCTTTCTGACCCCTCTCCAACCACGCGTGCCGACAGCCCATTACTCCGCGACGACAGTTTGCTCAAGCAGACGCTCTTCATTTCACTTCACAAAGAACAGAGTGACGGCGCATGCGATCGGCTTCAGACAGCGCGCATTCTACCGTATTCATATAAGACAACGCGACAATGCCTGACGTGAGTACCTCTCAACAACCACTGCCAGCATCTTCTCCCACCTCAGGTCTTGACATCAACAACCACCACACCCACGGCATTGAACGCAGCAATGGCTCCAAAGCGTGGACTAACCTCGCAGGCACAGGTCAAGAGAACGGTGAAGCTCGTCACTTCCCAGCATGTCATGTAAGTCGCACATCTCTGTCGCAGTGATAGCAGCCGGTATAATTGACGAAGCGTCAGCGACGATCCCCCAGAGGTCGAGGGTTTCCCCATGCGCGCTTGGGATATTCAAATCTTCCTCGTGGGCCCAGATGGCGAAGACATGCCAGCGAACTGCTTCGAGAAGGCGACATATCTCCTGCACGAATCCTTCGGAAAGAGAGCGAAGCAATGTAAGACTACATCAGCGAAAGAGGCGCATATGTGGGAAAGCGGGACTTGGCGCTGACACGGGGTAATAGCTTTCAAGCAGCCGCCATTCACGATCCGAGAGAAGGGATGGGGAGAGTTCGACATGCAGATCATACTCACACCAGTCGGCGCGCCGAAAGGCGGTGATCAGACACTGTCCCATGATCTCAATTTCCAAAATGAGCGATACGAGAGCACACACTCAGTGGTGAGTACAGACGGCCAGAGCTCGTTTTGAGATCCAAGGCGAGAGAGAATAGTACAGCTACTAAGACTTTTTCAGACCTTCCGCAATCCCAAGCCAGAGCTCCTCGAACGCCTGAAGGAATCCGGACCAGCCGGAGAAGCAGTCAACGGCGCTCCAGCAGCAAAGCCCGAGAAGAAGCGTCAAAAGGCCAACCGCAACGTCGATATGGAGAAGCTCGCCGAGGCTCTTCCAACCCTGTCTGAAGACGACCTCTCCAAGTAGTCCAGATGGTCCATGACAACAAGTCGGAGGAGACCTACACTAAGAACGATGTTGAGAGTGAGTGTTCCCTACAACTCCTAATAATCATGCGTCTTGACTAATTTTCCCCCCAGACGGCGAATTCCACGTCGACCTGTACACCCTTCCAGACCAACTCATCAAGATGCTCTGGGATTTCACCGAGAAGCGCGTCGACATGAGCACAGTGGCATAGAATGCCCATGTCAATGCCGCACAGAGCACGCGATCATCACGACGGACCACGCGTCAAGAGACAGCCGCGCCTGCTTGATCACTTGATACCTCATGAACCTCCTGCCTTTCTGGACTGCATTTATAGCTTGACGTGACTGGGATTAAAAAGGGAATCGGACACGGAGCGAGGAGTTCTGGCGAAAAAGGCGAGAAAGAAAGGAAATGTTAGGAGTGGTTGGCGTCTTGTACTTACTACTTACTACTACTACTGCTGCTGCTGCCTACTCACTGCTTCGAGTTGAGTTGAGTAGATTCACCTCGGCAATATACCGATCAATCATTCTTCATTTCAAAACATTGGTGAACCACAAGAGCGATATTCGATGAATGCCTCGCCAGTGCATTCCTGACATGAAAATGAGAGTCCATGGCTGTATGTAATAGCGATATATGTAAAGTAGGATAACCACTGCCCTACCAAAGAAAATCATTCGTTGGCTCGTACGTACTCCAAGGCGCCGTGCTGTAAGTCAGAAGGCAGGGATTCTTGGTATCTCTCGCGTGGTGTCTGTTCCTTGGTATCATCTCATCAATCCCATCAAATCGTCCATGTCCCAGCGCCAGCTCCAACCCTATGCCTCTTGTGCGCCAGTGATATCTCAAGACAGAAAACAACGAAATCTAAAACGCCAATGCTGGTTGCCAGATCATGATATCCTTAGCGATTACCACGAACGTTATATGCACGCTTCACTTTCTCCACCTTCCTCTTTTCCTCAGCCTCCCGTGACTCGCGAAGCGTCTTGCCCAACTTCTGGACATCGCGGACTTCGGACTGCAAGGCTTTGACTTCAGCATAGATTCCGATGTTCTTCTCGGCCCATGCGTCGAGCCTTTTCTCCAGTGACGGCTTTGAGACTGGCTTGCCTGCCCGCTTCCGCTGACATGCTTTCTTGAAGCCTTGAATCCGCTCACGGGACAGAGAAAGCTGCGAGGAGATCAAGGACTTGGAGCTACTCTTGGCAAGTTCGACCTTGTCCTTGACAGAGGTCGAAAGGCCTTTGGTGAACTTGACCAAGTCCTTCTGTATGGCCATCAGATCTTTGGTGAGAGTTGTTGCGGTATAATTGCTGGCCTTGGCAGCCTTGCCGAACATGGAAGCAGCAGTATTGCTAATGACCTGAAGCTCCCGGTTGAGAACTTGCAGCTCCCGAGACACATACTGGGCGACTTGGGATGTGACGTTCTTAGTTGCCCACATGCCTGCACCGAGCTCGGTAGAAAGTTTATCGCCGAGATGCTTAGCCTTGCCTCGCATCACAGCGACATCCTTGCTCACAGCCTTGCTCACATCTGTGCTGGCGGCTTCGTAGCGTCTGTAGATACAGCGGCCAAAATGGTGTGGAGCGGTAACATTCGTGGCGGGGTTCTTGGTAGCCATGTTGACCGTCACTGATCCACAGGCTTCATCAGGATCGAAGGTCACAAGGTAGACGCCATCGACGAGCTTGGTCTGGTTGAAGTCGAGCTTTTTCCCATCGGCTTTGTGAACTATAGTCGATGTTGGCTCTGGGTAGCCGCGCTGTCCTGGCAGTGACAGCACGAAGTGATTCGGGCGAAATGCCTGGAAGTGGGGAATCGCCGTGCATTCCGCTTGGGTAGCAGAGGCGCCTCTCAGAAGGTTGTAGAAGCTGGAACTCCAATCTTGGTAGCACCTAGCTGGTACTTCCGGCAATAGATGCTGCAAATTCAGCTCTGACGTGATGTTGGGCGAGTTTGTGGCCTGCTGGAGAGAAAAAGATAGTGCGGCACGTCGAGCGTGTAGCTGGAGAGCGGGATTAGGGCCGAAGAGCGATAGCAATACGCCTGAGCCGATGAACAGCAGGAGTAACTGAATCCACTGCAGAGGCTTGCCAAGTCGATAAGATGCCTTCTTCTTTCCCTCCGAGGGATGTGTAGGAGTCAGAAGAGTCTGGATCTGCTGTGTCAAGGTGGAGTAATCAGTATTGATGAAGTCCTTAGCATCGAGGAAGAGTTGTTGGTCGCGGCTTCGTTCTCGTGGCTTCGGTCTCGCTGACTTGATATGACGGATGAGCGCTCTGGTGTCGTGCTTGGACTCGTAGATGACGAGGACCGGGACCTGGATGCTTCGCACTGCATCACAAGCACTCCAGATCCAGCTGTGACGACCATCGGCTTCTCCGTCGAGATAGATGACAGCGATGTCTGGCTTTGGCAAGTCGATCTTACCGTCTCCGCCAATAGTGAAGATTGAGCTGTGCTCGCCATCGACATCTAGTATACGCAGTCCATGAGATCCAAATGAACGCCGGTCGGCTCCAATGCAGTGCTGCACAGTGGCAGAGACTCTATCATCGCCACAGACGACAGTCGCTGATGGTGGAGTGATGCCAGCCGGTGTTAGTGGAAGGCGGACAACTCGATGCTTGGAGGCAGCATCGGCGTCAGCTTGGGACATGCAAGGAGCAATCCTCGAGCACATAAGGTCAACAGCATCTTTTGGTACTCTTCTCTCAGAGATGAATAGTATGCGCTTAGTCTGGTGGTCGAGGTCGAGAGTGTTGAAGGCTGTGGAGCGTCGGAAGGTGGCAGCAGAGTGAATCGTAGACTGTGTAGGCGTCTCCTGATTTTCCGACATGTACGAGTCGATCAGATCATTCTCTGCTCTGACCTGACGCAGGCGCGAAGAAGCTAGGCTAGGTGTCGGGCTTCGAGGAGGCTCGCGTGACACGTCGACAAATGAGGCTGTGGTGCTCGTTGGTGTAGGCAGACTGCCAACTTGCTCTGGTGATATCAATAGAAGCGTGTCATCATGCCCGTCTAGCTCATCCTCAGTATTGGCATCTTCAGGGGTGAACTCAGCGTCCTCGCTGGCGCGGTCGTTGGAGGTGATGCTGGCGGTGTCGTGATCGTCGTTGGAGATGTCGGAGAGGTTGTCGATGAGCTCCCACTGGTCGTTGGCCTGCGAGCTGCCCGACTCGCTGGCCGTGTCTGGTTCGTGCATAGTAGCTTTGGCGCCGAGAGCACTGAGGGCGGCAGGCGGAGTGCGATGGCTCCGGGTCTGGTGTGCCGTCAATTCGTCAGTGCTTCCGTCGATATTGAGGGTCGGGAAGCTGAAGTCGAATGGATGGCGTGGCAGCGGTGATAGGGGCGGCGAGAGAGGCGAGAGAGGCGAGTCTTGGTGGGCCGTTGGTTCTTCTTGCTCTTCTTCACGGAGGCGGAGGCGGAGGCGAGTGTCAGGCTGCACAGGACTTCCTGTTAGCTCATGAGGCACAGAATGTCGCAGCTCCGGACTCGTGGCAGCATCGGTATCGGCGTCCATGCTGGGAGCGAGGTTTGGAGGGAAGGATGGGCAGGGCAAGAACGATGTTCGAGTGTGGACGTGGACGTGGACGAGACTGAGCGTTCAGGTAGCAGGCTCGCTCGTTTGTTGGGTGTGGGTGTAGGTGGGTGGTTTTGGTTTGCTGGAAGGCGTCGAGACCTTACTGCCTGAGAAGTGGGGAGCTGACCGACCTACCTCGCCGACGCAGACTGGCTGGAAGTAGTGACGGGGATTGAAGGGGAACCTTGAAATATTTCAAACTACGTGTCCGTGTTCACTTCACTGGCAGCAGCGGTGACGGAGAGCAAGAGCAAGACGAGCAACTGTCAACAGCCATGTCGATCAAGCCGGAGGACTGATGAGTGAATAGGCATCAGCTGCTTGCCCCGCCGTGCACGATAAGAGATAAGAGAGAGTTCTTAGTTGTATCGGAGCTAGGGCCTGGGCGGACACTTCCACTTGACGTCTACACGTCACGTCCACCTCTGTCCCCAGATCTGCATGTGAAAAGACAGCGAGCGCGAGGGATTGACTCCCTTACACCGTGGAGAGAACGTGTCTGTACCATGCAGTGTTGCCGCTGTAGAATTTTCTCGCTATCTCTCCATACTACCTGGTATTCCATAACGGCGCACGTGCCATCAGTTCGGCATCCGGAAGACATCCGGAGCTATGCACAGTACGCGCACGTCAGCGAGTAGCCAGCTTTCATCCCATATCGCCTCTCGAGTCTCTGCTGCCTGCTGCCTGCTGCAGGAGAGGAGATGGAGAGTGAATGGCCGACCGGCGTGGTGTACTCCTCCCGTTGATTATCCTAGGATGGATCATCTTCAACCCTGGCAACCAGGCAGCCGTCCGCAACGCCGAACTCGACGCGCTTCCATCCATCGAGCATGTCATCGCTGAGGAGCAGAGACACTTGTCTGTGCTAAGCAACTCATCGTGGAATCCCGAATTCGGCACCCAAGGCCACACCATCAACGTGACTGGTCTTGAGCCAGAGAGGGACTTCGCTTGGAATGCATTACCGACCATCAAAGCAAGAGCGAGGGAGCAGCTAGAATATGCGCTGGGAGATTGGGGCAAGTTGGCGCTGGACGGAGATACCGATCTGCCAAATCCAACGCCATTATATAAGAATATCACGGGCATTGTGAGCGGGAAATGGAAGCGCTCAGCGATTCAGGAGAATGTGCCAATACCGCAGCTCAATCTGACACAATACGCACCTCCCAGCCCGTTTGGACACGCAGGACATGCTCGACCATTCGACAGAAATATCACTGGCAACGATGGCGAGATCAGTGTCCGATTTGCCAAGCAAGATACAGCATACGCGGCACCTGATCGCAATGCCACTGCTATGAGCGGGGAAATCAAGCTTACGGATGGAGAGACATCTGATGTATGGGAATTGCAGCTGTATGGTGTCTATTTCGCTTCTCTCGGGCAAGCGATCATGACGACAACAAGCTCCAAGTTTAGCGGCATATTTGCCCTGCCTCACATGGCACTTTCACCCAGCAATTTCGAAACTGCAAGAAACCTTTTGAACGAGTCGATTTCTGATACTATTCAAGACCAAATTGATGCTGAGACTCGTTCCTCAAATCCTTGGCACTCAAGAATTGAAGCGGAATCGGAGAATCCATTCGGCAATCCTGACTGCGAGCTGGTCGTCTACTTGCAGCAACTACCTCCTGTCGCAAGCACACAGTACTCCTCGTCGTTCATGGATTTTCTCGAGCGTGAGCTCCGATTTCCCACTGGTGCTATTATGCCCAGTGCTCCTGATATGCACTTTTCTGCACTCATCTTCTCGCCTGACTGCGGATATGTATTGGAGTCTCAAGGGCCTCCGGATGACATTCCACAGAATGGAGACCATCTGACCGGAGCGAAGATTGAGGTGCTATGGAAGCATGCGAGACAGCACTTACTCGTCTTCTCTTTCGCTCTGGCTCTACAGCTCTTTCTTCTCATGCGACAAATGCGAGAGGCGAGCACACCCTCAACACGAAGTCGCATCAGTCTATACGCTGTCACGATCCTTGCCTCCAATGATGGCTTCGTGGCGTTGACCTTCCTGCTTGGAAGTCTCTTCTTCCAGAACATCTGGACTATGCTGGTCCCAGTAGGATTTTTGGCTTTTGCCAGCGTAGCATTCTTCGGCATGAGATTGGTCATGGATATCTGGCAAGTACAGGCTCCAGAGCGCGAGCAACGTGTAAGAGCTGAGGTCGAAGAGGATCAAAGAAGAGAACAGCGCTTTCAGGAAGCCTTGCGGCGCATTCGGGCAGAGAGACGAGCCAGGGAAGAGCAGCAGAATGAAGCACCAGCCAGCAACACGAATGGTACGATTACGAATACGAGTCCAGCCCAGACAGTTGCGCCGACCACGACAGACGGAACTGCGGCAAGTACGCCTATGCCCACGTCTACACCAGTCACTGCTGCAGCACCACCCGTCGATACAGGCGCCACTCCAATTTTCATGCCTTCTGACCAGGGCGGATTCTTACCCATCGCTCAGCCACCACTTATGAATACGGAAGCTCATGTTCGTGCTCGCATGCCGAGCTTTGCATCATTCTATGCAAAGTCATACATGCTCATGTTCGTATCTGTGCTATTCGCCACGAATTCAATATCGTGGCCTGCATCAGCGCGGCGGGTCTTCATCACAATCCTTGGCATGTGTTACCTCAGCTTCTGGATCCCGCAAGTCATCCGCAATGTCCAACGTAACTGTCGTCATGCTCTCAATTGGGAGTTTGTTTTTGGGCAGAGCTTGCTGCGACTGACGCCCTTCCTCTATTTCTACGCCTACAAGTACAATGTAGTGTTCGCTGATCACAACTACTACATTCTAGCTCTTCTTGCCGGCTGGGTTTGGATCCAGGTCGTCATCCTAGGATCGCAAGAGCTGCTTGGACCTAGGTGGTTCATTCGCTCCAGCTGGGCATCACCAGCATACGACTATCATCCTATCCTGCGTGAGGACGAAGAAGGCGCAACGATGCCAATCGGGTTTTCGCAAGCTGCAGATGCAGACGATGCACGGTCTACGCCCTCGTCACCAACAGCCGATCGCAGATTATCCTCTTCCGCTATCACGAGGCGGGCTTCGATCGCAAAGGAGAAGGAGAAAGAAACGGCACGAAGCAAAGGCAAGCGTGTGTTTGACTGCGCCATTTGCATGCAAGATCTCGAGGTCCCAGTAATCGAGGCTGGGGCACCAAGCGATACAGGGCTTGGAGCCAATTTGCTTGCTAGAAGAGCTTACATGGTCACGCCATGCAGACACATCTTCCACAGCACATGTCTCGAAGGCTGGATAAAGTATCGATTGCAGTGCCCGATTTGTCGTGAGACACTGCCGCCTCTGTAGAAAAGAACATGGAGAAAGTGACACAATTTTGCATGTTTAATGCTTCAATTTCATGTGCTGCATACTGGTTTTGTATGTTCAATGCTATGCTTCATGTTCATTTGATGCACACTGGCTGTTGGTATCCGACTCGTAGCAAGATGTATCCAGACATCTCTAGCCACACCCTTTCTGTGCAACTCTCATCGCTCGTATCATCATGCATCCGTCGAGTGCTCGAGGCCGTCAATGGTGCGCTTTTTCTCAAGAAGATCTTCGGAGAGAACATTGGTCTTGCGCTGTTGCTCAAGCAGAGCGTCAGAGAGGAGGTTGTTCTCTTCTTGGAGACGCTTAACCTCCAAATTGGCCGCGTGGTCCTCCTCGTCCATGCCATCTGGGGACTGGTCGTATTCGCTCGGTGGAGCAGCAGAAGCGGCGACTGCGCGGTACGGGGCAGCGGCACCTGCCTTGGATGTGTCAGTAGCCTTCTCGTGCAGCACCATCACTTCCCCATTATCCCCATTATCCCCACCGCTGTCTGGGCTGGCCTCAAAGCCCAGAGACGCTGACCATTCATGCTTTTAGGCCATCTGCTCAGAGCGATGCGCTTTGCACAGGAGGCCGTTTTCTGTATCACACTCGCATCGCCTCGGAGGTCGTGAACGTCTTTGCACTGCTTCAAAGCAACGTGAAGTTCAGCGTGTGGAGAACGCGAAGTGAGGGCTGGGGAACAGCTTTACCGGAAAGAGGATATGCGTCCATACTAATTATAATTTTTCAAAAGAGGGGATATGCGTCCGTATTTGCCGTGGCACATGTCACAGCCTCCACTCGCTGCCTAAATAAATGTTGCTACTCGGAAGCACTGTACCCTCTCTTCTCGATGGAAGCCACCTCATGTTCCAGCTGTGAAATCGCGACGTTCAAGTTTCCGCCCCCTTTGTCCCAATACCGATCAAGACCGGTACCCAGTGGATACCCTCCCTTGACCCTCCCCATGATCTCAACAACCACCCTCTTCCTGCCGTTATTTCCCCCTCCCCTCCCACACCCCACTCCCCTCAACAGCCTCCATCAGCGCCTCAGCATCCCTCTCATCCCCATCTCTACCCCCTCTTCTCAGAATCCTCACAGCATCCAAAACCTCTCCCAAAGCCAACCTCAGATCTTCTTCCACACTTACAACCCCTTGACCACCAATCTTATCTTTCTTCGTAACGTTGTTCGCCTGCCCAACTTCCTCCTCATATTTCTGCCTCGTCCAAGAGCCGGCGCAGAAGATCCAGAAAGCTTCGGATTTCGCCTTGAAAGTTTCGCCACAACGATGGAGACGTGAGACTGCGGTTACGATTCTTTGAAGGGCGGTGTCGAGGTCTGCGTGGTGGTCTTTCGAGGAGGTGGATGTGGTTGAGGAATGTCGAGCGGCAGAGGAGGTGGAAGACCAGGAGAAAGAGTCTGTAGTGGTCGACATGGCGGAGCTGGTTTTCGATGGCGTGGATGATATTCTGGTCTCCCCTTTCGTGACCTACTATGCCGTGTAGACTTGAGCCTTGAACTGTTGTACAGCATGAGTTGAAGATGAGCCATTTTGTTTGGTGGTTGTGCTTGCTTGGAGCAGTTCGCAAACACTTTGGTCTTAGATCTTTGAAAGAAGAGGAACAAACTTTGCAACATGAATGCACTTCCTCTCTCCTGCAGCCACATGCCCCACAACACCGAGACACATTCGTTGCATTTCGAAAGAGATTCTAAGGTCGCATGTATGGACGGGAACTTTGAGACTTCTGAGGATGCGGCAGGCGTTGTTGGATGCGCGGTGATGGTGTGGAGAAAATGATAGCTGCATTGAGTGGGAAGATAGAGCGAGTAAGTTTTCAGTACAACGAAACAAAGGCTGATCAGACCGTCTCCTCACGACCTCAACTGACAGTATGCGATACCACAGGCTTCAAATCATGCCCAATCAAAGCCGGCTGCGGTTGCACGTCACTTGGCAATGCCTTCAAGTCCTGATACACTTCGGCATCGCTAGCGCTATCCATCTCAACTCTTTGCACACCCTTGCGCTTGCGGAAATGCTCATCAATCCTTCGAATGACAGCAAGAAGCACGCCAAGAGCAAGAACGCCAATACAGATGGAGAAAGCCCTCCGGTATCGAGGCTTATCATCAGACCGATAGAGCTGAGCTCCCCAAATCCCGGCAATATTAGCACCCATAATCACAAGCGCCATCGCCAGAGCCCGTTCCTCGGAATCAGTACAGGTCAAAGACATCCAAGTAATATTAAGCGGATGCGAGAACGTTCCAAACGTCTGAGTCCAGACTACACCGAAATACCTCACACCCCGACTATTGACTTCTGTAAAGCTGCGATTGAAAACGTAGGCGAGGACCGTCATGCTGAGGCCTGTGATGACGGTTTCGCCGCGCTTGTCGAAACGGTCCGAGACGTAGCTAAAGGCGAAGGACATGGGCACTTGGATGAAGAGACCGACTGATGCCAAGGCGTTGGATGTGAGGCTGCCGAAACCGAATTCTTTGACGAGCGAGGGAGCGTAGGTGTCGAAACCGCGTTGGGGACCGTTGTTGCACATTGTAATGAGGAAATGGCACCACATGCGCCAGTTGGAGAACTGGGATACTTTGTCAGTCTTGCTGCGTGATGAACCCTCTTTCATTGGGAATGCTTACGGCTTTCTTGAACGCTGCCAGACCGATCTTCTTCTTCTTTTGACCTTTTGCCGGCTCGTCACGGAGCACTCGAGTGTTCAAAATGTAAATCTCGCGTTCAGTAAAGATGTTGGCTTTGGGCAAAAATGTGCTGTGCGGGTTCTTGAAGGAGTCTGGAAGCAAGAATCCAAACACGAAGCCACTGAGAATCGTGAAGCTGCCCATGAGAACGAACAGCCAGAACCATCCAGCCTTGTCACCCACTCCACGCATATGAAGAATGCCATAAGCGAGCAATTTAGCAGACGCCTGTCCAAGTTGATTTCCGAAGTAAAAGATCATGACACGCTTCGCTGTTTCTGCCTTGGTGTACCATGTCGATAAGGTCCAGAGACCTCCTGGAATGAATCCCGACTCGGTGATACCAAGGAGAAATCTCGTGGCGATGAATGATGCGTAGTTGTTCTGAAAAGCTTGGAATGTGCTGACGATACCGAAGAAGAAGAGTTGAAGGGTCAGCCATTTGCCAGGTCCGACTCGGTATAGGATCATGTTGGAGGGGATTTCGAAGAGGACGATTCCGAGAGAGAGCATTTGCTGGCCGACGTTGAATTGGTTTTGAGTGATGCCGACATCTTCTTGGAAATCGTCGGTGATGGCGTTGGCGATGTTGCCTCGATCGAGTTCTACAATGCAGGTCAGCTAGGTATGCTCATATGAGTATGGGAGTCTCTATCAGGCTGAGGATGAGATTTACGCAAGCAGAAGAAGCCTAGGGTAAGGATAGGCATGATGATGAAGTCTAGCCTTATAATCGTGTCAGCATAGCCCAGGCACTGAGCTCGATAGAAGCTTCTCACTTCCGCTTTGCTTTCTTCTCCTCCTCTGTCGTCCAGTCTGGTTCAAACGCGACATCCTCCTCGCCAGTCGCAGCGTACTCGTCAGACGGAGCAGGCTTTTGGTCGATTGTGTCTGCCATCTTCCAATGCTGGATTCAAAAGACTATCGACAACGACGAGTTGAGTGTCGAGACTACTGGAATTCTAGTGGTTTAATACATTGTCTCGCCAAGTGACATTGCACCATCCTTGTATCTATGGCTCGATCCAGAGCGATCAAAGAACTGCAATTCGTCTCGATGAATTGCTTGAGCCCGAGCTAGACCGGCAACGTAATGGAAGCATCCCACGGCATTGAACCTGTAAGCATCACCTTTGGACGCCATTGACCACAGCCATATGCAAAACGCTGCACCATAGCCTCAGCAACGTGGACGGACAACGTGCTTGGGAATAGTGAGAGCACCTTGGCCACTTGGCGTGGCATTCCGCTGCCATATAAACAATGCGATGCCCAAGATTGCAGCACGCGGCCGAGTGTCTCGGCGTCATGGTGACATCTAGCCTCAGATTGCGTGCTGGGTTGCCAAGGCTGTTTCCAAATTCGGCGACAATGTCGTGAAGTTCCCCAGAGAGCGAATTTCTGCGGCATAAATCTCTCGAATGGGCTTGTCGGAGTCTGCTAAAGGTCAATATGAGATGGTTGCATAGAGATTACTGTCGAACAGGTCAGCCTGTCTTGTTACCTGCCAACGGCTATAGCCCACAATCTGTAGTCGAGGAAGGCGGTTCGCGTGTGCTCTCGTAACATGGGAGTGTGCAAATGACCTGGGCCATCGATTCGGTACGAAAGGATCCTTGCTACCGGAGACCATCGCCCATGGTTGTAGACACTTTGCCCTCGTGCATTATTGAGCCTTCTCGCCAGAGCAATGCACCTGATCGCCGAGAGAGACGGCGGAACATCTCAGGACGTGATCTGGGACTGGCATCTGCATAATCAGCAATTCAGCGTGCGTGCCAGCGGCAAGGCTCGAGAGGCCTGCGTGTCCTGTCTACTACAAGTGGCATTATTCTCGTTCTTGCTCCTGCCTTGGAAAGCCAGCCTTGTGTTGATGCGGCAACTTCAAATCCTCGTCTGTACACCTGGTAGATCTCATCTCTTTCTGGGCCATGTGCTAAGTTGTTTAAAAGACATTGGCAGTATCTGTACATAGAACATCTTGGAGATAGTCGGGCCGCGATGAAGGGGCTATTCTATGTGATCTCGGAAAGGCAATGCTTCAATTCGTGACCGATGTCGCAACATCCTCGCCAAGACCTGTGATCGCCGCACTGCGGAACTATTTCCTACGACCACCGAACCCGATCAGCCCCTCATCCGTCTCGAATACCTTAGGATACCATAATGTCGTCGCGCTGCATGATGTTCAGTTTCGAACATTGCAAACTGGGCCCGCGACACGATGGCTCCGACTGAAAAGCTTTGGGAGCACTCAAACCCCCAATCCTCCAAGCTTTACGACTTCCTCCAAATAGTAAACAACAAGCACAACAAGAACTTCTCGACTTACGACGAGCTCTATCAATGGAGCATAACAGACGTTTCTGCCTCGTGGCAGGAGATCTGGGACTATGTCGGAATTCGGACTTCGCAAGCCCATACCAAAGTCATCTCAGATGAGAAGACAATGTACCCGAGGCCTTCGTGGTTTTCAGGAGCGAAGTTGAATTTTGCTGAGAACCTGCTGTACCCTCTACCAGAGGTTGACGAGAATACTCTGGCTGTGATCGCGGCGACCGAGACGAGGAGGGAAGAAGTGACTTGGAAAGAGCTTCGAGAAAGAGTACGGCAATGCCAGAGTGGTATGCGGGCAGTTGGGCTCAAGAACGGGGATCGAGTGGGAGGCTACGTCGCAAATCATACCAATGCGCTCGTTGCAAGTCTAGCGGCAATCTCATTGGGTGCAATTTGGACTGCGGTGAGCCCAGACACAGGCGTCAGTGCTGTGCTGGATCGTATGGTACAGATTGAGCCCACGCTACTGGTGACGGATAATGCTGTAATGTATAACGGGAAGACACACCCAGTATTGCCGAAGGTCAAGGATATCATGGACGGGCTGCCCACGCTGAAAGGCGTTGTTGTCTTCGACACCGTACCAAGCATGGGCTCTGAGATCGAAGGACTTGGGGCAGAGCAAAAGCAGAAGTTGTACACCTACGAAAAGTTCACCAGTCAGCAGTCCAATTCCCAGAGTCTTCATTTCGAGCAACTAGATCCGGACGTCCCTGTCTACATCTTATATTCCTCAGGCACAACGGGTGCACCGAAGTGTATCGTTCATGGCGCAATCGGAACCCTTCTTCAGCACAAGAAGGAGCATATCTTGCAATCGGATATTCGAGTTGGAGACAAACTTTTCTACTTCACAACATGTACCTGGATGATGTGGCATTGGCTTGTCTCTGGCCTCGCATCTGGCGCAACGTTAGTACTCTACGATGGCTCACCTTTCCAGTATATAGACGCAGCTGGCGAGAGTACGAAAGACGATCTCGCAATGCCAAAGCTGATAGATGAATTGGGCATAGCACAGTTTGGCACCAGCGCAAAGTTCTTGTCTATCTTAGAGCAACGAAACATCTTCCCGAAAGAAGCAGGTCTAACGCTCAAGACGCTCAAGGCAATCTACAGCACGGGATCACCTTTAGCACCTTCGACTTTCCAATACGTCTACAAAGCCTTTGGTGCAGTCAATCTCGGTTCGATCACGGGCGGTACAGACATCATCTCACTCTTCGGTGCACCTTGTCCTCTTCATCCAGTATATACAGGCGAGATCCAGGTTCTTGGGCTCGGAATGGCATGTCAAGCATGGGACTATAGTGGCAAAGACATCTCAAAGACAGGCGAGCCTGGTGACCTAGTCTGCGTTCGCCCATTCCCTTGCCAGCCTGTCATGTTCTGGGGCAAAGAAGGCGAGCAGAAGTACAAAGCGTCGTACTTCGAGGAGTTCCCAGGTGTCTGGCATCATGGGGATTTCATTCGATTTAACCCGGAGACCGGTGGTCTGATCATGCTTGGGCGATCCGATGGTGTGCTGAAGCCCAGTGGTGTCCGCTTTGGCTCCGCAGAGCTCTACAACGTCATCCTGAAACACTTCCCAGACCAAGTCGAAGATGCTCTTGCGGTCGGTCGAAGGCGAGAACAAGACGATGACGAGACTGTGGTCCTGTTCTTGAAGCTCAAGCAGCCGGGCACTTTGAGTGAGGATTTGGTGAAGAACATCAAATCTACGATTCGGAAGGAGCTGTCAGCTAGACATGTGCCTGGCATTGTGGATGAGTGTCCAGATATTCCTGTCACGACAAACGGTAAGAAGATTGAGAAGTCGGTAAAGCAGATCCTCTGCGGATTGAACATCAAGACCAGTACCAGCGTGGCGAACCCAGACAGCTTGGAGTTTTACAAGCAGTGGTCGGAGAAGCATTGAAGTGTGGAGGGCAAAAAGCATGCTTTGTTTAGCAGGCGAGTTTTGTCGATGAGGTTTCGTCAACTCGAAAGCGACAGCCACAATGGGAATCTTTATTGAGCAGCATTTCAGTGTCGATGAGTTGCATCGCAGTATCTATAGAATCATAGCGTCCGAGGTCAGCTCTCAGTCAGTCCCCGAGCAGCTCCGAAGCTGAGGGCCTCACTTCGGGATTTCTCGCCCGTGTGTCCACTGTGACGAACCTGCCCCTCCATCACCGACACCTTTTTCTTTTGACTTTCACTCAACACAACAACAGACTATACCGCACCTCCCACGCCATAACAGAACCTTTTCAATCCTTTTCAACCCCAATCCTGCAACCATGGCTCGTCAGTTCTTCGTCGGCGGCAACTTCAAGATGTGCGAAGCCCAGCTTTCAAGCATTGAACAGCACCACTGATACCCCACCAGGAATGGCAGCATTGCCAAAATCAAGGAATTGGTTGCCCACCTCAACGATGCAAAGCTCGATTCCAACACCGAAGTTGTCATCGCACCACCATCTCTCTACCTGCTCCTCACCCGCGAGCACCTCCGCAAAGGAATCGAAGTCGCAGCTCAGAACGTCTTCGACAGGCCAAACGGAGCCTTCACAGGAGAGATCTCTGTCGAGCAATTGAAGGACTCAAACATCACATGGACCATCCTCGGTCACTCCGAGCGTCGTGCCATCCTCCAAGAATCAGACCAATTCGTTGCCAGCAAGACCAAGTTCGCTCTGGACGGCGGCATCGGTGTCATTCTCTGCTGTGGTGAGACGCTGGAGCAAAGAGAATCGAACAAGACTATGGATGTGGTCCTTGCACAGCTGAAGGCTGTCGCAGACCAGGTCAAGGACTGGAGCAAGGTGGTCGTTGCGTATGAGCCAGTCTGGGCTATTGGTACTGGCAAGGTTGCGACCACTGAGCAGGCTCAAGAGGTGCATGCTGGTATCAGACAGTGGATCGGAAAAGAGCTTGGACAAAAGGCCGCGGACGAGACGAGAATCATCTACGGCGGCTCTGTGTCGGAGAAGAACTGCAAGGACTTGGCCAAAGAGAAGGATATTGATGGATTCTTGGTTGGAGGTGCTTCGTTGAAGCCTGCGTTCGTGGATATCATCAACGCCAACCAATAAACTTGATGAATGAAAAAGTCCCGCGCCGAAATTTGTTGTAGAAGATCGAGGGTCAATAGCAAGGCGTTGAGGAGGGTATTGGACAGCACAAGAGATGTAGCTGGAATTGGGAAAGGTAGACGGGTATGAAGCTCACATGTACCTTCATTCTGTCAGGTCGCAAACTATGACAACCTCACAATGCAGCCTCGAATAATATAGTCGACCGTGTCTTCAGGTATATGGTCAGTAGGCAGTCTCCCAAGACAGCAAACTCCGATGGTCGGCCCGGCCTTGGCATTTTGCTTCGAGTAGCGGCAGACTCCTCTACTTGATCGCTGACTAGACTTCACTCCCGCCAATGTCATCCTCCGCAGATGAAGCATGACTTTGGCGTCCATGTCGGTTCGAATAGTTGCAGAACTCCTCGCGTCAAGCCACATTATCCAATCCTGGCACAACGTGCGGCCTCCCACTTGAAGCGATAGAGGCGCAGTGTAGGATCCTGCGTGCTCTGTATACTCTCAGCTTAACTATCCTTCGGCCTTTCTTTCCAAGATGGTATTCTCAAAGTCCTGCGACCTAGCTACGCCTTCATGACACTATCGACATGGCAAAAGGCAGCTACGATATGCAGTAGCCATACCATGACAAGATATCCCCTCTCACGGACCACAGAGCAGTATGGACCCGTTGAGCATTACCGCTGGAGTAGCTACACTTCTCAAGACTACTGTTCTGCTCGGAGCTGAGCTCAGGTCCTTTCATGATGGCGTTTCCACAATCGACTCTAAACTGGAAGGACTACTCAAGGTTGTGGACGGACTGAGGCTGGTACTTGAATCAGTGCGAGACACGTTCGTAACAGTTACAGCTGAATATGGCACCGGACATGTCGGCTCGCATTGGCGTAACATCGCGAGGTCGCTTAAGGATGGGCAGGGTGTCTTGGGTCAGCTTCAGGAGAAGCTTCAATCTGTCAACAAGACCGGCAAGCACCTTGATGCGATTCGAAAACAGCTTCGCATGAATTTTGCAACCGAGCAGATTGCACATTTCCAGCAGCAAATCCAATCATACCGCGACACACTGCAGCTATCGGTCCAAGCCGTCATTCTCTGGAATCAGGTGCCCTACCAAAAGTCAGTAGAATCTTTCGTGCCGGCCTTGAGTGACTTGCAGAAGGAGATTCGACGGCTGGCCCTGGAGATGAATCGCAGGATTGACAGCCCACAGCCCGACTCATCGGTTCAGAACAACAGCAAGACATTGACCCATCTCAGAGAATGTGTTCGCTCCGCAGCCAGTGTCATCTACTCTGCATCATCAGTCAGGAGTTCGCGGAAAGACAGCATCAGGAAGCCTCTCTCAGACTTCGGCGATTGCTTCCCGGTTGAGAACAATGTAGCATTACAACGCTGGATGGCAGTCCACGAATCGACCTGTGACATCGAATAGTCTGAGGCTATTCTTGAAATTGGCGAATCCGAAAGTGAACAGGACTATGACCCTTTCCGTGAGAGTGCAGGCAAAGAGGAGGTCTCTGGCAATCTGGATCTTAGTAAACACGATTCCGTGTTCCAAAATCCGAATGCCAACACAGCGGTAGACGTTCAGGGCTCGGAAACTGATGCAAATTACGAAACTGAGGCAAAGAAAACAGGTCCTGCGAATGAGCTGCAGACGACCAGACAGCGCCCAGCTCTCGTGGAATCAGACGACGAGTCCGATGCACCAAGCGTATCAGAGTCGCTGGATTCAGTCCCTGCTCCCTTGGTCATAGCCAGTGGCGATGAATATCGAGGTTCTGGCGATTCCATCTTGCAGGCCGCATCCGAAATCAACAACGAGACTGGTCGAAGTCACGAGGCACACCCTAAGATTGCCGAACTTCCTGGATTTGGTAACAGGTCGGATGGTCACGAACCAGTAAAGACGCAGCAGCCTCCTAATTACCTAGCCAAGTGTGGCCACCGTCCTGTGAAACGAGAAGATGTAAGTCTGCCGAACGCGGCAACCAACTCTACTCTAATTCACGCTATAGGCCATGGAAATGTGCAAAAAGATCGGAGCACTGCAGTACCTTCAATGTTCGGCCTCGTCCGGCAGCGGCGTGGCGGAAGTGTTCGAAGCTGCCGTCACGACTGTGGCACGGCAACCCACCTTCCGACAGCCAACTGCCAAGAAATCGAAGATCTGGAACCTGAAGCGCTTTTCCAAGAATGTGATTTTGGCGGCGGAAGAGTAAGTGTGCACGACTTGCGCTATGATGACGTTGATACCCATGCACAAACAAACGCCTGAGCCTTGTTGCCAGCTCGATTGGAGCCTCTCAACTTCCGTTCGCGCCCCGATGTATCTCGCCTTTCTCAGCCCATGCAGCCACAAACTCCTACGCAGAGTCTCGGCCAGCAAAAATCATGGAAACATTTACATGGAACACTCTTCACCTCAGTTTCGCGCCGCACTTTCATGCGGCATTAATCGCCTCCCAGATCTTATTGTACTCATCGTCATCGAAGCCCCGAATGTCAAGGGTGACAGTCTCTGGCAGCTTAGAGAAGACCTTGAGAGGTCCACGCTGATCATCTGCAGTGACGTCGAGCGTCTTGAGGTTGACGGCGTGGGTGGTGATTATATCAACGAAATACGCGAAGCTGGCCCAGTCGTTTTCTCTAGCCGTCCCGAGGCAGAAGCCAGCATCCAGCTGAATCTTTTCGATCTTGCGTAGTATGCCGAGCCCATTTGAGTAGTGGTACAGGTCCAGGTGATTATTTGGGGAAATGATGATTTCCGCAATGCTCTCGAAGTCCCTCACGTAAATTCGGCATGCTTCCTCCAGCGTCTTCTGCGTCTCAAGTATCATGCTGAAGAAGCTCTCAGCGCGTAAAATGCCAAGAGCTTCTTTATAGATCTGCTTCGAGACGCGAAGGATTTCTGGGAAGGCCTTGCGACCTTCGTTTGGGTTGCGACTGAGCAGAACGGTGTAGATTTCGTTGCGCATCTCGGGCGGCAGGTCCATGAAAGGGAAGCGCGCTTCCAGGTCCATCTGTCGGAGGATGTTTCGCGGATTGACGTTTTTGGCTTTCTTGCCCGAAGGAATTGTGCCGCCGCGCTGGCGGATGAACTTGAAGCACCGCGAACGACTGAAGCGCTTGTAGTCGGTTCCGTAGTTGATGGTGGCCATGTTCTTGTACAAGATCAGCTTCGCAATGATTATGGGGGAAGTCGATGCAGTAATACCAACTTGAAGGCGTGTTCGAGGTTTTCTCAAGGCCGAAGTGCTTGGGTCGACCTGAACCCGAAGGTGAGGACGCGCGGGGCTTTCAGTTCCAGGCTCTGGATGCACACAGCGCTGAGTGCAACGCGAAATGGTTGGCTGGTTGTGTCGCAGATAATTTCGGGTTTCAACTCGAGCTTCGTTTTACTGAAGTGTAGCTTGATGGAAGTAGGAGCTTGCATAAAGCAGGTAGTTGAGTTTAAAGTTGAGACGGCTACGCTGAAAGCCGAAGCTCGAGCGGAGCGGGCCGGGAAAGCGTGCGAGTGAATGATAGAGCCTTACAGTTTATTACTTGCCGGTTGCGAATGACTTACTGTAGTAAGATGCCTCCAGGTACCCTGCAGCCTAGTCAGAGCTCGCACTGTTGAAGCAATCGAGGAGAAGGAGGCATGCAGGGGCATTTATCGCACATCGCTGGCGAAAGTGCTTGCGACGGGAGTTGTTTTCGCACTCGACAAGGTGGAAGGCGGGAATTGTCTAGCAGGCTGCAGGATGATAGAGGCCGGAGACAGAAGGTAATATGGCCTGCTCTTTTTCCACGGGTGGTTAGCTGCTATGGCAGGTGACGGCCACGATGACGAGTGCCGGCGCTTGCGCGAAGTCAGAGACGGAGAGGGATGGGAGCTTCGCAGAGCCCCTCCGCAGTTCTGATGCCCAGCTTCTGTCAGCGCATGCTCTCGACTACTGTTATTGAGTCCCCTCGCAGCTTTATTGGCTACAATCATGTGAGAAAGGTTGCAAAGAGAGTATAGTGTGTATTCAATTGCCTCTTCCTGTTCTTGTGTCTTGCTCTTGCATTTGATGATTGATACGCTCGCGCGAAGTATCGCCTTTGCACCAGCCGGACCGATTTTTGGTGTGGTATTTAGGATGCCATCCTCTTTGCCGGGCCTGACCGCGGACTCGCATCGAAGGTGACATGCGGATGTACGATGTGATGGTGTGAAAGAGACAGATGCGGTCCGGCGCGTTCATGGGTCTTGGCAGGGGTCCGTGGCTTTAGCGCGTTTCTGTTCTTTCCAGCTGCATCATCTATCCTGCACTTCATAAGCTCTCTGACATGCGAGCTTCTGATCCCTTAGAGCACTCAGAAATCAACATCTCGGCGTCCAAGTTATGCTCCCTATATGAGCCCCACGCTTGGCCTTCTGCGCTGCGCAGTCTCTACACCACCAGATCATACGCAAGCGTGTCTCCGCAAATGGATTCCCGGATGGCGTGTACTCTGCCGTAGTAGAGTCAGCTTTACTGACCGCATCTTGGACAGTGATTAAAAGGCTTACTTCAGATGTGCCGGATGCTCAGCATATACCTTGACATCTTCTGCCTTCTCTAGCACCGCGATCAGCCCGAGATTGAAACCTTGGGCTCTGTGAGCGGTAGACGCAAGAGGAGGACCGAAGTCGAATTTCAGAAGGCCTTCGGAAGCACCATTGTCAGTGCCGCCGCCTGTATATAACCCGATGGCCTACGGGCTGGGGATGAAGTACCTGGAACCTGTCCGACCATTGCCTGTCCAGCTGCTTTCAATTGTGCAATCTTCTCCTCAGACGTGCCGGGGTTCAATTTGAAGAGCACTATCGGTCGATCAATGCCATCGACCCCCCAAAGCCTAGCGCCTGAGCATGCTTACCGATGTGATAGACCACCATCTTTGCGATCTACTGCCAGCTCTTGCGATGATACCACGAACAAATAACTACTGTCAAACGTCTCTCGCACCCCAAAAATGGCAACAGCTCAAATATCAATGTGCTGCGGTCCGAGAAGCTCGCGACGAGGTGCGAAAGCCAACCGGCCGGCTGCAGAGTCCCCGTCTTCGGAGTCGCAACCCCTCTCTGGTCGCCATGGCACATGGCCCTAACCATGTCGCCCGCTTGTCAACCGACACAACCCTGGCAATAATCCCGTAAACCTCGCGACGCGCGACCACTCTTCGAAGCGCTGTTCAGCGTTGGAGAGGAGAAGCCGGCATTCAAGATGGCAGAACAGTTGCCATTTGCATTGGACTTCTTTTCCAATCTCTTCTCACCATCCTTCGCACAGTCCAGTAGAATATGGAACCGTGTGCTTCTGTGCAAGCTCCAGGTGCGCTTCTGAGCGCCTTGCCATGTGGCTATTCAGGCTTGAATGCAGTATTCCTCGACCGTAATCTCGCCGTGATCCCTGGCGAGTGGACGAGCGGAAATACCAGTATGATAAGCCTGGCCTTTGCTGCGATAAGCACTAACGACAACCTGCAGCATCTTGGCTCTACGACATTGTACCTGCAGACACAAGCATCAGCAATTCCTTACGAAAAATCAAGAGTTCGGATTTTATTGCTTACGATGCTTCCTTCTTCGAGACCATCGGACCTGATGCAAAGCTCGAGAAAATCCAAAGCTTTCCTCCATCCCAGAATCATGTGCATGAAGCTCCTGTCTATCTGCCAGACACCAACGAGCTGCTGTATAGCGATACTACTCTGATCGGCACTGCCTTTGCCATCGAGATTGATACGCACAAGGTACGAATCCTTCTTATGTATCAACACAGCGCTCATCGTGCATAGGTCCGCAACATCACTACCGACCCACCTCTCCACAGCTTGAACGGAGCCACTCTTCACCGCGGAACGGTCTACGTAGTCACAAATGGCGGTGCGGTGCGAGGCATGTATACACTCGACACCAATACTGGCAAGACAAAGGCAATCCTCAACAACTTTCGCGGCCGACACTTCAACAGCCCAAATGACTTGATCTTCGACTCAGCAGGTTCCATCATCTTCACCGACCCCACATATGGTCAAGACAATGCTTGGCCAGGCGTGCAGGCGTCAGAGCTTCCGATGGCGATATACCGTTTCAATCTTTCCTCGGGAGCCCTAACAACACTCTCAAACAACGTGGTCCAGAAGCCAAATGGACTCGCTCTCTCGCCTGACCAGAAGACACTCTACGTTGCGGATTCGCTCTCGACAAGCTTTGTCCTGTCCGCGCAGCGCGCAATTTGGGCATTCGATTACTCCCAAACAGGTCCTTTGACAAATCATCGACTGCTCTATCAGGTTGAATCGGGCTGGCCAGATGGCTTGAGAGTGACCAAGAGCGGCCTAGTGTTGTCGGCAGTGTACGGTGGCGTTGATGTTGTTCATCCTCAGACTGGACTCGTCATTGGCAAGATCAATTGTCCCGACGACATTGTTTTCAACATTGAGCCTGCACGAACGAAGAAGGGAGTTTGGCTTCTTACGGGAAGGGACAATTTGTATAAAGTGACGATGAAGGAGGAACCTTTGCCATTGGTCGAGTAGACCCTTGTGGATTTTGAATGTTGACTACGCCGTCCGCTTGCTTGTGAGAGTTTCCCAAGTTTGCTTACCTTGGAATCAATTTGAACATTCGAGCAAGATGACATGCGGCCTTTCCATTACTAAACTACATACTGTATGCCATGCCTAATGGCCAGTCGGCGCCGGATATCCCCAACTGCTCTTTGACGAGCTCGAGCAAGGCTTCGAAGTCGTCGATAGCGAAACTGTCGTTGTATTCGTGTACTCGTCGTTGATCGGTGCCGTCTATCCCGAAACAAATGGTGCTTGCGTATTCAAACTTGGGAGAGGTGCTGTGGTTGAGGAACAGACACATCCTTGATCTACGCCTGAGCTACTTGTGATCGGCGGGCCATTGTGACACCAGGTGCTAGTCGTGAAGCTGCCGACGGTCGTAGAAGGTGCATCTGAAGCCGGGAGGAATTCTGCCTTGACCAGAACGGGGATGACGGATCCTGTAAGGAGGCTGAATTTTTGGTGGCCGATGACGTCGAGAATCGTGCTGATGGTGCCGCTGTGAGAGGTGAGACTAATCCAGGCCGAGGCGTCGCTGGTGAAGACATCGTCCAGCAGTGTTAACATGCGCTTCTCGTGTGCGCTGTCGGACTCTGCAGTAACACCATTCCAAAGCTCGTCATGCTCATTGAAGTTCTTCTCGATCTTGAAGCTTGGATATGTGTTGTGAATCCACGTCTTGTTTGAGCGATGGTCGCATGTATGAATAGAGATGCCTTCACGCAGAAGCTCCTTCACAGTGGGGACGAAAGGAGCCCGCTTGGGGAGATCCAGACCGCTAAAGGTGATGTTGGCCGTAGCGAGACATCGTGCCAGAGGCGATACATAGTACGTCTGGGGCACGGGTATTTTTTGACTTTCGATCTCCTTCTTCCAAAAATTGTTCGCGATCTGTGCTTGCAAGATGCCAGCCTCGGTAAGGTGAGCATCTTCCCAAGAGAACGAACTGTTGGCACCCTTCAGCTGAGCCCAATAGCAGTTCCATGCTGGCGTTCCAAAGGCAGTCTCTGCCGCATTATGGTATCCTTGACCATGCCGTCCCGTGAAGAGTACTTTGTAGACAGTGTTCTTCGGCGCTTCCTTGTTCAACGCATCGACCTGAATCTCAAACTTTTGCCATTGCGTCAAGTCGGCATGGCTGCGGACGTTGTGAGTAGCTGGATATGTGCGATTGATGAGCCCGAAGTTCGCTTGCGTATAATTGAAGGTGGTCGCGTTGGTCGTTGACTCGTCTTGCAGAAAGTAACCTGTGACTGTGGTGTAGTTAATGTAGCCTGGTCCGGCTTTGATCAGAGCTGAAGCACTGGCAAATGTGGCAGCCACGATGTTCAGAATGATTGAGGAGCGCATCTGGAGGGCTCTCGGGATGTCGATACGGTTGACTTACAAGCAGACGTAACCAGTGTTGTCCTACCAGGATCCTTGTATGCACCATCGTCATGCTGGATAGCGCGTGGTGTACCTGCATGGCGATGATGGGTGTGTACAGATGGAGCAGTTCTTCCGGTTGAGCTTCGAATCATGATGCCGCGCTCTGGCACGTGAACATAATGTGGAGCCGCTCAGCAAGGCTTCTTGATCCATCGCCTTCGTCTTGGCCATCTCGCTACACCGCACCGCGTCCTGAACACCTACCAGATCGATCATGATGTGGTTGTCGAATGTCGATGGGCCGGCTGCGGAATCGGCACAAACGGCAACGGCAGCCCAACGCGTCTTCGGAGTCGGAGAACTTCTTGAGATCATATTGCTCTTCGCCGAGCAAGCCGACGTGGTTCGATGTCGTCAACTGAATCGAAAAGTATTGGAAACCATCACATATTCGAAGCCGCTGCGTGAGAAGCTGTTTCTGGAGAAAGTCGAACAGACGGAAAGAACCATCAACCCTTTGGCCCCATCATTCTTCCAACAGAAAAAGAATGGATATCGTGACAGCACCATTGCTGCGAGAATAGATCTGGTCGATGTTTGGGAAGGATCTCAAGCAGAAGTGCGACCTCTCTGGCATAAAATGATGGTTGCGCATCCTGCTCCGAAGACGTGTGTGATCCCAACTGGAAGTCACACGACCATCTTCTTTCGCAGATACTATCCGGAAGGCATGACCTTCGGTGACCTGGAAAAGGCTGTCCTCGCTGCTTTTGAGATCCGAAAGGGTCGCAGGTCATCTCGGGAAAGACTTGAAGAGCTTTCTTACGACAATTCAGTCCTTATATACTGGTCATGATCGAGATTTTATGCAGCCAGAAGATGATCAAATAACCGATCCTGGTTGCCTCTGGCTGGTAGTTCACTGCGTTGTGCTGCCCAAAGAATCTGGACAAGCAGGTTGGACCATGCCATGGAGCCCGAGAAGATGCTTGTGCCGGCGATGGGAGCAGCCGTCCATAAAGACTTGAGCTACATCTATGCGCGAGTACATTTGAGTACGCGGCCACCAGGCCGGCAGGCATAGGCCCACGAAAGCTCCTCCCTCGGACTAGATACAGTTTTCCGTAAAGCGCAGGAGGCATCGCTCTGTCCTTCGCCATCGCAGCCGGTGGCAGATGCATACCGGCGCATCAGTGCCAGAGCTTCATAGAATCTCAGAGTGATGATGCTATGCAATTGGGGGACACGCGCGATGGGGAACGATATCTTGGGACGCGATTCACGACTTATGACTTTTCATGGGCAGTACTATCATCAAAATTGATCAAATCACTTCCAACTACCGGGGTATAACCATATTCCTCAACGCCCTGTATCATGCCAACGAGGGAACCGCAAAGACAAGTCCCTCCCATCCACTCCATTCCCAATTGCCCCGATCTATCCAGAGCTCATTTCCCACCCATTCTCCTCACATTGCTCGTAGACCGCAACTCATCCTCTCCTCAAGGAATCATCGATCCAGGCCCACCCATCCAAATTTTGCTCTTCCTCCTCGCATCGCTGACATCAACCCTCTTCCACATAGCCACATGAGGTATCCCTTCCTCGTCCCACTCACCCATACTTTCATCCGTCTCAAAACCATACTTTCTCCAGACTTTCTGCACACCAGTCTGAGAATGTACGAGAACTAGGCCTTTGAAACTAACACCAAGTCCTTTCTTGAGTGCCTCCATTTGTGTTGGGTCGAGTTGTGGGCCGACTTCATAAGGGTGTTCGCGGGCGAAGTTCAAAGCCGTATCGATCAGCAGCTTTGAGATTCCTGCTTTCCTAAATTCTTTTATGACTGCTAATCTGCCCAGTTTGATGTATGGTTCATTGATCGGTTCGTCGTGGGTTGATTGTGGGGAGTCACTACCTCTTGGAGTAGGGTGTGGGGTATGTGGTGGTGGTACGAGACGAATTGTGCCGATAGGAATTTTGGTGCTGTTGCTTGATTTTCTCTCGCCGTTGCCGTTCGTGTTGGCCTTGGCTGGTATGGAGGCGTATGCGACCCAATGAAAGCTTCTTGGATCGTCTTCGTCGAGCTCATTTTCGACTGGGACGTTCTGCTCTTTCACGTAGACTTCTTCGCGAACGATCATGGCGTCAATGAAGGCTTCGGGGACGGCTCTTGCTGGGTCGGTTTCGTAGATGGCATCGTTGTCGGGTTGGTCGGTTGGCGAGCGCTTGGGATCGTAGTGCTTGAGTCGTTCGCCGAGAGGACGGATGCAGTCGACGAACTCGGATTGGCCCATGATGTTGATGTCGATGTCGTGCTTGTCTGATAACAAGTCTGATTTGTGATAGTGAAGCGAGAGGATCAAATATTGGATTTTCGTTGAGCCGGACGTCACGCAATGTCTACCCAGCTGTCACCCAATATGGCGTAAGGCGTGAGCTATCCTGGAAGTGGCTTGTCAGCCAGGTTCTTATATTCTTTCACAGTGCGAGAAGGCGCGAGACAATCGAGTCACCAACACAGGCTGGCAAGCGCGGCAGTGAAGGAAGAGGTGTGGGTGGTCACGTACCTGTGTATCTCCAATTGCCCACGTCTCACAGCGGGCGATGGCCAAGCTCTTATCTGGTCGCCTGTGGTCACGCTCTCCACTTTCCAACCACATGCGGCGTGTCTATCTCTTCTTACCGTCTGCAGAGGCAAAACGTTCGGTCCGACCTATCCGGGGGAGAATGGAGACAGTCGAAGATGGCGATGGCTTATAACAGAGCCCTGTGCCTCCATCCTAGTTCAGTGCGTGATGGGCGCTCGACGCGTGGATGCAAAGACAGGCTTGAGTGTAGCCTGTGTAGGGTGCGGTCAGGAGCAGCTGTCTGATGTCGTCACACCAGTGCGCAGTGGCCAGCTTCAGCTGCGGGCCACAAATATGAAGCAAAGGATCAGATCTCTTGAACTAGAATAAACTTCGTTCATGGAACTTTCGGGGGTGAAAAGCTAGAATACATGCTCACTGCTCAGGGATGCGGTCAAGTCTGGACAGCGCATTATTGATGAATCCAGCAGCCCAAGACCTTTGGACGAATGCTCGCACAGCTGAGCTCGAACAAGCAACGCACGACCGCTCTCCACCATGCTTGAATGCCCATGCCCATGCCCATGCCCATGCCCGTGGACCCGAGAGTCCTCCGCACCCGAATATTAATTAGAACTCTTCGTGCTTTGACCACAAGTCTGTCATACCAGCGTCATTTCTGGGAGCTTCATCGGACATCGATGCACCACTGACTTCTGCCTACACATTATGCTTCAACCTCGTCCTTCTCATACTCCTCATGCTCCGCCTTCATTTCCCGTTTGACCCAGATGGCTGTCATCCCGGCCCACACGAAAATCCAAGTAAACAATATTCCAAATATCAAGCCAAATGCATAATGGAATTCCAGGTTCCAGATGATGGCGCTTGCACATCCGATGTACACGATCACACCCCATATCCAGAACAAGGTCAGGTACACGAAGAAGCGCCTGAATCTTCGATTGGTCTCATACCGATCGTTGTACCGGACCCGGAATTCTCGATCCTGAAGTCCGTCGACTGCGATGAAGTCTTCTGCGGCGTAGTAGATGAATGGTCGGATCCTCGAACCTCGCGCATGAGAGTTGATGCCAATTGGAATTTTGATAGGCACCAAAGTGGTCAAGACCATGAGCGCGCCAAGGAAAGCCATGATGAAGCTGGGCGAGTACAGGTATAGCTGGGGGATCTCCAGCTCACTTCCCACCACGAAAGGAATCAAGCCCATGATCAAGGCTACGCCATACACCCAACTTGTGGCATCTAGCTCCCATCGGGATCGCGACAAGAGCGGTGCGCATGCCTCGCGATGCACCCAAAGGCGGTGCACTCGCGCGATAAGGATCCACAACTCGCCAAAGCCGAAGGAGATGATCGCATAGCCCAGGATATCTCTGTCGTAATTCAGAAGAGGAATCGAGCAGCCGTCAGTGCCACCCTGTTCGCGCTGGCACTGCCTGTCTCGTTTTCGTCGATGATGGTCGAACCAGACGTAGTAAATGATGCAAGGTACTACAAGATCGAACAGCAAAATCATGGGTAGCCCGAGCGTTATACCTGGATATATGCGATCAGCTCAGCACTCTCATTACTTAGCGGACAGACTTACCCAAATGCTGCCATGGGTGTGCCTTCTTTTGCGCAAGCTTCGTCTCCCTCCTACGCAACGACGGCATGCTTCTTGCGCTTCTCCTCGAGGACGCCACCGTGATACCAGAGGCAACTGTATCTCCTCTGCTGTGCGTCGGCCTTCTAGCGTTTGGATCGTCATCTGGAACTGCCAAAGTCACTCGACTCCTCCCACCAGGTCTACTATCTTGACCGTCCAGCTTCGAATCATCATCACCAGTCTGGCTAGTTTCGCTGGCTGAGTCTGATAGTACTGTAGACGCGCGCGGCGCGGTCTCTATCGATTCTCGTTTATGCCAATCTGAGTTTGATGCTAAGCTCAAGTGTTTATTCTGGACGTCTTGCTGTATTGCTTCCTTTTCCGGGTCTGTCGTTTCTCGAGCGTCGAAGAATTCGCGTGTGCGCTCCCTCTCTTGGTTCACGCGTTCTTGCTCAACTGCTGTCTGGAGGTTCTCGCTCAGGCTTCGCTCAGTAGCTTGGTCTCTCTCAAGAGCTGCCTTCTCTGCCATGGTCTCTCGCTCTCGGACAGTGTTCGTAGATGTTTCTTGTTCTTGGTCCTCAATCTCGTATTGTAAACTTTCTCCAGTGCGTTCGTTCTCTAATGATGTCGTCTCTGGCGTATATGCAGCCGCTACAGCTGGACTGGTAGAATTATTAGGTACACGCAAAGTCGAGGCGTTTCGAGTAATCCCGCAGCTTGCTGTGAACGTGTTCATGAGGATGCAGCGTGCCCTTACCGCAGATGGGAGAAATGATAGGCACAATGCATGATAAGTCCACTGGTGATATCCTGCAAAACCCAAGAGCTCACGATGTGCGAGGAGCGCCGGTAGAGGTAGCTAAGTCGGTAAGGGAATAGCAGACATTAGTCAATACCATATAGTAGCAGTTTCAGCTTGCGTTTCGAGAAAGAACCAAGAAACTCTGCGCGTGTTGGTGTGTGTTTGACGCCAGTCCGGTGTTGTCAACCGTGTCATCAACCGCATCGCTGCCGCTACGAGGCCGACATGGTAGGCTTGAGTCGAACATCTGCGCCCCCGAAGGTTCATCCATGATAAAGCAGATTCGCAGGGTGTGCACGTTCCTGACATGATCATTGTCAGGGGCTGATGCAGGTCTTCCGAGGAATCCGAGCCTCTTCTTCCTCTTGCTGTACTTTTCCCAGCTCACGCCGAGTCGCAGATCAAGGTTGGAGAAGATGCCGTGCGTGTCTCGGACGCCGTCGCTAAAGCACAGCAAGTCCCAACACAGGCTGCATGACACGCCAGCAGGACCATTACTTGGAAGAATTACCACCAAAGCAGGAAATAGTCCTCCAATTTTCACATGCCACCCACCAGGCCAAGAAGACGGAGCGCATGCCGGACGTCCAGTCAAAAGCCATACCACCACATGCTATGGCATCGATCTCTGTGATCTGTCGCGATGATCCTGGGAGGCAGCTCCAGCTGTTCGGATGCTGGCAACAGCTCCAAGCGCTTTGGGCACAAATACGGCGCCTGTAGCGTTATGCGTCGTGCTTCCTGCAAGAAAGCAGTAACATCACAACCGCCAGCACTGTAATGCCAAACACCAATAACTATTTCTGCTAGGCCCCCAGCAAGACGCGCATTTCGAAGCAACTCTTGGGCGTTGCGAGCTATCCAAGCATTCTAGTCTCCAGCAATACCACGCGCTGGATGGCGTGGCGGCAGGGTTGACGTGCGCGAAAATACGGCACCACGTATCGAACAGGAGTTGCAGTCCATGCGATTCTTTTGTTTGGCACTGTGGCCGACTGGCTCGCGAGTAACCCAACGTGCATCTTAATGGACTTTGCAGCTGACCTCAGCGTGGTCTAAGGGCATGCCGAGAGACTCTCACTGCTGAAGTAACTTGATGACAAGCTAACCACAGACACGAGTAAGCGTCTCGCAGTGCACAGAAGGCAATTTTGCGTGCTTCAACCCCGAGAACTACAGCCAGGTCCACCTATTTGGAACTGCGGATTGGGCAAGAATGCACTTTTCAACTGCGCGACATGAAATGAAGTATATTCTACAGCTGAAGTGATCAAGGCGCGATCTCTCGGGATTCAACAGCTCTTTAGCCAGCGACGCTTCGCAGAGGCATACAAGCACGCTGCACCGTACTCCACTAATCAGCAGGACAGACAAGAAGGCGCGGTCACACTGAACGCAAATGATGCCTGTTCATGGATGTGCGAAGTCATTTGCAAAGGCATTTCGAAGTGTCCTGAAGTGGTCAACGTTACGACCGATGTGGACGAGGAGCGTGGCTTTGCCACTGTTTGCATGTCTTTGAGAATATTTGGGAATACCGAACACAGTGTGTCCAGCGAGAACGGCAATACGGACAACGAGCAGCCTAACAGAATCCCATGCGCCTGCTTACATCCGGGTGTCCACGCTCTACGATTGTTTTTGCCTCAGACGACCCAAAACATGCGCCTGGATGTTCATCTTGATATGTGGCTATGGTAATGCACAAATGGTGAGCCGCCGGGGCTGACTGCGCAATGCGTTGCAGCTAGGATGGCTTGAGTGATGACGGAGAGAAGCGTAAGCAGAGCGGGGCGGAAGTGCCGATCAGATGCCAAGAAGCCATGAGCTAGCGGCGGCAGTCCCCGAACAAATCACCGAGCTTCATTCCTGGACAACGACTTCTCCTTCCGCCGATGCTATTTCTTTGTATCTGGAGAAACTCGGGCGCGTGTCAATTCCTGTAACGTCAGAGTGCACAGATTACTATCAGGATCCTCATGGTCACCTTGCAATACCGTCTCAGCGGACTGTCCTCCGGCAGCTCATTACTGGTCGCTGAAGCACAAACCAGACTGCAGCCAAGAATGAGGAGTTGTGCTTGGTAACTTCCGTATTAGGACACCGAGAATCAAAAGAGGAAAGCAGCACGACACATCGGTAGACCGTGGGTAATACGACGAATACGAGAAGGTGTCATATTATTATAGGTCTGGGGGTCTCTTCTCTTCGTTGGGGATTCTCTATCTTTCCTCACTCACCTGCTATTGCTTCTGCAAGCCCACCTGCGTGAGAGGTGCCGCTCGATCTCACTGTCTCTTCATGTTGGTATGCGCGTCTCTCTCACTACTTCTATCTCTCTTCATGATGATACCAGTTGCCATATTCACTCGCCGTTCTGAGGCTTTCGTGCGGACACTTTTGCTAATCCCATTTACTGATCAACTCCTATCCCGTGATGTGTTGAACACTTCGGCGACTCATTGCAGCGAATTTCAACACAGGAAATGTCATTGAACTCGCCCCGTTCGCAATTCGACAATCGATCAACCCGAACCGCCGCCTCGAAGCATCAAGAGCAATGGTGACCCTATAGTGGTGGATATACCTAGGTGAGAAAGCCTCTCATGCTGCTGTGAGCAGGGTAGGGCAATCTCCAAAATGGTGAATAATACTCGCATCTCGATGAGCCGACCTGATCAAGGCAAGGTCCATCGTGCAAGCTCATATTACCCAACTTATTGATATACTGCTTTGACATTGTCGACTTTCTTTGTCTTCGATGAAACTCGACAGAAAGATCATGTTCTTCCTTGTCTCCACTACCTGATCCGGCCGGCTTCAAACCATTACGCGGAGGTGGACAATGTGTTGCCCCATCACCGAAAACAATGAAGGTTCTAAGATGTAGACGGATCCGGCGTTCTTCTTTGATGGTTGAATACCATGAGCACTGGAAAGTAGTTCTTCCATAGCCCTGCTGCCAGAAATCGTGATTACCAGTCTCGTTCACAGGAGAGGCATCCAGGACTCATTGACAGGTAGGATTGTTCACTGGTCAAAGATGGAACAACGTGGATATGGTGGTTACGACTTCACCAACGGTCGAGCCCTTGACCCAACACTCGACCCAGCACTCTTGGACAGTGACGCCTCTAATGGCTTCAATACCGAGGATGAATCAACCACTAGCAACATCCAGCAAGGTCACACCAACAGTCTGCGGACGGGACAGGCGGACTTCACCGCCCGAACGCCATTTACGGGGGGCTACAACGAGCCAGCAGCTCAAGGAACAGGATCTCGTGCATATTACAACCAAGCCGGACAGCCCCTGCCGCATGTCAGTAATCAGCAGTTCCCAACGTTTGATCAGCTCACAGAATCTTCCGATTATAATCCGCCACAATTGCCGACTTTCTCTACTTTCACGACTCGAGAGCCTTTCGTCGCGGAGCATTCTAGCACTGTAGGCTGGTATATAAAGGCAGATATCCAGGTCTCCCACCTAGGATTTATTATCCCGATCGAAAACCCTTACGGTATTTCTGCATTCGATAACTTCCAACCGTCGAATCTCGCCACTCCGACAGGGCCGCCTAGAAGAAGACCAAATCCACCAACCCCAACCCAAGGGCCAAACACAAAACCTTTCGCAGATCCAGCATCGATTCCACAAGCCGCAATCGACGCTCACGGTAAAGAAGACAGAGAAGATCCCGGAACTGTCCACAAATCAAGTATAATCCGACCCTGCACCTGTTTCGTCAATCGTAAAGAGGAGACCAAGCGTCCTCCCAATGCCTGGATCATGTATCGTTCTGCCATGCACAACGATGCCATCAGGCACCTCGAAAGAGAAGGCCGATATCAAGGTACAGGAGCGCCAGAAATTTCCAGACTTTTGGGCAAGTGGTGGGCGGAACTTCCTGATGCTGAAAGGAAGTTCTGGGAACAAAAGGCTGAGAAGGCGAAGAGGGAGCATGAGAGGCTCCATCCTGGTTATAAATATGATCCGGGGGCTAAATTCAAGCAACAGTTTGGGACTGTTGATTGTAAATGCGGTGCTTATGAATACAATATGGAGCAGCGGAGACTGAGGGCGGAGGGTTCGGCCGATTATCCTCGTCAGGCTGGGAAGAGGGGGCCGGGAAGGCCGAGGAAGACACCTCGAGGTCGACAAGCTTCGAAGATGAGCGTGGATGAAGACGAGGATGGTCCCGTTGGGGGTGAAGATGAGAGCGATGCTTTTGTCCCACAGGGACGAAATGCAAAGGGCAAGCGACCGACTAAGAAACGCAAGACGGGCACTATGACTAGGTAAGCATGCAGCATTAATGATTGGATTACTATGAGACTGACCTCTGAAGCAGCGCCGCGCCATTCATCTCTGCACCGGCGGGTCCATCTCGGACCACCAGCCAAGACCTCCGTGATGAATCCCTCCAGGACCTTCCAACTCCAACACAACAGATGTACCAAGCAGCCATCGACGCAGGTAGAGGCTCTCGTGAGCAAACACCATCACGTTCACGTTCACGCGGCACGCCGGCACGTGAACTACGTAGGCAGGCCGACGTCTTTTACGCTGAACCTGCTGACGAGGCATTTGAAGATATCCAGATGTCTGGTACGGAGGGTAACGGCGACAACGGTACCGGCAATCTTGACGATATCTACGAGGACTGGAATATGCATTCAGAGGGCTTTGACTGGAATCGCTTCATGCAAGATCCTGATTATGCTCCTCCTGCGGCTAGATTGAGTGGCTTCGGACGTCTGTCTCGTCGTCGCTGATGCGAGTCGTTCATTTTATGCCGTTTGAAGATTTGAGTGCAATTTCCCGAGTTTGGCTTTTGTTAATGTTGTGGGTTAATGTAAAAGAAAGAGCTCTTCTTAGGCAGACTTGACTGAAATCATTGTTACATCCAAGACAAAATTTGCGAAGATGTCTCTCGCGGCGTACAGCTAACAGTCAATGGAGATTGGTGAAGGCGTCAGTTGGATCATAAGAGTCCTTGTTGAGATCCTCGTGTTGGTTGGCGGGCAGGCAGGGCAGCTGCTGTTCTGCATGTGATCGCGATTGGACAGAGCTTGCACGTGGCCAGACGATGAGTTCCATGGACAGCCTTCAATTGCATGTGATTGCCGCTAAGTGAAAGAAGGAAAAGGAGTGGGCCGCCTGCTGACCTCATCATTCCTCGGCGGAAACCCTCGGCCCGACAATCAACAAACACCCGACGATTTGGACTTTCAAGAATCCTTCCTCCTACGACACCGCAAACACTTTTGGAAACAGCACGACTTGCAAGATGTTGGAAGTCATATACGTCGTGCGGCACGGAGTAAGTCCTTCGTTCATTGTCTCCTTCTTGCCGCTTTCACTACTTCGTCCAATCTCCCGAACTCTGCGATCACATGATCGGATCTGGGAAGGCGCGATGAATGCGGCCTCGAGAGAGGCGGTAGAGGAAGACATGCAATTCGAGCGATGCGGGCGCAATCGCATCAGGCCTGGTCGCACTATACTGCAGCCCCTGTACCCTCTTCATAAAGCATACTAACACCAGAATAGTACCGATCGAACTGGTCTGTGGATCCATCAACCGGCCATTACAACTCGACAGTACCCTCGCCCACTGGAATTGTTGCCGATCCAGCGCTCGCTTCGTATGGCGTCAAGCAGGCTCGCGAGCTGGGAGAGCATCTCAAGACATTGAATCCGCCTGTGGACCTCGTCTACTCCAGCCCGTTCTACCGCTGTCTCCAGACATTGAAGCCCTTCACGGATCATCTCAGCAGCACCAAGGACTCCAAGCCCAAGATATACGTCGAGCGCGGCGTAGGCGAATTCTATGGCCTTGCACGTTTCGATCACCCTCAACCTGCCACCATTGAAGTCCTGAACGAACACTTTGAGAACCTGGTCGAGTCTCCAACCACGATCGTCCCGAGCACCAATGGCGAGAGCATACCTCAACTGCACGATCGCGTTGCCTATGCTCTCAGCCACATCATCTCCCGCGCCGACAACGATCCGTCGGAGCCAAAGTCACTTCTCATCTGCACTCACGCTGCAGCCATGATCGCCATCGGCCGTGTCCTGACTGGTTGCATGCCTGAAGACGAAGGCGAAGACGACTTCAAATGCTTCACGTGCTCTTTCTCGAAGTTTGTTCGCAAGCCCCAAAGCAAGTTCACTCGTGGCATCGGTTCTGCGGCTGGCAAGGGCTGGGATCCTGCTAGGCCAGAGATCGTTCCTGACGTTGGTTGGAGAGGGAAAGGCGTTGGTGGGGGCTGGGATTGCGAGGTCAACGGAGACTGCTCGTTCCTCGAAGGTGGTGAGGAGAGAGGATGGTAAGTTCATGCTTCATTTCTTATTGTCTACCCTGGATGCCTTTGACATGTACCTGCTCTGCCGGATTTTGCCTTGCATTTTGGTCGTTGGGATCCACTTACCAGTAATCTTCTGTTTGTGACAGGTGCTTCGCCATGGAAGAGGCGACTGCGAAAGCAGAGCAAGAAAAGGGCACGACATTGGCTGCCACTGCTTGAACGACTGGCGTGTGCTATACTATACAGAGCGCGAGATTGATTCGATAGCTGCTACGACGAGTGCTTGATGCTGCATCACAGATGTGATTCAAGTCGCTTACAGATGCCACCTTTACAGGCACTTTTCTGGCGACGAAAGCTTTCTTACCGATCCAAATTCATTCAACGACGCTGCGAATGATGCGCAAGCGGGAATGGATACGAACATGGGCGTTACTGCGGATGGAACTCCACCGAATAGAGATAGAGATTCAAGATTATGAAGCATGGAAATGGTGTTTTTGCTCGGATCCCATCTGACGTGACCGAAGGCTTTCTCATTCGCAATGAAGCGGCGTTATGCTGTAAAGAACAGAAGCAGCTGGTGTAAACCGCATTGCATACAAGCAAGCCATTTCCGGCATTCCCATTTCTAGTCACTTTCTCTGAGCAACTCTTTCATGCGCCTGGTCCTGCAAAACTCCGTTCGTGCATCCATGTCATGCCGTCTCCCCGTCATCGCTGAACTAATTTAAGCCGCGGTGATCGCCTTGCGCTGGCGCTGAGCACGCTGACGGCTCGACAGGTGCTGGTCACGGTTGGCAACGTCGGTAGTCTTGGCGACGGCCTCCTCAGCCTCAGTGAGAATGAGCTCGATGTGGCATGGGTTGGACATGTATGGGTTGATCTGGAAGTAAAATCAGTAAAAATAGCAAATACATCCCGAAGAAATGCTTACACGACCGTGAGCACGGTATGTGCGTCGGCGCTGCTTTGGTGCCTGGTTGACCTGAATGTGCTTGACAATCAAGTTGCTGGTATCCAGACCCTTGGTGTCGGCATTGGCCTCAGCGTTCTTGAGCAGAGAAGTCAAGAACTCAGCACTCTTGACTGGCCATCGGGCCTTGCTGACACCGAACTGCTTGCCTGTAACGACCAAAAGTCTCAGTATTTGTATATTATCCATCTATGCATCCTCGCACATGGCTGTCCAACCTCGCCTTCATCGAGGGACTTCGTACATACCTTGGGCAGTACGGCCAGTGCTCCCGGCATATCGTCGCATTGGCACGGCTTCGGCCTTGTTCTGCACGTTCTCGAGGTAGGTGAGGGCGCGCTGGAGCTTCCAGCCGTTGATGGCTTGTGCGGTCTCGCGGGTGTTCTTGAACGAGACACGCAGGTAAGAGCCCCGAGCGCGGGCGCTCTTTGCGGAGTCGATCTCCTTCTCGGTGCGGGCGTAGCGGACCTACATGATGTGTTAGACAATGCGATAGACGAGTATGTGGATGCGATATACCATTTTGTCGTTGGGCGATGAGGAGTGTTCGACGCTGAACTTGACAATCGGTCGAAGTCTGGAGTTGCGAAATTCGTGCCTGCTCAGATTGAGGCTTGGCGACTTAGACTTTGCGCTAGGCCCAAGATCCTAGCGCCAAACTGAGGAAAATTGAAGCTCCAGATTTTTGACGAAGTTGAGCTCCAATCGACAGGCGACAACAAATTCATACAACACATCGCAAGAGAATGGCGTTCACACCTGGAGGACGCGGAGGTCGTGGAGGCGGTGGCGGCGGCAGAGGTGGATTCACACCAAGAGGTGGACGTGGTGGTGGAGATCGTGGCGGCCGAGGCGGCGGAAGAGGTATGCGAAAGACTGGCAGGATATAGTATGAGCAGAAGTGCTAATGACTTACAGGTGGCTTCGGCGGTGGTGATCGCGGACGAGGCGGTGCGCGGGGTGGAAGGGGAGCACCTCGAGGAGCTAGCCGTGGTCGAGGAGGTGGCGGCAGAGGAGGTCGTGGTGGTGCTGCAGGCGCAAAGGCATGATGTGAACACAACAAGGCTACGAAAAGCTGCTAACATTATAGACAGGGCGGTCAAAAGGTGGTCGTCGAACCACACAGACATCCCGGTGTCTTCGTCGCACGCGGCAAGGAAGATCTGCTCCTCACCAAGAACTTGACTCCAGGCGAGGCAGTCTATGGCGAGAAGCGCATCTCCATCGACACTCCCTCCACCACAACTGGCGATGCGACTAACGGCGACGCACCGATTGCGACCAAGACTGAATACCGTGTATGGAACCCCTTCCGTTCCAAGTTGGCAGCTGGTATCATTGGTGGTCTTGAGAACATCTACATGAAGCCTGGTAGCAGAGTCCTCTACCTTGGTGCTGCTTCCGGAACATCAGTGTCTCACGTCGCTGATATCGTTGGACCTACCGGTATGGTCTTCGCCGTCGAGTTCTCCCACCGATCTGGTCGTGACCTGATCAACATGGCTACCCACCGAACAAACGTTATTCCTATCGTCGAGGACGCCCGCCACCCTCTCAAGTACCGAATGCTTGTCAGCATGGTCGACTGCATCTTCGCCGACGTTGCCCAGCCCGACCAGGCTCGTATTGTTGGTATCAACGCGCATCACTTCTTGAAGGTTGGCGGTGGTGTTGTCATCTCCATCAAGGCCAACTGTATCGATTCGACTGCCGCGCCAGAGACTGTGTTCGCAAGAGAAGTTGTGAAGCTCAGGGAAGAGCGCATCAAGCCAAAGGAGCAGCTTACACTTGAGCCTTTCGAGCGTGATCACGCTATGGTTGTTGGTGTATACCAACGAGCAGAGTAGACTCACGTCTTCTCGGCTAAGATGTGAAGATTATGGAACATGGCATGGCGTTAGGTGGCGTAGATGGCGCTTTGATGGCCCAAAGCAGGCCCGGGTGGACATGGGTCCTGATGTTATTAAAGTTGATACGCTGTACAGCAAATTTTACCCAAGCCGCTCTTCGTCTTCTATTGCGGCTCTCATTGGTAGGATATCGTCGCCTATCTCGTTCAAAATACGAAGTTTCGCACTGCCGCAGGCTGCCGCAGGCAGCTGATTCTTGCCAGAATGCCATTTTGACCCAGCCTCAACACCTTTCAGCTTCCACTCAAGGCTGCACCAAAGCAAATATAGGTCCCAATTTCACGCCATCGTGGATGGCTCAGCTGAGCAGAGCGAGACCAAGTTTACTGTTCGTGCATCGACATTTGCAGCACGCAGCAAGCAAGAAGAAATGGCAGGCAATGTGTTGCGCCAGTTCGCCAAGCTTGATGTCGAACGCTGGGCATCCACGTACAAAAAGATGGCAGCTGAAAAGAGAGCGCATTTCGCAAAGAGCAAGAGAATACAAAAAGAAATATAAAGATATTGGAGAAGATCAGATTCGAACTAACATCCAGAGCATGCCTATGAACAAGGAATGGAGCATGGGCTAATGAGTCGCCCACCTCTTAACGATTCGAGGCGCCTGTGCCCAACCCCTAGAACATTTCTCCTGAGTCTCTGCTTATTGGACTGAGCAATACTTTGCATCAATACATAGTTCATTGGCTGGACTGAGAGATATTTCGCAACAATCTATAGGTCCACTTGCTGGAGAGAGCTTGGCCTTACCAGACTTTTGCAGCCGTCCACCGCGAACCGGCGAGGCTGCGCCATCCGCTTTCCACACACCGGCAGCTATCTCGATCACACCTTCTTCGACACGATCCACGTGCAGCTTCATTTCGGGTGAGCTGGATCGACGGGAGACTTGCAGAAATTGTACACCAGATGCCAAGAGAGGTCTGATCCTGTGTAGATGCGTCAGGGACATGCTTTGAGGCCGCCCGCAAGGCTGCCACTTTCTCCCACGACCGAGTTCCGCCTATCACAGAGCACAAGCGGCACATAAATCGGAAGCGGTTGGAAGATTAGCGACAAGTAATTGGTCAAGACCAGTTCAGCATTGCCTGCAGTGGAGATGCTTTCCCTCAAAGTTGGGGCCGCCTGGCCGCCTGGCTGGCAGCGAACACATCAACCTTGTTCAACATCCAAGCGCAATCTCAAACTGCATATATAGCAGTCAAATGTTGCTCGAACGTCTGCTTGTACACCCCAAGTCACTTCCACAAGCATTGTTACTTTGAACATTTAGAAATGAAGGCATCTTTGGGGCTTCGCTTGAGCGAGGCTTGGAGGTCACAGTTTGAGAAACGACTCCAAGGAAACAGACCGAACAATCGGACTCAGGCTATCGACATCAAAAAGAGTGATGAGTCGACAGAAGACACTTGTCTCACAGAAGAAAAATCGCCGCATGTTCCCAAAACGCCTCCAGCTGCTCAACTTTCTGATTCCAGTCTTGGCTATCGCGACGAATGCATCACTGTCGATGCACTACTGAACAGAAAGGGAGAGTATGTGCTAGTAAAGGGTACAGATGTGCTCGACAAGAAAGAAGCAAAGAAGGCACGCAAAGCGGACGCACTTCTTGACCCGTACTGCCTAGTCATTACTCGTCGTTATAATATGATGGGCCTCCTCGAAAGCACGATACTGGAGATCCAATCACCGACTCTGTGCCAGGCCGTGCGCAATATGGTCTCCTACTATCCAGATCAATCTTTTCGTGTCGGAGCGACGATCAAATGTGAGGATCCACCCAAGCTTATCTACTACCACCGACGTGAGCTGGCTGCATACAAGGCTCGCAACGACATCGACGAACGCACAAAGCGGCAAATCAAACTCCTTCTTGGCTTCTTGCATGCACACATCGGCAACCAGATTGAGCAGTACGAAGCATTTCTGGCGGCGGGCATGGTCAAATTCTCCCACCTCTGGATGATGTTTAAGCCTGGATCCCTTGTCTACGAAGGTGAAACGCAGCAAATCTTCTACCTGAAGAAGGCTGAATACGCAGAGACTACCTGCGGTGAGGTGTACGTCCTCGAATGCGAGTACGTGGACTATAACGGCGAGAAAATTGGCAAGGTTGCTCGTACGCTCAAGATCAATGCCTTTGGCACTCCGCGAGAAGTAGATATTTTGGCATTCAGGCCCTTATCTTTGTGCGCCGACTCAGAAGGTATTGCCAAGAATGCAATGGCTCGGGCCCAACGATTCTTGCAACTACGCGGGATTCACAATCTGCAGCATAACAGGAAGGGACGTGTTATGATCGATGCCAAGACTTTTCTCCGACGTGTGGTCCCGGGTGATGAGGATAGGAAGACATCGCAAAAGAAAGGTCTCGTCATCCACGAAGCTTGTAAATGCTGCTGTGCTATGTGTCGCAAGGAACGAATCGAGAAGCCAGAAGATTACGACCATGATGTCCGTGAGATCAGTCAAGATGACCTGCTCCTCTGCTCGTCTAGCGTGCTTGGATTTGCACTTGCGACACACGAATGGACAGTGCTTGATATAGACGATCTCTCAGAAGTCCAGTGGTGTGACGATGCTATAGATCGCCTGGTGCTGGATAGCCGGCAGAAGCGAGTTCTATCCAGCTTGATCAGCTCACCTGTCTTCACTGAAGGAGTTGAAGGAGACGTGATCGGCTGGAAAGGCAAAGGTCTCGTCATGCTCCTGCATGGTGCCCCTGGAACCGGCAAGACTCTGACTGCGGAGTCAGTCTGCGAGTCGCTGAGGCGGCCTTTGTACATCGTCAGCGGCGGGGAGCTCGGTATCTCACCGCAAGAGGTCGAGAAATCTCTTCAACAGATCCTCGAGCTTTCCAGGCTGTGGAAGGCGGTGATTCTTATTGATGAAGCCGATGTCTTTCTCGAAGCCCGAAGCGCTCATGATATCGTGCGCAATAACTTCGTGTCTGGTAGGAACAGAGACCACATCATAGTTTGGGACTGGGCTAACGTTCACAGTGTTTCTGCGCAGGCTTGAGTACTTCGAAGGCATCCTCATGCTCACAACGAACCGAGTGGAGCAGTTTGACGAAGCTTTCATTTCCCGGATACATCTTGCTCTGAGCTACCCGGAGCTAGAACCATGGATGCGGAAAGCGATTTGGACGAATGCCCTGAAGCAATTCCCACCCGACCAAGTTGCTGTGGATCTATCATCAGATCTGGACGACGTTGCGAAAGTTCAGTTGAACGGGAGGGTCATTTCTTACGCGGTACGGACCGCTAAAGCCATTGCAGACGAGGACAAATCGAAGCTGAGCGTTCCACATTTGTGGGATGTGGTCGGCGTCCATCAGAAGTTCAATGAACATCTGAGACTAAGATCTCGTCGCGATGAGTTGACTGAGCCTGTCGGCACCTAGAATCCAGCTTCTACCAGGCCATTCCGCAATATGAGGCCTCTCTGGTAGTGGTCGACTCAATGTTGATGAGAAAAGCCGAGGTTGATGCCAAGTAGAGATATGCGTGCTCGTTCCAAGAACGAAGCCTGCTCAGCGCGTACAGATGAAGGCACGTTGTAATGCATGATATGCGCAGGAAGACGAAAAAACGTGAGCCCGGCTGTAGAGTCGATGTTGTTCAAGCGCTCATGTCGATAGAAAGGTGAGGTGTTTCTTCGGCCGCCGGCATCGGCATCGGCATCGGCATCGGAGCCAGACGCGAAACTCAAAGCTTCAATCGAAATTCCACTTCCACAAGCCACCAAAAACCACATCAAACTTGCTGTTCACCGAAATGCCCACTTACAGCATTGTCGTATTCGCAGGTGAGCAAAACCCGCAAAGCGAAAGCGAGCACTAGCTAATACGAAAACAAGGTGACCACTGTGGTCCGGAAGTAAGAAGTTCAAGAAATATCTTTGGCATTCGTTAAATACTCACACCAGTCCAAAGGTCACCGCGGAAGCATTGAAGGTATTCTTGGCCATGGACTCCTCACTTTGAGGCAACGCAATGCTGATTCGACGATGATAGGTGCTTGATGTGGTTGAGAAAAGCAGTGCCGATGTCCACTTCAACATTCAGGAGCACCCGCTTGGCGGCGTAAGCATTCTTTGAACTTGGAAGGACTTGAGCATGGAGCTCTAATAATGGCAGGCTTCAATCGATGCGCATGGCGAGCCGTTGACTGATGCTGCTCTCGCCGCCGCAAAGGCCGCCGACGCTGTAATCCTGGGAGCCATTGGAGGTCCTAAATGGGGCACAGGCAAGATTCGTCCCGAGCAGGGTATCCTCAAGCTTCGCAAAGAAATGGGAACATATGGCAATCTGCGACCATGCTTCTTTGCTTCAGAGAGCCTTGTCAAGTCGTCGCCCCTCAAGGAAGAAGTCTGCAAAGGAGTCAACTTCAACATTGTTCGTGAGCTCACTGGTGGCATTTACTTCGGCGACCGCAAAGAAGATGATGGGTCTGGATTTGCTCTCGACACAGAACCATACTCGCGAGCTGAGATCGAGCGTGTCACGAGATTAGCTGCCCATCTTGCACTTGCTGAAGATCCGCCTGCCCCAGTATGGTCTCTTGACAAGGCCAATGTCATGGCGACGAGTCGACTTTGGAGAAAGACAGTCACTGAAGTCATGGAGAAAGAATTCCCACAGCTCAAGCTTGGTCATCATTTGATCGATTCTGCTGCTATGCTCATGATCAAGAACCCGCGTGCACTCAATGGAATCATCGTCACAAGCAATCTCTTTGGCGACATCATCAGCGACGAAGCATCAGTCATACCAGGGTCCCTAGGCCTTTTGCCAAGCGCAAGCTTGACCTCGTCACCAGACGGCAAGAGCAAGTGCAATGGTATCTATGAGCCCATTCATGGTAAGCATCACGACTTTTTAAGTGTGAGTTCCACGCTGATTTATCACAGGTTCGGCACCGGACATCAGCGGCAAGGGCATCGTAAATCCAGTCGCCATGCTTCTTTCGCTCGGTATGATGTTCAAGTACTCTTTACAACAACCCGAACTCTCGAAAAAGATCGATGAAGCTGTGCGCAATGTGATTGAGAGCGGTGTCAAGACTGCGGATATCGGTGGCACAGCGAAGACCAGTGAGGTTGGAGACGCTGTCGCGAAAGAGCTTGCTGCCCTGCTCAAATAAAGGCGCCGCAGCATCCTTAAGCTGAAATTTGACTCAACAAGGTGTCAGGATATGTGAGTCCTCCTCGAGTGACGGGAGAGATGACTATAGTCAAATACTGCTAGCCGTTCACCTTCCTCAGAAACCAGATCATCTCGCTTTCATACTCATCAACGAAATCAATGCCGAGCTCATCCACTTTGCCATCTACACCAAGTCTGAACTTGGCTTCAACTTTGGTGCTATCATAGAACAGCTCATCGACCTCTGCCTCGAAGAACATTTGGCTTGGTTCGGTCTCTTCTTCTCTTCGTTCTGGATTAGAAGACCTATTGATTCTGCTGTGAAGGACCTGGACATGCTTGCTGAGTACATGATAGTGTCTGATTTGACTGAATTGACTGAATGTCCTCCTAGTCGAGTCACTCCGTAGCCAGTCACATAAATGCTCAGCCCAGACAAGAGTGAGTTGTGCTCACCTTTGAGTCGGTCGCAGCGCCATTGATAGTTGCAATAGAGGCGCCAGGTATGTGGAAATCGGCAAGCAGCTGTTGCATGAATATATCCAAGTCTGAGTGAAGAAACTTTTGGTTCCATGGTCGGCCGTTATTATAGTTATTGTGTCCGAGAAGCGTAATCGCCTCTACTTACATGACGTCTCCCAGATTTTAATTTGATCACTACGAAGACTGAAGCATTGACTCAAGGTGACTGCGTTCGACACCGACCAAGACTCTACAGTGGACTGTCGTGCGGACAAAGTTAAAGTTGCGATTGCAGCGTTCGCACGGCAGTCTTGAAGCGGCATGCCGCGCTAGAAGACCAATGCTGATCGGCTCGGCGAGTCATCTTGAAAGGGAGGTCTGAGGATGGCCAAGCATGTAGCAGTGGCGACCCGGCCGCCTAGGAGACGAAGATATCGAAGGGAGTGCCTCTGCGACTTCAGCGGCCTCTGGCACCGAGCAAGTCCAATCCAGAGACCAGAAGGTCAAGAGCTGCAACGATACTACCTTCACTAACCACGAGTGATATCGTCTGAGCTCGGGCATTGGTGCCTGCGCTTGCTAAAGACCTTCGTGTCCGCAGAGTTGTAAAAAAGTCGACAGCGTATATAGGAGATTGAAGAAGGTGGTTGAAGACAAGACAGGTGAAGCGAGATCGTGGTTCGGCGCACGGGCCGTGAAGAGGCCGGCGCATGGCTGGCGCGGCATTGACCCAGGGTCTCACAACAGCACACGGTCATCTCTGAAGACCTGCGAGACCACAATGGAGCAACAGCAGATACCACCTGTTACCGCTGTATTTCTCGTGGTCTTTGATCAAAAGGTGGGGTGCGTATTGCCATGCATATCTGCTCGGGACCAATGCTGACTAGGCTGCAGCTACACGATCGCATGGAAACGAAGCCTCCCTGAGATCGATCTAGATGGCGTTGAATACAAGAGTCTGCCTTCAGGATTGCATGCTGTCAAGGAAGATCTAGTCTACTTCGTTCATGGCTCGTGCGCCGGTGTAAGTGTCTTCGTACAAGGCGAAGCAGACGCAAGACATCGCAACGCCAACTTCGTGGCAGTTGGCGCTTTAGTGCTGCCTTTGGACCATGGCGTATTGGGACGTGGCTGGGTCCACGCTGAAGAGCTGAGGAGCTTGTCGAAACATTTGGTGCACAACAGTACTGATACACGACCTTTGGAGCTGTTTTGGACGAAGTATAGGTCTGATGCTGATCCCAGGCGAAAGTCAGCAGGTCCTGCTAGCTCCAGCCCAGGAGGCGGCAAGAAGAGGAAAAGATCTGGGTCGGATGCGACATTGGCAGGCTTCAATGCCGATGGTGCCTGGCCCCTAGATCATCCAGCGCTCTCAGTGCCTAACATCCTGGAAACATTTGGACCCCTGCTGTTCCCAATACACCGCGCTGCGTTGAGCAGGCGGCGCATACTGTTTCTTGGCAGCCCATCTGTGCAACGAAATGTCAACGCGGTGTACATCACATCGGTACTGTCAAGTATTCCTAGATCGCTGTCCGAGAATCTTCCTTCAGAAGCAGAGGGCATTCTGCGGAGTTCACCCTTGTTCAGCATAGGGATTCATGATCTCCCATCTCTTACTACCAAGACACCAGATCCCAAAGGCTGGATTGCGACCACAACGGACGATATTCTGAGAGAGAAGAAAGGGCTGTATGACTTCCTGATTGAGCTACCTTCACAGACTGATCCTAAGCGGCCGTGGCCAAGACTTCGCACGTCTGATGGGAAGATAGTCAAGGCATCGCAGCGGGACCTGCGAAGATGGACGTTGCTGCGAAGAGAGCTACGTAGGCTACGACGGCAGACAGTCTCAAGGGACGCAGATGAATCATCCACGACTGAATCAGATCGACGACCACTTCTGGAACGTAGAGGAACAAGCAGTTTCGGCGAAGACTTTTACGATATGGGCCTGCAGAATCGCGATGAATCCGAGGCCGTTGAGGTGTCGTCTTGGCAGGCAATGGCTTATAGAGGTTTCATGTGGTGGGCCTCAGCTGGAGAGGCGAGTGCATGGGAGAACGATGAAGCAAAAGCCGATGAAGAACTTCTGTTCGACATGCCTGATGTCGCGAATCTCTTCCCTGGGACAAGTGGGCAGAGAAGACAGGAAGACCAAGAGTCAGAGTACTCGCGTGCTGCCGCAACAACGCTGGTCGCGTATTTTCAGCGAGTCACGGAAGGACTACTACGTCCACTTGCTAGCATTGTGGAACAGGCAGATGATGACACTGAAGAAGGGATTCAAGAAGACCAGATCGAGGTGACCGGAGATGCTGTTCGAGATATGGGTCTCGACAGCTGGAGCGAGGCCGACAAGAACTTCGTCAAGGATATGATGAAAACTTGGTTTGACCGTGAAGCAATTGTGGCGGATCAGGGGGTCAGACTGTGCGGTGTCAGAATCTGCTGAAGTTCCGAGAGCAGCTTGAGGTTAGCAGTTGCTCAAAGTGCTCAACAATGCATATGCGGCATGTAGACGACAATTGAGTAGGAAGGTGCAGGATTCATATCCATCCTCTTTTCGTCTCTCCGCAGCGGGCACACGCAGAACTGATGCGCAACCAGCAAAGTACCTGCAGAAGTAGTCGCCCAGCGGCGCGCCACAATAATAATAATGCAGGCACCACCGCTTTCTGCGCGCCGTTTCCCATCAGACGCCGCGCCGCAATTCGATTCGTTGAGGCGGACGTGTCGGTCCGTTGTGATGCGAGATGACGGCTGACTGAGCTCCAGTCCCAGCTTCCCCAGAAAAGTTGAACCCCACCGCATTCATCATCCTCACCACCTTGGCCTGGTACCGACTCCCACCGAGCTGGACCTGGACCTGCAACGACCAGCAGAATAAGTACAAGCGGCTTGCCGTTGTGTTCCTCGCTTTGCACCGAATGAACCTTGAGCGGCACTTTCCCTCGTCCTTCCTCTTCCTTCGTCCTCACTTCCTGACACTCCATTAGCCATCCTCAACATGGCCTCTCAATTGAACGAGACGGCACCCGACAGTGTAATGGTAGGCGCCAATGGTCACGTCAAGAACGATGGCACAGGTGAGTCTCTGAGAGCTTGCTCACGACTCTTCTTAACACGTCTTAGGCATCGTCCAGCTAGACCCATGGCTCGAACCATACTCCGCGGCTCTGCGCTCGCGTTTCTCGAAAACCCAAAACTGGATCAAGACGATCGAGAAGCACGAAGGCGGCCTCGAGAAGTTCTCGCGTGGCTACGAGAAATTCGGCTTCAATGTCGCATCAGATAACACCATCACCTACCGGGAATGGGCACCATTTGCCCTGCGAGCCTACCTGATCGGCGACTTCAATGGGTGGAACAGAGATAGTCATGAGATGAAGAAGGACCCGTTTGGTGTTTGGGAAATTCATCTGCCGCCTGTTGATGGCCAGCCTGCCATTCCACACGACAGCAAGATCAAGATCAGTTTGGTTGTGCCAAACGACGGCCAGAGACAAGAGAGGTTGCCAGCATGGATAACGCGAGTCACCCAAGATCTATCGGTGTCGCCTATGTATGATGCCCGATTTTGGAACCCGCCTCAGAAGTATCAGTGGAAGCACCCACGTCCACCAAAGCCCAAGAGTGCACGCATTTACGAAGCTCACGTCGGTATCTCTAGTCCAGAACCACGGGTTGCTACGTACAAGGAGTTCACTCGCGATACTCTGCCACACATTCGAGATCTTGGATACAACACCATCCAGCTCATGGCCATTATGGAACATGCCTACTATGCTTCATTTGGCTACCAGATCAACTCGTTCTTCGCCGCATCTTCTCGCTATGGCCATCCAGATGATCTCAAGGAGCTGATCGATACTGCCCATGGCATGGGAATTACCGTATTGCTGGACGTCGTTCACTCGCATGCCAGCAAGAACGTTCTCGACGGCCTCAACATGTTCGACAATAGCGATCATCTATACTTCCACGAGGGTGCTCGTGGACGGCATGAGCTGTGGGATTCACGGCTCTTTAACTACGGGCACCACGAAGTCCTCCGCTTTCTGCTTTCCAATCTCCGCTTCTGGATCGAGGAGTACCAATTTGACGGCTTCCGCTTCGACGGTGTGACGAGCATGCTCTATAAGCATCACGGCATCGGTACGGGCTTCAGCGGAGGATATCACGAATACTTCGGCCCTAGTGTAGACGAAGAAGGAGTTGTATACCTCATGCTCGCCAACGAGATGCTCCACAATATTTATCCAGATTGCATCACCATTGCCGAAGATGTGAGCGGTATGCCAGGATTGTGCGTCAAGTTGAGTCTGGGTGGGATAGGATTCGACTACAGACTTGCTATGGCCGTGCCGGATTTGTACATCAAGTGGCTGAAGGAGAAACAAGATATCGATTGGGATATGGGAGCTCTCTGCTTCACTCTCACAAACCGAAGACATGGCGAGAAGACCATTGCATACGCGGAGAGTCACGACCAAGCGCTGGTTGGTGACAAGACGCTCCTTTTCTGGCTCTGCGATGCCGAAATGTACACCAACATGTCGGAGCTTTCGGAGTTCACGCCGGTCATCGAGCGAGGAATGGCACTGCACAAGATGATCAGACTCATAACGCATGGTCTCGGAGGCGAAGCATACCTCAACTTCGAAGGCAACGAATTCGGACATCCAGAGTGGCTCGACTTCCCGCGAGAAGGCAACAATAACAGCTTCCACTACGCGAGGAGACAGTTCAACCTTATCAAGGACGACCTGCTGCGGTACAGATTCTTGAACGAATTCGACAAGGCAATGCAATGGACGGAGGAGAAGTATGGCTGGCTGCACTCGCCACAAGCATACATCAGCTTGAAGAACGAAAACGACAAGGTAATCGTCTTCGAGCGGGCTGGTCTACTGTGGATCTTCAACTTCCATCCTTCAAGCTCCTTCACGGACTATCGCGTTGGCGTTGAGCACGCTGGCACGTACCGCATTGTACTGAACACCGATGACCCAGCATTCCGTGGCCTCGGTCGTGTTCAGAAGGATTCGAGATTCTTCACCACCGACTTCGCATGGAACAACCGCAAGAACTTCCTGCAGGTGTACATCCCAACGAGATCGGCATTGGTGCTCGCTCTCGAAGAGACACTCGATCCAAACTGGAAGTCGAATGTGTCCCTTGAGTATTAGATGATCAGTGAATGAGGCAGTCATACATGATAAACGCATCAGTGATCGACTGGATCAGGCTTGGCGTTGGGAGGAGCTTACAACATGTATAGTAGAGATGCATTGAACAGCTGGCAGACAGAAACGAGAAAGCATCATAGCCAAAGGCGAAATATTGGAGGGGGCAGTGACAATCAGGTAATGGAGTCAAATACCGCGCAAGAGCCTGAAAAGGCTGAAATGAGTATAGCGACTGCATGACATTCGTAACACCAAGGAGCCGGCCCGGGCGACCAGAGCAGGCCGAAAGCTTATTTTCACCAAGAGCACGCTGCAAAGGGAAAGTCATTGCGGTAAGTGCTTGGCACCACGACTCGATTCTTGGGAAATAAATGCTCCAGACACGGCGATAGGGTCAGGATACAGGAAGTGGTGCCTTCGCCCCACCACGTCAAGTTGCGCATGGGTTTCGGCGTAGGCGATAGGTAGGCCTGCCCGATGTGGCAGTCAGAGGCGGACAGCGCTAGTTCTACAGTTTTTCCCTGGAAGCTCGCCCTGCATCGACCCCTCTCCTCTCACTGCAGACCGACCGTTGACTTGTCACTGCTGTACCCTCACGAGTCACCAGGCAGTCATCGCTCCCCCGCCCTGGCAGCAACTCTCTCACACACCATGGCGTCCTTCTTAAGGACCGCTGCACGTTTGCAGCCCGCCATCCGATCTTCAATCCGACCGGCGACTCTCGCGCGACGAACCATGGCCTCTCAATCACCCACACACAGCGCCAGCGCCAGCGCTGCAGCTGCTGTCAAGTCTGCATTCAAGGACCAGTCGTACCTTCCAGATGAGCCGACCGGCCCAAGCATCAAAACAGAAATTCCGGGCCCAAAGTCGAAAGAGGCGATCGCGGAACTCGATAAGGTGTTCGATACTCGATCGCTGAACATGATGGTGAACTACCAGAACAGCTTCGGCAACTATATCGCAGACGTCGATGGAAACGTCCTGCTCGACGTCTATGCTCAAATTGCTTCCATCCCAGTGGGATACAGCAACCCCGCCTTGCTCGCCGCCGCTACAAGTCCGGAGATGGCCTCGGCCATTATCAACAGACCAGCATTGGGCAACTTCCCACAACATGATTGGGCTCACATCCTCAAGTCTGGCATTCTTCGTGTCGCGCCACCAGGTTGCGACCAAGTCTTCACAGCTCAGGCCGGATCTGATGCCAATGAGCTTGCTTACAAGGCTGCTTTCATGTGGAAGCGTCGCCAGCAGCGCGGTGGTCCACATGTCGAGTTCACGCCCGAGGAGATAAACTCCTCCATGAACAACCAATCTCCAGGTTCTCCGAACATGTCCATTCTATCCTTCAAGACTGGTTTTCACGGCCGTCTCTTCGCTTCTCTCTCCACCACTCGCTCCAAGCCAATTCACAAGCTCGACATTCCAGCATTTGACTGGCCACAAGCTCCGTTCCCAGCTCTCAAGTACCCACTCGAGCAACACGCCGAGGAGAACGCCAAGGAGGAGGCACGCTGTCTCGCTGAGGCCGAGGAGCTCATCACCACCTACCACATACCTCCGGCCGCAATCATCATCGAGCCGATTCAGTCTGAGGGTGGCGACAACCATGCCAGCCCAGCATTCTTCAACGGCCTGCGACAGATTACGAGAAAACACAATGTCCTCATGATTGTCGACGAAGTCCAGACGGGTGTGGGTGCGACTGGCAAGTTCTGGGCTCACGAGCACTGGAATCTGCAAGACCCACCGGACATGGTCACATTCTCAAAGAAGGCACAGACTGCCGGATACTACTTCGGCAACAACGACTTGCGACCAAACAAGCCATACCGCCAATTCAACACCTGGATGGGTGACCCAGCTCGCGCCATCCTTTTCCGTGCTATCATCGATGAGATTGAGCGTCTGAATCTCGTCCAAAACACTGCCGAGACTGGCGACTACCTCTTCGCTGGTCTTGAGAACCTTGCCAAGAAATACCCAGCAGAGATACAAAACCTCCGTGGCAAGGGCCAAGGCACATTCATTGCCTGGGACTCGCCACGCCGTGATGAGGTTCTTAAGAAGGCTAAGGGTGTTGGTATCAACATCGGTGGCTCTGGAGAGCGCGCGGTGCGACTAAGGCCTATGCTGATCTTCCAGAAAAAGCATGCTGACATCCTGCTGGGCGGTCTTGAGAAGATCTTTCAGCCGTAAGGAGGTGATTGGGAGGTCACCTAATGATGATTATGATGAGCGTTTGGTTGTAATTGAGCGAAACCATAAAAGTCACGAGCACGGTGCTCAGACTCTGCTGCGAGGCAAGGCGTTCAATGGGTATGGACGTCTGATTCCTACGACGGACTGTGTTCAAATCAATGAAAAGCCCTTTGAGCGTTCAGCCTGAACAATGCATCATCCACAGTCGTTTCACATTTCTGCTTTTACACGTGATGAATGCCACGAATCCTTCCCGCCAACCCGCATTGCTTGCAAACTCTGCTTAATCAAGCGCTCGCATTTCTGTCCTCAGGGTTTATAGATGACTGTTGGCCTCGATGTTTCCTATCATGGTGTAGTGGGAGACATCCAAAAATGGAGCGCAGTGGTGCTGAGAGCTATGCATATAAGGAGGACAGATCGGATCCACTCTCCCTTTATTGGCAGCGCAGCTGCCAATCTAGACACCGCGGCCACCGCCCGCGAAAATCTAAGTTGTCCGCCAAGACCGAAATGATTGGCTGAGAAATTTCGCAGAAGTAATATACAATCAAAGATTGAAGGGAAATTTGACTTACCCCGGATTTCAGCGTAGAACGTCAATCGAAACATTAAAGTTGATATAGAATTTGACTTACCCCGGATTTTAGCGTAGAATATCAATCGAAACAAATATTAAAGGGAAATTTAACTTGCCCCGGATTTTAGCGTAGGTATTAGCTAGTGTTAGCTCGGACTATTAGCTAGTGCTAGCTAGTATTAAAATCTAAGTTGTCCGCTAATACCGAAATAATTAGTACCGTAGCTACTAATCTAGATACCGCGCCTACTGCCCGTAAAAATCTAAGTTATCCGCTAAGACCGAAATAATTAGCTAAGAATTTTAGTAGAAGTAATATTTAATTAAAGATTAAAGGGAAGTTTAACTTATCCCGGATTTTAGCGTAGAACGTAAATCGAAAGCGCTTAACGAACCCCGGATATAAGCGTAATACGCTAATAAAAATTTAGTAGGAGCTTAACGTATACTAAAGACCTAGATATAGCTATATCCTATTAAATGCGAAGCCTATCGACTAGTATAAAGGTCCTTATAGCGAAAATATTAGTAAGACTACTAATACTTAGTCTAATAGTACTACTAATTTTAATAAAGCTATTAGTAGAGCTACTAGTAACTTTAGACTATTAGACTATTAGTAGGGCTACTTGTTACAGTTCGAAACGTGGTTTTGAAGTGTGTTAATTCACATTATATCTATCTAGCTACGGAGGAAGCATACCTATAGTAGGCGGCTAGTAGTAGCCGCTAGGTAACCCTTTCCTCCTAGCTTCGTAACAAAATCCCCCGGTCGCTAGGGCTACTTGTTGTAGTTCGAAACGTGGTTTTGAAGTATATTAATTTGTATTATGTCTATCTAGCTATAGAGGAAGTATACCTATAGTAGGCGGCTAGTAGTAGCCGCTAGGTAACCCTTTCCTCCTAGCTTTGTAATAAAATCCCCTAGTCGCGAAATGTCCGCGACTACGTAGACTATATAATAGACTAATAATGCTATCGTATTCTCGTATACTAACTATACTTAATAGACTAACTATCGTCTACTACTAAGTCTCTATCTAGGTTTTAATAACTTGCGCGTTACGCGTCGCCTACTCGGCTATAATCGAGTAGTTTTAGGTTACTAATTCTAAGCCTTTAGCCGCTGCCTAGCGCTCTAGGAATCTAATAGCATTCTTCCTATATAGGACGTGTAGGGCGTTAAAGGCGGTAGCGATAAATATACTAATATAGGCACGGTCTTTCTCTTTTCCTAACTAGATTAATCTAGCGAGCTCGGCTATAATGTCCGTAAGGGAGTCGTAGGTAAGTCTAGTAGCCTAGTCCTATAGCAATTCCTATATCGCCCGAATCGCGGCTTTCTCGGAATTAGCTTTAGTATTAGAGCGTTAGATCGCGTCTATCGCCTATAGTAGACGAAGGGTAGACTATTCTATATCTTCCTTAACTGTACCGTCCGTATTCTAGAAATAGGACAGTTCTAGCACGCAGTTAATAACGTCCTCTATATCGGCAAGCTTTCCGTTCTATTCTTCTAAATTCTCGTTATCCTAGTCGATAGTATCTTTAGTATAGGCTACAATATCGTCGCAAATTTCCTCGGAAAGGACGTTATAGGCTTAGAGGAATTTCTTTGCGATAGATATAGCGTAGTCGTATAAGGCTCTCTCGTCTTCTAATAACTACTCGCGAGACTCCCTATCCTTAACGTAATTCTATTCCTTTGTTGCCGCTACGACTATATAGGCGAGGACTCCTACGAATATTTGTAACTCTTCTAGCTCGCTTCCTAGCTACTATTTCCTAGTAAGCTCTACTAGGGCGATCTAGACGAATAAGCTACTCTAGCCTTTATCGCGAAGGATATCGATAGGGAGTTAGGATTTGCTCTTATCTATATTAGCGATAGACAAAGGGTTAGTAGTAATAGCGGTACCCTTATCGGCGATAGCGGCGCCGGAGGTAGCGGCGGTAGCTATAGGGTTAGCGACTATAGTAGCGCTAGGGATACTAGCCGTAGGGATAACGACTATAGTAGCGCTAGGGGTACTAGCTTTGCCTCCGTCTAAGCTATCTAGTCCTACTAAGATTCTTATACTCGCTATCTTACGGGGGTCGGATTAAGGTATAGCGGGCATCTCCTTAGTAGATATAATATAGCCGCGCCTATTAGGGACGCCTACCTAACCGGCGTTGTCCTTAAGTTCCCTACCTAGGAAGCGGATTAACTACTTAGCTTACTTATCGTACTTATAGTATCCGATATAAAGGATTTTTCTAGTTTTGTCGTTAATATATAGGAGAATAACTGCCTATATCTAGTACCGCAATACCGCCGCCTTTAGTAGTATAGGAACTACCGCTATTAGGAAATCGTCTATTAGGGCTAGGAGGTCGGTCTAACCGACTTCGACTGCTTCCTTAATCTATTATAGGGAATAGCTAAGTATATATACCGACTAGTCGCCGAAAATCTTTATATCTACGGCTCTCTCGGATACGGGAATATCCCGAAGATATTCCTCCTAGGGAAAGGCTTCGTTATTCTTTAATCCTGCTATAAACGATCGTATCTTCTTAGCTAGCTCCGTAGCATCGAAGTAGGCGTTAAAGTAGTTATAGTTAAACTTCCTCGCTATCTCCGCGATATAGTTTAGATACTATTACTACTCTTAGTTAGGGAACATTGCGATAATTACGTATCCTACCTCTATTATAAGTTCTATTATGCTCGCTACGCGACGAACGAAATCTATTTCCTAGGTCTTAGATAGACGTAGACCGTCGCCGTAGAGGGTTCGGCCGCTATAAGCCTTACGTAAAACGTCGAATAGGCGTATAAATCTATAGCGCCCGAATAGAAGCCGGAACGTTAGATCTATAAAGAGGCCCCTTAGAGCAATACCGCTATCTCCTAGCGTAGGCGGGTCGCGCGCGTCGATCGGAGGATCCGCGGTACTTGTCTTAGCCTTCTTAGCTAATTTTCGCTTGCTAGAGGCTTTGCTAGTACCTAACTATTCTAGCTAGGTAGATAGAGGGTCCTACGTAGTAGTCTACGTAGCCTCGTTTTTAGCGGCGGCAATCCGCTTTGCCTTCGCGTACGGAGATTTAGCTACTATAGTCGTAGTTGCTATTATAGATTTTAGCTTCTTTAGAGTCGGCGCCTCGTCGGCGGTAGGTGCTTTGCGCTTCTTAGGCTAAGTTTCTTTAGTAGCCGCTAGTAGTTTGCGCTTAGCCGCTTTTGCTTCTACTTTAGCGGCCTTTATAGCGGCCTCGCTAGCTTTCTTCTCCTTACGGTGCTTCTGCTCGATAGCGTCTAATGTCTTTAATACCTTAGCTTTAAGCTTCTCCTTTTCCTTTATATATAAAGGGAAGGGTAGTGTCTCTAGCCGTACGCCTCCCTCGGTTGTTATCTTTCGGGATTTTAGCTTATAGTAGGTTAGGGGAATATCCTAGAAGATAAGGCTCTTAGTAGCCGGTGCGAGACTAAATATTAAGTCTATTAGCAACGCGCGTAGGCCTAGAGGGAACCGTCCTAGCTATAGCTAGAAATTTTAGATTATGCGGCGGAAATCTTATTCGATATCGCCCTAGACTAACTACTATATCTAATTTTTAGCGAGTTCGGCGATTAGCTATATATACGTAGATCGCTATATTAACAGGAGCTTACCCTTAAGTATAGCGGGCTTCGACTAGTCTAGGGTATCGGGGTACTCCTCGCTAGTCTTATTAAAGATAGCCTTAAGGTACTCTGCGATTCTGCTAGGCTCGCTTTCGGCGTTTAGTAGTAGGCTAATACTATCGGAGAAAAGTCCGATAAAGCAGTTTTTAGCCTCCTTACATGTCTTAAGGTAGGTTTAGCCTTCGGTTGTCTAGTATACTAGGGCGACGTAGGCTAGCGCTATTTCGGATATCTTTTCCTAATAGAGCTCTTTAAAGAGGTCGGCGTATTTCGCGTTTCGGCTATATAAGGGAACCTTATACGTAGGTATCGCGATATCCTCCGGCTTACGTAGCTTATATAGGATAGAGTCGTCGCTACTAAGTATATTATAGTTAATATTATAGACGAGAGGTTCGCCTACTATAGCCTACTTCTACGAACGGGTATCTGCGCTAAACTTTAGGTTCGCTAGGCCTTCTTCGTAATTCTGTATCTATTTTAGGGAATAGAGCTCGCCGGTCTTCTTATAGATTGCTTTAGGCGGTTCGCCGGCTAGGATATGCTTCTAGTTAGTATACTTAATAGATCTATACGCGTTATCGGAGTCGACGAGCGCGTTCTTATATAGGAGTAGGTCGAAATAATAGGGCTAGATAGACGTAAGGTATCGGCGCAATCCTTTAGGTAAGATACTTTAGCTATCGGACGTTCGTATCGCAGCGCGAGCGCCTAAAATAGCGTTCTTCTAGGCGTCTATAGGCTTGTCTTCGTCGGCGTCGAAATTATACTTATCGACGAAGTTCTTTAAATCTGCCTACTCGTAGTAGTTATAGATATCGAGCCCTAGCTCCTTATTACGGCCTTTGAATTTTCTCTTATACTACTTTGCTTACTTAGTCTAAGCCTTCTTAACCTAGTTAAGGCGGGCGGCCTTCTAGTCGTTAGTCTCGGTTTTAA